CGAAAGTTGCCTCTTCCCGTGCGACTGAAATCCTTCCTTGATCCCCCAAAAAGCTGGAGCAGAATTCCCTAGAAAAATAGGCTTATCAAATCTATCCATCAGCCAATAGTAGAAGCCAATCTGTTGAACTAAAACATCTAATGAACTGAAACACTTAAAATCAGCACAATTCAGATGYAAGAGAACACGTGAAACTTTTCTGAAGCCTTAAATAGGATTTTATTTTTGAGATGTGCTCCATTCCAGTTGCCAAAACATACAGTGCGAGGGTACCACAGTCTCACAATTAAGTTATGCCAGTTCTGCTGTTTTACTAACTAATCTGCATCTTCTTCTAATTAACACCCCCAAACACTATGAAAATAAGATGATACATTTAAAATGACCTTTGTTCTGATAAAAACCATTTTAAAACTGCTCAAGCATGCACAAGTTTTTAAGAAAAATTAGAGATCATGTCAGCTAAAAAATCCTTGTTTTCCAAGACTCAATAAAATCATTATCTATAGCAAAGGTTCATAATTACAAATGCAATTCCACATAAGTGTGACAAAATTCTGAATTTTCATTATATTTACCTTTTTGATATCTTCATGCTCGTAGATACTTGGTGCCAATGCTGCAGAAAGTCTTTCATATATATCTGGTTTTTTAGAAAGCTCTTTCAGTATTTCCACACGTTCTTCGGCAAACATTTTTTGCTCCATTTCCTCATCGACACCGTGCAGGCGTTTTGAATCAGTTTTGCGATAGTGAATGACATCAATGTGGGTCTTGTAGACAGATTTTACATTGCTCACCCTTGGATTAACTCGAATTGGGACTGCCCTGTAGATACCTAAATACAATTTTGAATGATTGCATTAGACGAAGTACTAGAACACAGTACATAGTACTAGAAACATGATAATTCCCACCTTTTTTACATTCTCCCTTGTAAAATAAAGTCTTCCCAAACAGTCCAATATTTTAATCTGTTTTTTCCCCAGTACCAGGAAGTCAGCATTGTTTGYACAGCGGATTTGCCTACTTGCTGCACCACATTATAGACAGTATCTCTCTGAGGTGACCCATAAATGAATTAAATAAAACACTATCTGTTTTGGGGTTGCCTKTCATCCCATCCTGGGGTTCTTTTTGCTGATTTGGTTTTGAATATATTTGTATAAGCATTTCAAATACACAACTAAGCACTTYATAGCTAGTAGAATACAGTGTAGTGATGGTAGTGATATACAGTGGAACTGTAAAGAAGGAAACCTTTCCCGTAATGATTTTGTGTAGCTGATATATAGTGACAAACAAGCAGATATAGATAACAGTATTCAAGTTGGATTTTGTTTCCATTTCAGACTTAAAAGGTTCTTGGCTACACATGACTCGCTCTATGGATGTGTTCAGTTACCAGATAGGCAAAATGGCGCATTAAGCCATTAAAACTGAGGGAGGAGATAAAAACAAAAAACAAAACACCAAGGGTTGTAAGTAGTCAAGTTAAACTAAATTTTACCTGTAACATTTACTCTGTCACCTGGTTGAACTTTATCAACAAGGTCATTATGAGCAAACAGGGCAACAGTATGAGGGGTCTGTCCAGCTGGCATGTCTTCAGGAGACTCCTGTAGTTTGATCTAACCAAAAAATCTGAGCATTAGTTTCAAGCAGGCAAAACTCTTGTACAAAACACAGTCACAACCACACAACTCTCATGATGAAACTCACATGAGTTCCATCTCTAGCACTACCCAGGTGCAACGTACCATCTGTTTGTCAGAAAACAGGGAGCGATTGTGAATCAGGGCCATGCTGTGTGTTGTGTTGCAGTTCTTGCACACCGAGGGTTCGGCAATCCTGCCACGGTCGATTTCCACTCTTGTGGTGAAAGCACAGACCTGGCACTTGAAGAAAGCTTCCTGCATCTCCGGAATTAACTGGGAGCTTCTGATGACCATACCGCTGATGGTGATAAGTTGGTCAATATCTACGAGATACAGACACCCATGTCAGCACATCACKCTTAAAGTACTAATTCATCATTGAATTTGGAGGGTTGTTTTATAGGTGGGAAGTGGACATGTCTAGTCAGGTTTAAGTACTTTGTCCAAAACGAGTAAAAAGGCAACCTGTATTATATAAGCAATTGAATTTGCCCAAGTACAAATGAAAGAATATTTTGCACTTACTGAACTAAGAACATCAGTAGTTGATATCAAAAAAGAATTCCTTTCATGAAAAATTCTTAGCAGTTTGGCCTCTAGGTCACTTTCTTYCAGAACACTGGTGTTAAACAAAGAACATCAGCCTAGATGGGCCTCACTTTACTTTTGTGCAATTGTTATTTATATAACTCTCCATTAACATTCATTAAATGTAATCCTTATGTTGTTTTCTGATATAGTAATCAAAAGCTTACCTTCAGGGTTCAGACTTCTCATATTCCTGGTCTTCAGTGCATTATATGGCCTTACTTGAATTTGATGCTCTAATATTGAATCCGGGTAGCGATCAAAAAAGATCTCATTGGCAGCCATGTCAAATGTAGGGATTACTTCCTGTATAAAAATAATCGCGATCAATTAAGCTTAGAAGTAAAAATACTTTGTGCAAAAACATTTTGTTCTGTGATTGTATGTGTTCCTGAACTAAAGTTATGACTGAATGTTATACCAGGTAACCATTGCCCTACCTAGCAAAAAAAAAAAAAAAAAAAAAAAAAAAAAAAAAAAAGCTTAATATTTAAATCAAATTTGTTGAGCATTTCATAGCCAAAAAAAAAAATAGCATAAGATTCTGGACATATGTACTGTGTCAGCTGATAAACTGCAGTGTATCTATGGTTTTTATGTGGTGCCTACCATAGTATCTGTGATCAAGTTCTAAATAAGACAAAATCAAATATTACAGAAGACAAGTAACATACAAAACTTCCAATGTGTTTAAAAAAATAGTAAGGAGAAATATGAAAGAGCCTCTTAAGGACCAGAAAACAAGCACATTACTTCACCTGAGGATAGCAGATCAGCTGCCGATAAAGATTTTCMTCAAATGACCTTAGGTGGTCACAATTTACATTCAGAAATGGTTCCCCAACCATATTTATCTGCAAAATACATAAAAAGAAATCTTTAGCTCAATGGCATATAAAGGAAAATAAATATAGCTATAGCTTTGTTCCAAGTACCTCTTCAAGCCGTTGCATGTAGCGTGGCTCATTCAGATCCAAGCCAATGTCTTCATCCTCTTTAGCTACTGGGTCAATGAAACGTTGAAGGAATCTCTGCATATTGAAAATGAAGAACAGAAAAAGGGTGAATTAGTAGTACACACACATGATTTATAACTGTTGAAAAACAGCATATAAGTTTCTATTTTTTTTTTTTTTTTTTTAAAGGACAATTTTTACCTACCTGGAACTTTTCCTTACATGAAGTTACGTTGACATCTGTTCCCCAAATAACCAGCTTTTGCCCAAGAGACTGCTCACTTGCCGCTACGTCCTCAGCGGGCTGCACGGAGACAAGCGCAGGACACACACACGTGAAGAGCCGCTCTCGGAGGACGCTGCCAGCCGCAAGAGCAGGGCCGTCCACCTACCCCCTCCGAGTGCAAGTCGACTTGTCTGGCCTTGCGGGCCGAGCCCAGGTCGGGGCGCTGGCGCACGGGGGTGCCCCGCACGCCGCTGCGCGGGGTGCCCTCGACCCTCGAGCTGGGCGTCCCGTACGTCAGCGGGGAGCTGATGTCGAAGTCGAGCGGAATAGCTGCGAGGAAAACCTTTAGTGGGGCTGTGGGGTCACGCTGCACATCGAGGGAAATGTATTTGTCATACCTGAAACTCTGCTACYGCAAATGGCATCAATCCCATGCAAATTCTGGTTTATTATTACAAGAAAATTAAAAGTGTACCTAGTCTGTCTAACCCTTTTCTTCACGTGTACATGTTTCCAAAGCAGGCAAGTTTTAATCAAGTTCTAGTAACCCCAAAGAAGTRGTTTTAAAGCATGCTAATGTTTAACCATATAACCAATATGGCAGTATTTCCCAGTCAAAAACACTTTCCCAGGTGTTTTTGAGCATGTTAAACACCAAACCAACAAGCTCCTACCAGCTATTGCAGTTCAAGGCAACCCTACTTACAAAAACAGGAATGGGTTTTTAGAATCAACACGCCAGTCTGCTCTGGCCCTTCATGCAGGAAGGACTGCGGGTAAGTGCAATGTTTTACAGCTCAGGGAGGCGGATACGGGGGTCCTGCAGGGCCCAGGCTCTGCAGCCGGGGGCCACAAAACCAGCGCGTCCAGGGCCCGGTTCCCGCGGACGCTGCGCGTGCCSGGCCTGGCTAGGCCGGCGCTGCCTCCACCCGCGGCGCCCCGCGCGCGCGCAGCACCTACCCGAGTGGCCGAACTGCGGCGGGCTGGAGAAGAGCGCGTCCTGCGCGCCGGGRCTGCGCGCCTCGGCGGCGGGCGACGTGGGCAGCGGCTGCAGCTCGCCCGTGGAAGCGGCGTCCTCCGCGCGCCGCCTCTGCGCGGCCGGCGAGCGCGCCTCGTCGGCGCGGGCTGCGGGGCGCGGGCGGGCGCGTCAGGGCGAGGCGGCGGCCCCGGCGCCCGCCCCGCTCCCCATCCCTTCCCTTCCCGCCGCGGCACTCACGGGTGGGCGGGTTGCTGCTCCGGCCGCGCTTGCCGCGGCGGCGGCTCGGCGTGGAGGCGGGCGAGGACATTGCGCCGCGGCGGCTGCGAAGGGGTGACCGGGGGGGTAACCAGGGGGGTTCCCGCGCGGCGCTCCCCGCTCACCCGCCACCTACCTGAGCGGCACCGAGAAACGCCGCGCCGGTCACGTGCCCGCGCTCTCGCGCGCTTTCTGACCAATGGGTGCGCGCGATGCCAGCCGGAGCGCACCACTAAGGCGCGGGAGGGGGAGACTCTGAGGAACGGAGGCGGAAAGGGGAGGTGGGGCGGCCGCCCCGCGACCCCGACACAGCAGGGACTGCTCAGTGGAGCTGTGCGATGGCGCCAGGGCTGCGCCGCGGGCTCCTCGCGGCCCCAAGACAAAGGGGCCGTCCCCCAGCAGCGCTGCGACCCCCCTCCCAGCCGCCAGTGGAACCGCCCGCGCCTCACCGCTTTTCGCGGCAAAACGGCCGCCGCGGTGGGCGGGCYGGAGCGGCCCATTCGCCGCGGCGCGGAGGGGTGGGCGGGGGCGCCACGAGCCGCGGTGCCAACGCGCACCGAGCCTCCCCACCCCATCCCCCGACCGGGATCCCGTGGGATCCCTCCGAACCTTCTCCTAGGCCGCCCCCTCCCGCCATCGCCGCGTGCGGCGCGGCGCGGCGCTCCCCTCCCTCCCCTCCCTCCCCTGCGCTTGGTTCCGCTGCGCACGCGGCACCCGGTTGGGCTGGGGGGGACACTGCGCTCCGCCTCCCGCCTCGCCGGCGTCGCTGCAGCATGGCGGCGGGCGTGCGGGACGGGCTGCGCGAGCTGCACCGCTGCCTGCAGCTGGGCGAGGCCGGCGGCGCGGCCCTGCAGGGCGGCGGCGCGCTGGGTGCGCGCCCTGCCTGCGCGCGGGGGGAATGGGGTGCCGGAGCAGCCCGCGGGCGCCCCTTTGGGGAGGGGGGTGTGAGGGGGCGGGCTGGTGTCCAGCGACCTCCTCGTTTCACCAGTTTCCTATGTTCTCTGATAAATAAAGATAACGTTTCATACGTTATCTTAGCCAAGCCCGCACTAAATCCCGCCCTGGACACGCGCTCGCGCGAGTCGAAGCGCTGCTCTGCTACCGCGAATAGGCGTTTGCTGAAAGCGCCCCCGCGGCCGTGCCCCTTGGTCCCAAGCGGGTCCCCGGGCAGCCCTGCCCCGCTTTAGGGAGAGGCCCCGGGTGGGGGGCGGCTCGGGAATCACGGCGGCGCTGGGCGCCCGAGCAGGGGTTTCCGTTGCTTTTTGGGGGGAAAAGGGTGTTTCCGCGTTGTTTTCGGGGCGCGGGGTGACCGCGCTCGCGCTCTGCCCGCAGCGCTGCACGCGTCGCTCGTGTTCGCCCCGCAGCACGGGCTGCTCGCCTTCCTGCGCGCCGCGCTCGGCCGCCACGGGGTGAGTCCGCAACGCGCGTGGGGAGCCGCGGGACCCCCGCGTCCTGCGCGCGGAGCTCCCCACGCGCACCCATTCGCGCGCTGCTTTCCAGTATGGGGACTGCGTGGAGGAAGCGCTCAGGTTCCTTTGCCTCTTCCTGGAAAAGATTGGGGAGAAGGTTCATCCTTAYGCCGGCAGTGTCAAGGTGGGTGAAGGAAACCCGTTACTTGAGCGTTTCCACCCAGCGTGGTTTGGTGGGTGCCCAAGGCACGGCGGRTTCATATCTGCCCTTCACCCCCTCTTCGGCTGTGATCTGGCCCTGTAATTTCCTTGTCAGTGCTGAAATGAGTGATTCGATTGATGAAAGATGTAACGAATACAGTCGACAAGTGAGAAATTGCTTTTTCAGTGGTATAGTTCATTTTCAGTCTTTCTCTGTAGCAGGAGATCATAGTTACTGATTGTTTCAGTTTATACAGATTAAATTCATATTTTAAGTGTGATTACCCCTTCTGCTTCTGGTTATGTTTAATTTTAAATATTGATATAATAATTTTCTTCCTACAAAGTTGTGACACTTGCATTCTGGGTAGAAGTGAATGGAAATTGCAGTACCTAAAAAAGGAGGTTTCTTGAGTCTATATCGTTAAATAAAACGGCTTTGCCTAGAAATGCTTGGCCGTACCACTGTATTTCCATTGCCAAGCTAGCAAATACTTGTTCTGAGGAGCAATAATCTAGAGGTAGAAAAATAACAGCATGGAGCCTTTCTCCTTCTATATATGCCATATTATGATCAATTTTTTATTTTCTATCTAGCAAATTTGTATTATTGCTTACACAAAAGAGAGGACAGCAAAGTGTAAGATTTCAGCTGTGGAACTTCTTATTAAGGTAAGTTGCATTTTATGATTCTCTCTTTTATTTTTAGTAGAAATCTATTATTTCACTGTGATTACTATTATACTACTGTATTACTGCAATCATGCAAAAGATGCAAAGTCCACAATAGCATGGCCTAATATTTTAGCTATTAATAAAATATTTATCTTAGCAACAATTTGCCTTTGATGCTCCTCCAACAGTTTACTTAGCCTGGGGATGAGTATACCATCCCTAAATCTGGTATARCAAGAGATATTTGTTTTGAGGGACAGTTTTGAAGAAATTGATCTTTTTCTCAGTTTCTTATGGTTATTAGAGGATTTTGCATTTAATGGTATTGTTCCTCAAATAATATGTCAACACCTGTAACATACTCGACACTGTAAAGGAAAGATACAGAAAGAATTTTTCCTTTTATTTTTTAGAAATTTTATTAATGCGTGAGACTAATTTCATAATACAATTCCTTGAATGCATTAGACCCATGTTTTGCAAATACTTTGCACCTGCTTAGTTTTGTTTATGAGAAACAAGACTCCCTTCTGAGCCAGTTCTTCTGGCGATGTAGATGGGCCTTACACTGCAGGGAGAGAAATATAATGTGAAAAAGGCTACTGAAGCCATTGATAAGTCTGTTTTCCCATGTGTTTGTTTTGTTTTTATGTATAAAAGTACCTTTACAGGAAGGTAGCTTGTTGTTAATGTAGATTTCATGCCAATACTTTCTTGGACTAGCCATCTTAAACCTGTTCCGCTGAATAGCATTGTTAAGTTGAAATTGTGTACATGAATTGCATTTTCATCTAGGCTGAACAGGATTGTGATGGTGATATTTGTAAGCTTCCTGAATTGCCTTTTTTCATTTATTTTAGTTGCTCCAAAATTTACGACGTTCTTCTGTAATGGAAGAAATGAAAGTTGGAGAGATCTTTAATAAATTCTATGGGGAGCTTGCTGTAAGAAGTAAACTTTCTGATACAGGTAGGTCTTACTTTTTCTATCAATGTCCTTTGTTTTATTTATTCATTCTTAATTTTTGTTGTATTATCTCTTATAGAAGTGTGTAATTGTTACTGCTGCGACAAGTGTGTTCAGCAATCGCAATGGAAATGTCAAGGTTATAATTTTAGTAATCAATATTTAATAATAATAATAAATTGTTTTCCAGTTTTGGAGAAGATATATGAGCTTTTGGGAGTTTTGGGAGAGGTCCAGCCTAGTGACATGATTAACAACTCTGAAAAGCTATTCCGAGCTTATTTGGGAGAACTTAAAACACAAGTATGTTTGGAGTTTCTTTTCCATCTCCAAGGTTGCTTTGCTTTGTTCGCTTTGCTTTGTTTTGTTTTTTCTTTGRTGTGTTTAGTGCTGTGTGCTAGATGACTATTGCCCCAGTGCAATTTATACAGGTATATCTGGGCAATCATAAATGCTTTCTTGGTGACTGTAAAGGTTTGCATTCTCTAATTCTAGTAGAGAAGTTGTCAAAGAAAAAATGGAGGCCATCATTGACTGCAAATTAATGTGAGAAAAGATAAATAACACATGATGATTACTGCAGCACAAACAAAGTAATGTCACTGGTAACTTCTTTGGGCTATACTGGCTGCACATTTTTTTTTCTCACTTCAGCACAGCTCTGCCTAAGTTTACTTTCCTATATTCAGTGTTTTCAAGAGGTTAGTGTGTGCTATCTAATTTTTATTRTGGTTAGTTGAGAGTGCATTTTGTTCTGATCAAAGGAATTCTCATACTTCTGTAGTTAAAAACTTCCCAAGCGATACAAAGTCTTTGAGCAGTACATGTTTCCTTAGATTTAAGTTCATAGAAATGGATAGTACTGAGGATGTTGACATAACTGTTCTAATTTGGAATATGATTAGCTTATTTATAATTGCAGGAACTGGGAAGCCTTGGGAAAATATTGTTAGCTTGAGGACATATATTTTTTTTCAATTCTTGCTCTTTTAGATGACATCAACTACAAGGGGACCAAAATTAACTGTTGTAGCAGGTTGCCTGAAGGGACTGACGGCGCTCATGTACAACTTCACCAAATCTGACAATGAAGGTGTGTTACTTTCCTTTGTGAAATGCAGTTAAACAGTTTGGTATGTTTCAATGGTTATGCAGCCTGCAAGTAGCAACATTTCTAGTTGTGTACTCTGAAAGAAAATTCCCCCACCAGTATAAGGTTTATTTTTGCAAGGCCAATCCAACTGCATGAACCTATGTAATCTGCCTTTGCAATTAAGCCATCAATGAGTTTCTCTATGTAAAGCTCTGTAGTGCTATTTTCTAACCAGAAAGTAGGCTACTGTGAAGCCACATTGAGGCTGCAATGCTTTTATACAAAGATAGGTTTTCCTCAGCAGAGACATGTCTGACAAAACCTGGGTATTCAGAGAAGTCAGTGAATACAGATGGTAGCTTCATTTAAATTTAAAAACACTTCTACAAAAAAGAGTGTCTCTGCCATTATAAATGGARTATCTAAGGCTTCCAAGTATTTATTCGTACTAGGCTTTGGATAAATATACCTTTTTTTCTTCACTCTTGTGTGTCAATAATGAAATATTCTTTATTGGAATGCTCCACAGATCCTCAGACTTCGAAGGAGATTTTTGATTTTGCAATGAAAGCAATCAAGCCACAGGTATGTTTTCCATACATTAATTGATCTGCATAAATTCATTAGCCCTGCTGAAAAATAAATCCCATGTGACCACACATTTTTGATATTGCAGGCGGATCAGAAGCGGTACGCAGTGCAACTAGGTAAGACTGTCTTGTTATTTTAGCTCATTCTGCTGTGGATACCATTCGTACGACAGTGTCTTGTGTCCAGAGAGGTTCTCTAGAGACAGAGAGATCCACTCCTGGGTCCAGCGTCAGACCTGCCAACAGGGGTGTTGGGTGTAGAGGACACCCACAGAGGTGCCTACGTGACCCTGTRTATTGGCTCCAGCTCCTGGGCTTCTGGAACTTGCTCTGACCCCAGAAGCAAGTGTCAAAGTGGTGGTGACACCTGTCAATCAAGGGAGGTAGCACCCCCCCGCTTCCCCCCAACCAGGCTTCTAGAACCTTCCCTCAGGGCTCACAGGGCTGTCTCTTAGGCTTTGTCCCTTACACTAGGCCCATACCAACTGTGGAGTGTAAAACCCACTTTAAAGATAGATAGAAAAGACTAAACAAAAGTTTAAACAAGACTAAACTGCTTAAAGACTAAACAAAAATTCAGATTTCTGAGGGATCTTGAAATTTCATCTGTGCATAAATCTGAGACTTTACAGTTGCTGTATTCCTAGGTCTTTGCTTGTCTGCCTTGCATTTTGGAGGAGGAAGGGACGTGACCACACACACACACACAGACAAAATTGTAGATAGTGCAATCAGATATTCATAATCACTATAGTYCCTCTCTTTTTTTCAGTGATAATATAAACGATTTAATTAAACTGTTGTATTTTCCATAACTWTGTATGTGAAGAAAGAGGAACTTGAAGGGTTGCCCAAGTGTTTTTAATGTCTGCATGATGACACTATAATGAATATTATAATGAATAATATGGTTTATAACCCCCAGTCAGACTAATATTGCCTGATGAATTTTAAAGTGAAACATAAATCTGCATCTTAATGAGACTTATTTTTAAATTGCAGCTGGTTTACAGCTGTTCAGCAGGCACGCTGCTCAGTTTGGTACCTTCCTCCTGGACAACTATGACTCGCTATTTGAAACAATGTGTAAATGGTGTGGCCATACAAATCAAGAGCTGAAGAAAGCAGGTCACTCTGCCTTAGATTCATTTCTTAAGCAGGTATTGTGACTCCACTGGGACCTCTGAGATTAAGGCAGACATAAATTTCTCAAAGTAGTGGGGATGTTTAGTGCTTGGGATTTCAACAAATCTGCTTAGTAAGTAACTTTTCTACCTCAAAGGCAGAGCAATTTTTTTTTTTTTTGCTTTTTTTTTTTTAATGAGCATAATGTATTATGAGCAATATATATTTTTTTAAAGATTAATATGGAGTGAAGGAGTTATTTGCATGTTTCTGGAAATCCTGAAATGTATCCTGAGTGAGTTGTGTCTGCTCTACAGATTTCTTTAATGGTTGCTAAGGATGCTCAGCAGCATGAGAGCAAATTGCAATTCTTCATGAAGCAGTTCTATGGAATCATCAGGAGAATGGATTCAAGCAATAAAGAGTTGTCCATTGCCATTCGTGGATATGGGCTTTTTGCAGCAGTACGTACCAGAAACTTACTCTGATAAAGCAGCATACAGAATGGATTTAAAGTTAGGAGTCGTTCAGTTCATTTTACGAATTTACATAGGTTTTTATGTATGGAGTGCTTCTGTTTCTAGATCAAGTACTGAAGTTAATAAGTTGTATTGTAAAACCTTTTGTATTCAAAGTTACTGAAATGGCTCCTGAGCTTAATGGGATCACTCAAATTTGGAAATACAAAAACTGGGGCATCATGTACAAGTGTCACAGAGGAAGGAGCCTTAGGATGGCCTTAATCACTGGAGTACTGACAATATCTCACTCAGTCGGTGATTAGCATTCCAGATGCCAAACCAGTGGCAGTGCAGTTAGCAGTCCAGGACAGCCTTGCTCAGGAAGCCCTTTGTATATGCTTCCTATGCCCAGATATGGGCAGAAAGGGCAATCCAATCCAGATAGAAAAAAATGGTCTGCTAGAGGCAACTGCAAAGTAAACTGCAAATTAAAAAAATAAATACATGCAGGTTTTATKTGGAGGGCAGAGATGCTTGTCAGGAAACATAATAAAGAATCAGCTTCCACTTCGTCAGTAGTCACTTAAAATTGGAGTATAAAAATAAAAGCCAAGTATTGTAAAGAAAACAGTAGTATTTACATACCTACAGCCCATGTGCTTGATTCATAATTTACGGTCCAAGGTCCTCCTAGATGTTAGTGGTAGTAGCCTGTGAATGGTAATTGGATGTCATTAATGCAAGCCGCTTGTCTTTTGGCTAAACTGCCTAAAGAAATGAGAAAARCAGCATCTGTAATTCTGTGTTTAAGATATTTGCATAGAAATTCCATACTTCTCAGATTTGAAATTTGAATTACCTTGTGATTGAAAGTTCAAGTACTCTTGTAGCAAATTACAATGCATCTATTGGGTTTTGATTTCATTCACTGCAGACACTGTGTTAGTGAGCAGAATACCTAAGGTATTTGTCAAGTCAGCCAGTGCCTTTGCAGTTTAGACCTTACTTCTAAAACATGCAGAATTTATTCAGATGTATTGAGTTCCTGGAAAATGTAAAAAAAGATTATGTAATTATAGTTCAGTGGTGACTTGGTTAGGTTTTTAGTGTTASAGCATGTGTTTGCTTGCTTGTATACAATTCCTAAATCAGTATTTTGTTTTCTCTTTATAAGCCCTGTAAAGCTATGCAYTCTAAGGATGTTGACTACATGTATGTTGAGCTCCTTCAGCGCTGTAAGCAAATGTACCTCACAGAGGCAGAGACAGTAGATGACCATATATATCAGCTACCAAGTTTCCTCCAGTCCATTGCAAGTGTGATAGTCCATTTAGATACAGTAAGTAGAGTATTTAAAATATCAACTAAATCTTTWTATGTATCTAGGGATGTATATAATAGCTGTGCAGTTATCTATGGTAGAAGACACTTTTTGTCTGTAGTGTAATGACTTTTAGCTCCTGGAGGGAGAGTATCTAAAGAATACTGGAAATAAATAAAGAAAATGAAAAAATCTGCTAAATAAAATGCTACAGAGCATTATAGTAAAAATCATGGAAACCAAATGCAAACAGGGTTTTATTTATTTTAGGAAGAACTTTTGCTTGGACAAGACCATACCATTCTTTTTTTGCTTAAGGGATCTGTTTTTTCACTATTACCTGTTTACTTATTCTTACCTTGTGCTTCCCTTTACTGAAGCTTTGTATATAATCAGTTTCATCTCTGTGTTTGTATATACAAGTGGTTCTTGTTGTGTGAAAAGCTTGTAGAAACAATGGAAGCCGGGCACATCAGAACACTGTACCACCAGACTGTTATTGTTTCTTTCAGGCCTGATACTTAGCCTGTCCTCTGGGTCAAATACTTGGATTTTTCCCTGATGCTGTATAGTTTCTGTTGTGATGAGGCTTTCTGTGTCCTGGGTGGAGCTAGAAAGCAAGCTTGGGGTGGAAAACAGGCTTGCATTTTGTGTTCAAATCTTWAAGAATGGATAGATTAGATGGCAGTGTTATGATTGCTAATTAAATTGGGACTTTTGTAATAAACATGTGGCTGGTTTTGCTGAAGCTCTAATCAATTCAGGAACTGCTTGTCATCATGTGGTCCAGGAAACACTCTGTTTTCCTTCATATCTGAGATGTATTCACATGTTGTGCCTTTATCATTCTCAGAGTAGATTGTAATGTAAACTCTTAGGAATATTCTGGAGGAAAACATTTTGTGTAATTTTGCTTGTTGATAGAGATAAATCATTGTTTTCACATTTTTTTTTTCTTTTATTCTAGATTCCTGAAGTATACACTCCAGTTCTTGAACATCTAGTTGTGATACAGATYGATAGCTTTCCACAATACAGTGAAAAAATGCAGTCAGCCTGTTGCAGATCCATAATAAAGATATTCCTAGCCCTGACAGGAAAAGGACCAATTCTCTGGAGTTTTATTAGCACTGTAGGTGAGTCTTCTGACTTTTTTTTATTAAACTTTTTCCATTCTTCAGCAATGGAAGTTTAGGGTTTGTGTGTCATTTTTTGACATGAGCTGCTAAAACACTTAGTGAATACAYTTAACAGTGCTTCACATATAAGAGGGGAGATGGCCAAAGGCAGGACAATATGTTTTTGTGGTAATCTGGTTTATTTAAAAGGCTCAAAGGATTGTGGAAAGTAAGATTTTTGTTGATTTTGTTTTCAAGAAAATGTACCAAAATTTGTTCCCTGCTCTTTCTTTATTTCTTTAGAAAGCCACATGAACTTGAGCTAGTATCTTCTTTACCAGAAATACACCATTTTCATTTTCTGAAATTTAAACATGATCAAAGTGGAGATTTCAAATATGCAGTTACTCGGATTTAGTCCTGCAAATCTAATAATGAATGCAGTAGCATTGATAGCTGACCATTCCTATAGCCTCGAGGGTACTGATATTTGATTATAACAGTGTTCCAAAGCAATTAAATTTCAGTTATTTACAGTGTCTTTACTCCTGTTTTGTTGAGCCAAAGAGCCAAAGTTGGAATTTTCCTTGTGCATCACACTTGACCATTGCCTCTGCTTTTATGTTTGTTACTTAAGAAACATTCTTGTATTTTCCTCATCCGGACAGAATGTATGAAATAGAAGACTGATTTAATGGATTACTGATGCATAAGTTATATATGCTGTGTCTTTTAAAGTGTTGAGCCTTTTTTTTTTTTTTTTGTCTTTCAGTGCATCAAGGATTAATCAGAATCTTTTCCAAGCCAATCACATTTTCAAAGGTAAAATAACTTTAAATATACTTCTATATGCTATGTACTATTCTATATACTTCTATATTCTAGAGTCCTGAAGTGTTCACTCTAGTTCTTGATCATCTGTTGAAGTAAATACGGGAAGTCCAAAGAGCAAAAATAATACTGTTCTTTTAGAATCGTGGCCCAGTTATTATTACTCTCTCATCTTTGTTTTTCTCATAATTATGAGGATGTCCCTCTTGTAGTGAAGCTAAAAGGAAATATGTCTTTGTTCTCAGGAGTTCTTTCTTGCTCAGCTTRTCTGTCACAGAGTAGGTTGTATTTGTGGTCATCCAGCTTTCTTTAATGTTAACAATTTGTGCCAGCTTAAAAAGGAAGGGAAAAGATTTATTGACTGTTTGTGCAAGGGGAGGATTTAAAAGTTTTTAATCCCATCCAGCGGACTATGGAGTCTCTACAATAAACTGTCTACTGGGAAGAAAACTTCAAAGACTTCTGAAGGGAGCTGTGATACAAATAATACTTCTAATAATACTAATAATACAAATAATACTTCTAAGTAATCCAGAACTAGTATCAAATGCTRTACCAGTCACTGTGTTCCTTAGGCATTTGCAAAAATGTAGATGTGTAAAACAAAGCAGAAAAGATACTGATCAAGTGTCCTCTCCTTCAGTGCTGACTACTCCTCCCCACCTGCATCACAGTTCTCTGCTCTCTGTTTTCCTTGTACATCTGTTGATGGGGTTAGCTGTACGCTAGTGCTTTACATCTGGGATAAAAATAAAATTCTATCTTTGCCATCAAAGCCAGCACCTGCTGAAAAAATATAGTAAGATTCAATTTTTGTTTTCAACTTGAAATTAGAAAGGAAAAGAATAAGAGGTTTCTGCCAGTAGTTTTACAWCATGTTTTGGCTTGGAACAGTTGTTTACATTTATACTGCATTTCTGAAAAAATATTTTGTCCTTTTAGGAATATTTTGGGAAAAAGACTTCTGAATCAGAAGAGTTCCCAGCAGCTGGAGAAGTTGGATCAGGGAAATGGAAAGTACCAACATATAAGGACTATCTGTATCTCTTTAGAAGTCTACTGAATTGTGACACAATGAAGGTAAAAGCAGAGTTAACATGGGATAGAAGGGGAAAGGAACAGTGATTCTGTAYGATTTTATCACTGCTTTTCTAGTCCTAGATTTTTTTTTCCCAAATGGGCAGCCTGTGCTGCTGTAGAACTGTCTAATGGTTTTAGTTGGATATCATGTCAGTTGAATTAAACAAGATAGGATAAATTTAGGCTTCCATAGCTGAGAAAGCTGTAAAGCCTGATTCTTCAATCATCCAGAACTTAGGTTGTAAATTCAAAAAMCAATTCTTATTCTTCATGGTTTTGAAACTTGATCTTTTTTTCCCTCCTGCAAAGGAATCTGTTTTGGAAGATGAAAACTTTCTTGCCTCAAATTCAGCAGTGAAGTCCCTCAGTCGTTTGTTATATGATGAACTTATAAAATCTATTTTGAAGATTGTTGAGAAGTTGGACCTGACTGTTCAGAAACTGCAAGTTAATGAACAGGTGAGACCCCATGACTTCTCTAGTAAATTTTGCTTTTGTAGGGGAAGCAAAATCCCACTCTTTGCTTTGTTTTCCCTATGGTTATATAGTTCCTCACAGTGTTCTCAAATTAAAATTCTGATTAGTGAGAATGTTCTACTTCATATTTCTGGATGCTGTATTTCAGTGAAGAGATAGAAACATAGAAGAATTTTACAAAATCTGTTATTTTAGACTCCCTTCTCTGACATCTAGAATGGTTTTAGTTTTGATGCTTACTGTTTTTCTGGTAAGCAGGTATTCCTTATTATTATTGGACCTGTTGATGTGTATACAGTTATCTTTGTATCAGTGTAGCTAGCAGCAGTCATAAAAAGAAGAGGCAGTTGCTAATCATGCGTTTTTTTGTGTGTGAATAGACGTTAAGCTATTAAAAAGGTATTAAATGTTTTATTTATTTTTTAAATGTTTACAGGATGAAGCTGAAACTGACAGTGCTTTAGTTGTGCCTACTTCTGACCCCACTTCAAACCTTCAGCCAACGAAGCCTACAGACTTTATAGCCTTTATTAATTTAGTGGAATTCTGCAGGTACTGAAACATCATTTATGTAATTTAGAAGTCACAGAGTGGCTGAAGTTTTTTTTTTTTTGTTAAAGTTGCTTGTTTCTGACTTAAGATCACATTTGTGATGTTTTGAGTGCACAAGGTCAATTAGTTGGAAGACAGTAGGTATCTTTCAGGCATCTGAATCTTGGGTACGAACACAGTGACTTTCCAACTCTTTTTTTTCTTTTTTTTCCTTTTTTCTTTTTTCCTTTTTTCTTTTTTTCTAAGAGACTACAAGATATAAGTCATTCTCATGCATTATTTTATTGTAACCATCTTGCAATAACCACTGCAACATTTAATATTTTACTAGCTGTATTTTTTAAGTACTTCAGGGACCAGAAATTTGGTCTTAGTATTTGGCCGTTAAGGGAGAAGCGCGGTATTATTTGTGAATATCCAGTTGATTGTCAATGGCAGTGCTACAGTTTGTGAAAGTAATGCAATGTGGTATGTGAGTATGTATGTTTTTTATAAAATTAGTAGCAAAGTGTAATGAGGGGAAGAAGTGGTTTTGCTCTGTGAAGCAATGTTAAAATCTTCTTACAATTATCTTACAAGTCTTAATTATCCTCTCACTCCCTCTGGAGATACTCCATTGTAGCAGTGGTTTTCTTTCGTGAGCTGACTTGAAATTTGACAAAAAWGATGTGTTATTTTAATGTTTTCCGTGTATCTGCTCTATAGAGAGATACTTCCAGAGAAGCATGTTGAATACTTTAACCCTTGGATGTATTCATTTGGTTATGAACTTATTGTTCACTCAACAAAACTACCTCTTATTAGTGGATTCTACAAACTGCTTTCTGTTGCAATGAAGATTGCAAGGAAAATAAAATACTTTGAGGTGAGTTCTCTTTTCTCAGTGAAAGGTTAATGCTGTGCACAGCTTTTATACAAGTCTGTTACACGTGTGAGCACAGCAGCAAGTAGTTCCTGCAACTACTATCCAGTTTGTTTCAAAGTTAATGGCATCCTGTGCCTGTGGAACATCAAAATTGRAGTGAAAGCTGTTTCTGAAGACATACCATCCATGTGTGATGTTCTTTCCCAGCTGCTGAGCTGGAGTTGTGTGTGCAGTGCAGACTGTATAGAAGATCTAGCTTGGATATTAGAAAAGCTTAGTCAGAGCAGCAAAGTCATCTGAGTGGGTGAGGCATTTTAGGATASTTATGTTCTCTTGAGAGGTGAACCATTTGTAGCATGGAAGCTCTTGTAAAATGAAAATCCTGTGTGGCCCAGCACAGAGCTTGCTACTGGTGGTGATGGTATTAAGTGAACAAAATTTGGGAACTCATTGGTGTAGATGCTGGCATATATTTTCCTTAACAGATKATACTGTTTGTGAATTACTGTTTTCTCATTCCATCTGCATTCTGGACATGTGTCTGTGCTGTATTAGGATTTTTTTTTTCTTTTGATGCTTGTTGGATTAAGAGGCAAGGAAGAAACTTAATCATTTTAAGTACTTTTTTTTTCCCCCATTCCCATGTGTTTTGATTACTTAGTATAGTATTAAATATCTGTATGCCAAAAGAAATGACTCTTCATATGTGAACTGTGAAAACAGTGCTAATAACTAATCTTTGGGAGAACAAATGTATATTTTAAGCTTTCAGCTCATGCAGATTTTATTCTATATATATATATATAGAATATATATAGAGAGCGAATATATATATATATCTATATATATATATAGGGCAATATATATATATATGTATGTATATATGTCTGCATATAAATGTGTATGTGTATCCATGGGACAGTAATATATGTATCTGTTTATATTCTGAGTTAAACTTGTGCTTCATATTTGTGTAGTGTGTATTATCCAGGTGATATTTTTTCTAGTGATACTGACCTGGCTGTTTCTGCTTGATAGGATGCCARTCTGAAAGGTCTTAGGAAATGTCCAGAAGACCCAGAAAAAAGTTCTTGCTTTGCCCTATTTGTGAAGTTTGGAAAARAAGTAAGTTTATGGCTAAGCTTTTTAGCTGGAATATAAGCGTAAATGCCTTAATCAGAATTAGATGATAATATCTTGAAATTTCTATGCATTATTCCAGCTGTTGGAATTATACAACATAGGATTTTGAGGACTATTTTTATTTTTTTTACTTAGTGTCAATAGAAGCATCCTGGCCACTTATGAATGTAAAATTGAGCATAACTCATGCATTAAATACTCCCTCATAGCTGTCTCTAGGTAAATGAGATTCCATTTTTGTTTTCAAATTGTATTAATTTTATATGCATATTGGTATGAAAGTAAAAYAGCTAATATCAAGGAATTGTAAGATTTGTGATTATCTGACCTATCTTTCTGAATTTTAGGTTACAGCAAGAATGAAGCAGTATAAAGATGAGTTGTTGGCATCTTGTCTGACTTTTYTGCTCTCCTTGCCACCTGAGATTATCATGCTTGATATCAAAGCATATATTCCTGCACTGCAGGTAGGTCAAAATGATGCACAGCTAATGCTTTTTTCTTTCCTAAAACATGTTCAAAAATTATGGAACAAAGTTAATGTTTTGTCAGGCAAGTAAGATRATCATTAACCTTTGCATTGTCTTCAGTGCAGTCAAATACAAATGAGCTGCCTTCTTGGATGAGCTAGTAAATGATCAGTTTGCAGTTGAAATTGATGGACTATGTTAGTGCCCATGTTGAAATGTAGTCAGTATTTCCTGTGTAGATCTCGTGAGATGTTAAATAGACAAAAGTAATGAAGAAGGAAGATGTAYTGCATGACAGATGTTTCCAAATATATTTTTTAACCATAGTAGTCATTAAAAAAGAAAAAACTGATAGCTTTACATTTCATGCGTAGAATGCGTTTAAGCTGGGCCTTAGCTGTACCCCAATGGCCGATCTGGGACTGGATGCTTTGGAAGACTGGTCAGCTCACATTCCCAAACATATAATACAACCTTACTACAAAGATGTTCTGCCTCTTCTGGATGGTTATTTGAAAAACTCTACATCTACAGGTATGTACGAAAAATGAATTTTTAGTCTCAAGAGACAGAAAAACAAAGTTTCCATGGCTGTACCTAAGGACATCAATGCACCTCCTTTTTCCTGTTTTGTATATTCCTTGTAGTTGGAACTCCACACTTCCTTCTAAACCCAAAAGTTTGAATCTTTCTTGAACTGCAGTGAATTTACTATTGCAGAAGAGTCATGAATTGCAGTTATTTTATGTCTCTTCTCAGTGATTTTGGTTTTTTATCCTTAAATTCATTTTATTTTTCACTAGTAGACATTTATTTTTCTTAATAAGGACATAAAATGAAAGAAGAAAATGTGTCATATGTTAAAAAAAAAGAAGTAGAAGGGCAAAAAAAATATTTTTTAAGAAGAGAATTGAGAGTTGGTGCACAAGATACAGGTACACTAAATTAATATATATGCTGTTTTCTTATTTGTTAGCTGAATCACAGAATAACTGGGAAGTAAGGAAACTTTCTAGAGCAGCCCAGAAAGGATTTAATAAAGTTGTGATACAGCATTTAAGAAAAGCGAAGACTTCATTGGTAAGAGCACTGAGTCAAAGTTAAATGAATTTATGAACTTCCTCTGCCTCCCTTTCTCTTTTACATATATATGTTTTCTGAGAGTCACCATTAGTGCCATGATGATGCATGGTGGAAAAGTATAGAGCTCATAATAATATATATATTTTTTGTATATTCCAGATTGCAAACTAATTTGGAATAAATGTTTTTAAGACTGACTAATAGTTAATCTTAGTTGTGTTATGTTTCTTTTTCCATCCTAGTGATCTTTAAACAAAATGAGTTAAGTTTTCATCCCACGAAGGCATCCCACAGAGGCTACTTGTCTGTCGATGCAGTATCATAACTTTACATTCTTGGATTAAAGCAAATGAAGAGAGTTTTTTTTAATTCAGATTTCTCACCTTTTAATAGMCTATTAGATCATTCTGTGAGTGTGTAGTATCTGATTATAAAACTTTGATCCCTATTTGAGAAATGGTAGCTGTAACTGAACTGGTAACCCAGTGTGGAAAATGGGTGTAGATACATTAAACTTGCTTTACATACGTTAAACACTTGCAGTGTTCCCAGCTTCTGTTGAATCGAAGCTGTTCTATTGTTTGATACTGTTTTCCCCCCCACACACACACACAGGTTCTCCACTCTACCTTTTTTCATCCATATGTTATTAAGGACCACAACTATTGCATTCTCTGTGTAGAGCAAGCTATTTATATGCAAAGGTGACTCTTTCTTCACTGTTGTAAATCTYTTGAATTATTCAGGATGGGGATCCTTCCTTGGAAGCAATAAGGACCAGAGTGGCACGACTTCTTGGATCTTTGGGAGGGCAGATCAACCACAATTTAATTACAGGTGACTGTCCTAAAAATATTTACATGCATCTGTTTTCRGTCTCCCTTTCAAGTTGATTTCAGTGAGATCTCAACTTCACATTCTGAAAATCCATGAACCAAGGAAAGCTGGATTTTCCTACTCTTTTCTAAATAGCTGCTTTTCTTTTATCCTGCACTTCAGGAGAGCAGACCATTAACTAATTTGCTATGCAAGAAAAAGGGCATAGAAATCTTCAAAATATATTTAGTTAAGTGAAAAAAATCATATGCATCTGAGGACGTGGTTTGATTTATTTCTTCAACTTCCTCCTCTGGCTGCAAAGCCATTTTGAGGCTCTGTCATAGTTTGCATTTCCTGGACACTTGTTTAGACCTCTTTACTACAATTCTGCTGTAATTTAGTTTTGCAGAACTAGTCAGTGAATTGTCAGGTCAATCTCGGTAAGCCTGCTTTTTGACGTCAGGGTTTAAGGATGTGTCATGCAGTTAGCAGGCCTAAGTGTTAGTGCTCCGTCTGCAGAAAAACTTGTCTTCTGTTCTTCTCTGTTCCCCTGTTTAGTTTGTGAATAAATGTTAKAATTTGATTATTAAAAATCATAAAATGTAGTTTACATTAATGAGGTAAAAATCATTAAATGTAGTTTTCTACAAGGATGGAAAAGTTTACTCTGCAATCCTGATTATGAGATTTAAAAGGGATGAATTCAGCTCAACATTTAGTCAGTTTAAAATGAATCTAGTTCTATAAAATGCTTTGTTCCTTTTTTTACTGCTTACAGTAGTTTTTTTGGGTTTTTTTTTTCTGCTTTTACAATCAGTTCTATATCTGCGAAATACTTCTCTGCTGCTTATTCAGAAATACTCAGGAAAAGTAACATTATTCCTTATAAATTGAAAATGTAGTGAGACATTGTTAAAAAATATGGGAATATAGGGTTGGAAGGAGTAAGTATTGTAGTTCCTTAAGGTATAGGTCTTCAAGTAGCAGTTCTCTGTAAGAGAACTCAGCAGGAGTCTCTCTGTTGGATCTGCTTCTCTGATCTGATTATTCAAGCATTAGACATTGGACAAAAGTATTTTAAATCATGTGCAGTTMAGCATATTTTGACTTTATTGTTCCAAACTTGTTTCTGTTGAAGCTGGGAGCTCTTGGGGCTCCGGGTGATGGCTAAACATCTCTTCATCTATGCAAATAAAATGGGCCACACTAACATACCTCTGGTACTTCAGCATTGCAGTAATTTGTAAAGCATTGATGTTTTGTGTTAATTCAACTGAATATGGATGAATAGAGATTTTTTGACCGAGTGATGGAAGTGTTTGTTTTGGGTGTACTGTATGAAACTTAACTTTCCTGTTTATCTTTTCCAAATGCATTAGCTACCCCTGCRGAAGAGATGATGAAGAAATGTGTGTCGTGGGACACCGAGAAGCATCTGAGCTTTGCTGTACCCTTTGCAGATATGAAGCCAGTCATCTACTTGGATGTGTTCTTGCCTCGTGTGACTGAATTGGCTCTTTCTGCTAGTGACAGACAAACAAAAGTATTGATGTGGTCTTTTTGCATCTTTGCTTATGCTACTTGATAAATAGTGCATAAAATTATTATTTTCARTGTTCAGAAAGAGCTATTTTAAAAATCATAGGTAGCAAAGGATTTCTTCCATGCTCTTTCATAATGATAGGATTCTGAGTGTTTAAAAACCAAAGCAATTTGTTGCTATAAGCTCAGACAACCTTGTGCTGTGATAGTTAACATAAAAATGAAAATTTTTAACTCATTAATCTACAGTGTTGTTTGGCCTCCTTCCCATGCCTAGCCTATGAACTTGTGGCCTCAGTCCAGCAAAGCACTTAAGCAAATATTTTCCTGCTTCGGTGGATTGGGATGTTGATGTCCAAAGACAGTCCAGAAAAAGAAAAAAGATATTCTTGAGCATGTGATAATGAGTGAATTAATCAGTGATGTATTTTTATCATTCGAAAAGTGAGTGCATGATGATAGAGACTGTAACGTTGGGAGGAAGGCCAGGTAGAATGTGTGTGAATTATTTACACTGACATTATCTGTCCCTGGGGTAAGGATGTAGCCTAGATGGGAGTGATTTCATAAGTATGTTCTTTCTTTGGACTCTAGTCTCTCCTCCCCCCATTTTTCTGTTCTCAGTGGAAGTAATGAAAGCATAATGAAAATGGATTTAATTTGCAGGTGGCTGCGTGTGAGCTGCTGCATAGCATAGTTGCATACATGTTGGGGAAAGCGTCTCAGATGCCAGAAAGACGTCAGGGTCCCCCCGCCATGTATCAGTTATACAGGCGCATCTTCCCGGTGCTGCTCCGCCTCGCTTGTGATGTGGACCAGGTAAACAGGCTCACTTGTGAGCGTTTTAGGTCTCATTGCAGTGTTTCAGTAATAATTGTACTTTAGAAGTTATCCTGACATGTGGTGCCTGTTTATTGATTTATTTTCAATTAAAAGTGCGTTTTATAAGTTGAAATAATTTCCCTGTTTTGGAGATAGTTTATCAGGATTTTTCAAGGGGGAAGTAGAGGCCTTTTCAAGAACCCCAGTTCTTGAAAAGTYCTTGAGTGCAGCCCAGTGTCACTCGCAGGAATATGCAGTATTCACAGCATCAGGAAGAAGTTATTTCCATATTGAATGGGTGCAAAAATGGAAGCTGCAGAGAAAGCATTTTGAGAGAACTGATTTCTGAGAAGGAAATTCAAACATCCAAACTTGGTATTTCTCCTCCKTGACAGCAAGCCAATAACTGACAACTTTGTGACAAATAGGACCAGCTCTACTGAAACWAGAGATCTTTTAAGACTGCTGTTTGTCATTGAGATTCTATTTTCTGACCAACAGAACTTTGTGTTCTCCAAAAATCTACAGAAAACTTAGCAGTTTGGATGAAAACATTTTTTTTTCTGACATATAGCTGATATAAACCTGAGATAAAATGATGCCTGGACTGGTCCATATGAATTTGCACAGGCATCCAGACTTGTATATTCATATGTGTATCTGTGTATATTTAATGAAATTCTGTCAAATTTTACTGCAACAATATTTGATCACATTTACTTGCAGGTAGAATCACTGAAATCTTGCAAATCAATGTTCAAAGTAAAAATTAAAACAGATTTAAGATCAAAATGGACCTTAAAAGCAAACTTCCCTTTAGCTTGTATGTTATACTGTCAATCAGTGGCATGCAATGTTCTTTGTCTCAGAGTATCTTTCTGAAATTAAATTAATAACTTGAAGCTAATTGAAAAAAGCAAGTTACCATTTTTTTTTAATCTTTGGTGAGAGGATGTAATATGAAGTTGATTTTTCATTTTACAGTTGCCTTTTAAAAGAAATACTGTTTTTATTTGCCATTTGAATAGCAAAATAGCATGGAAATATATATAGTTTGTTTTTTAATCTTTTCAGGTAACCAGACAGTTGTATGAGCCTTTAGTTATGCAACTCATTCACTGGTTTACCAACAACAAAAAGTTTGAGAGTCAAGATACAATGGAATTCCTGGAAGCTATCTTGGTAAGGCATGAGTCTTCCTTTTCTCTTTTTCTGTGCTATGTGGCATTGCTTTTAGATAGTATCATTTTATTCTTGAAAGAACCAGGAGCTCATAAACAAATGTAATGCCACCTCATTTGTCTGAAAGGAGGAAACAGGTTTAACTACTTTGACCTTTTATTTTTATGTTTAGCTTTATTGTGAGCTTGTTTCTTAACCTAAATTCTGATAATGGTTTTCTCTTTAGCTGCATTTTGAGAATGTCAAATAAAGTGTCTTTAGAGTCTAAAGATCAATGAAACACATTTTTTGTCATCAGTGTATACAAGGAAGTACTGAAACACCTTTTTTTTCCCACTCTAAATAAAAGTTGCTGTTGATGCATTTCTTTTTCCTTTTAAGTTTCTTTTCTTTCAATGTTTCTATCAATGTTTCTTTAAAACAAGTGTTTTAAATTTAATGCTGACTTTTGGCACTGTCTTGGAGTAGCTGGGGGCAAGATAAGTCAGGAGGTTTCATACTACTTTTCATGAAGGACGTTAATGGCATGTCATTTGAACTTCATATTCTAAAGCAGAGGAAACGAACYCAGTAAAAAACGAAGGGACTTGGCCAAGGCTGAGATGGCAATAGAAGTCCAGATCTCTAAGTCCTAATAAGCCATCAGTGCTCTGATAACAGGAAATCCTGCCTTTCTCTTGAACTGTAGTAATTTTGAATATTTTCAGGGAACTTAAATTATTTTTAACATATTTAACAACACTGTATGAATGGGCTGCCCTGGTGCTGCACTGAGGCAGTGGCCTTTTTCATTCTTGAAATGAAAAATCTTTCAGGGTGGCATAACGGATCCTGTTGACAGCACTCTGAGAGATTTCTGTGGTCAGTGTGTTCGAGAATTTTTGAAGTGGTCTATTAAGCAGACAACGCCAAAACAACAGGAGAAAAGCCCAGTCAACACCAAGTCTCTTTTCAAACGATTGTATAGCCTTGCTCTTCACCCCAGTGCTTTCAAGAGGCTTGGAGCAGCGCTTGCTTTTAACAACATCTACAGAGAATTTAGGTGGGCAACAGAACTTGGAACTGTAACCTTAATACTCATTCTGTTCATGTATATAATAGCGGTAAAATGTAGTTATTCAAAATATTCACTGAATTAATTATAATAATGATAATAATTGATGATCTTAAACAATTATAGTTGGGGAGACTTTCTACAATATGTTTTATAATGGTCTAGATGTATTTTTCTGCAAATATTTTGCCTAGCTGTTTATCGTATAATACTGCAGTGTTTTAATTTATTTGTTTTTATTAGAATTTCACATTAAGTGTGTCTTCTACTCATGTTTCTCATCATATTTATCCCTAATTTTAAAGGGAAGAGAATTCTCTGGTGGAGCAGTTTGTATTTGAAGCACTGGTTGTATTTCTGGAAAGTCTGGCCTTAGCCCATACAGATGAGAAATCACTAGGTGAGCTATAGCGAATTAGTTACAGAATGAGAAAGCCCTCCTGCTGAATCTTGAATGAAAGAAGAAAAAATAAACTAAGCTATGAATTTGTAACTGTACAAGGAGTAAAGTGTGTTAACTTTTATAGCAATAGAAGTATTATTTTGCATTGTGGTTAGAAACATTATTTCTTTTCCAGTCAATAGTTGCTTGAAATAGGTCCTTGCAGTGTGATGCTGCAAGATTTTTGTTCTTTTCTCAGGGAAAAGAACCATCTCATAAATATTTTGCAGTAATACTAAAATTACTGGTGATGCTTCTGATTTGAGTCTTATATAGTGTAAAAATATAGCGTGGTGAGAATCCCAAAGTCTCCTTTTTTAAAACAAGCGCACTGCTCAGAAAAAGCAATTTCTCTGTAGTCTATAGAGGGTTTCTGTAATTCTAAAGATCCTTTGATGGCTGCCTTATCATTCTTTACAACACTATGGAGTTGTTTGAAGAATCTGTGACCTCTTCCATCATACTGATGATTCTTCAGTAAGCCTGTTTTTCTTCCTCCCCTTTCCTCCAACTTTCATCAATTAATAATGATTCAAAATAAAGCCAAATTCTGATGTTGCAAAGCTTTACTTCTTTCTAAGAATCAGTTTGGAATATGATAGAAATGACCCCAGAATAATATTATGAAAAAAAAGATTACAGTTTCTCTAAGAATGAGTGCTTAGAGATGCATACTAGGGGGGCAATATTGTAGTGGAAGCCTCCAAGTTGGTTCAGGTCATGATGATTTTTCTGTTTTTTTATGATCTTATTCTGTGATCTTGAAAAATTTACTATGGGTGCAAAGACAGTGGAGGTGCTAGACATCATTTCAACTGTGGTAACAGCTCAATTCTTTGAACCAAGTTATTAGCATTTATTTATAGCCACTTCTTTCTTAACAGGTACCAGTCAACAATGCTGTGAGGCTGTTAATCATCTGAAGCGCATCATCAAGCAGAAAGCTCCTTCTCTAAATAGAGCAGCAGAACGACGAGTACCACGGTTAGCAATTTGTTAGCCGTTTTTGGGCATTTCAGTATTAACATTTTAGTTATTCATGTGTGTGCATTGTTAACATTTTGAATGTAAAAATTAGTCCTATGACTACTGTTGATGCAGTTGTATATGTAAATTAAGAGACTGAGTAGTTAGAGGGAAAATTGTGAACGGCTTAATTAACTTTTAATCTATTTTTTTTCTCTGAGTGATGCAAAGAGAAGGAAAGATGATGCTGCTTTTAAATTGCCACCACAAAACCTACACTCTTGAAGTCTCAGGGTAGAGTGGGGAGAAAGGAGGACAGTGTAATTTCACTTGTAGAAAAGCTTGTCCCTGTAGCCTGAACAACATGTTCATACTACATGTGTGTTCACACTACATGTGATTTTCATACCCATGCTGTTTTTCCCCTTCTCCTATATTTGTTACCTAGATAGGAAGACACTCAGAATGCCCCTGGGTCATTTTACCTTTTTATCTGAAACARATGGCTTCTTGGTAGATGTCATGGGCGGCTGTTAACCTCTTGTATTTTTGTGCAGGGGGTTTCCAGCTACTAAGACAGTGTGTCTTCCAGACATTGTCCTGTGGCTCTTGGTGCAGTGTGGGCGACCGCAGACAGAGTGCAGGCATAAATCCATGGAGCTCTTCTATGAGTTTGTTCCCTTATTACCAGGTATTGAGATTCAGTCTGTGCTGTGTCTGGCTACTAGTATGAAGTACGGTGTATTTCTTCCATTTCTTTTCTTTGGAAAGAACCAGTTMGTTTATATTAGGAAAAATGTAATATAGGAAATATAGGTAATCTACTATAGGAATGTAGATGTATATTCATCAATTCATCTAAAGTAAAAGAAATTAAATACTTGTTCATATTTAAAATAAATATTGTAAGAACYTCCCAAGGCCTTTGGGTGGTTATGCAGGTATGGAAGGAATTTTTATTGCCAACTTCTTTCTAATCAGGAAGGAGAACTTGCAGACCTAGAGCTGCTGTTGCATCTGGCTATAAGGGCAATATTTGGTGACTGAGAACTAGGGGGAGTGTCTTGCAAATTGGCYTCTTCCTTGTGAGTAACCTGAGCAGTATGACTAAAGATATACCAACACCTGCTCTTTTAGAAGGCAGAAACAAGACCTTAATACCCTGATCCACTATGTAGATTAAAACACAAAGTTTATGCATTTTGCCTTTGAATTCCTTGCCAGCTTGAAATGTCTTTTGTTTCCCCTCGAGAACTTAGATATGTGTTTGTATCTCTATCAGGAARTAAGTCTCCATCTTCCTGGCTCGCTGATGTTCTGAAAGAGAAAGGCTTTTCTTTCCTCATTAACAAATTTGAAGGAGGCGGCAGGGATGCTGGTAGTCTGTCTGGAATCCTTTCTCAGCCCACTCTTCATGGCATGCAGGAGCCTTTTAGCTTACGGACTGTTGTACAGTGGATGGACATGTTCTTAGCARCACTGGACTGCTACAATACATTCTTTGAGCTGCGAATGATCAAACCTCATGAAATACTGGGTAAGTGGTTAACTATCGTGTGTTGTGTGCAGGGTCGTTCRTCTCTGTTACTCAAGCTCACTTTAAGACTAGTTCCCTACTTGGACTTGAATCTTCTTTCTTATTTTTTTTTCCTTAAATGAAGAGTTGATKAAATCATTTCTCACATTTTCAAAAATTGTGCTATTACAGCCACATCTCCTTCTCTTGAGACCGATAGTTTTTTAATCGTTTCTGAAGCTCCTTACCTATTCTTTATTAATGTCTAGAGAGGGCTATCAGAAAGCACTGCAATAAGTCCCTTTCTCACTTCAAGGCCCATATGTGTTATCTTTGCAATGCTTCAAATGTATCATGTCTGAATGCCTCCAATTTGTACTTTCGTAAYGTAGTCACAAAATCTGTATCAAAAAATATTCCTTCTAATTATGCATGCCTCTCTAAACAAAACAAATTTTTGTATCATTGACAGTTACAGTTATTTCATATATGAGGTTCTGCCCTTCTGTCATGGTGTCATCTCTGTCTTCCTTTAAAAAAAATACTGACAAATTTTTGTTAGATGCAGTTAGCRTAAGTCCGAATTATTCAATGCTGCGCCTTTGAAAACTTCATCCTTTTTATTACAAATGCTTAAAGCATTATAAATGTTTCATTTGGAATGGTATCACTCAGTGTCCAGAATGCATATGATTTTCAGAAAATATTGACATATTGAGGCTRTTTTCTTTCAAACACAAATTAATGTTTTTGAAGTTGGAAATTGCTGTTGGGTTTCAACTTACTGTAATTCTTCTTAGGTATAAATGAAAGATCTTCATTCTTAAAAGCTCTGCAGTTCTTCCTTGAAACTATTGCTTTGCATGACATCCAGGCAGCAGAGGAGTGTTTTGGCTGCAGCTCTAAAGGCAGCATGTTCAGTCCACAAGAAAGAGAAGTGTATAATTACAGCAAATGTACCATTATAGTCCGGATCATGGAGTTCGTCACCATGATCCTGGAATCTTGCCAGCAGGATTTTTGGAAGGTAGGCACTGAAGTCTGTAGTGAATAGAAGTTACAAGTTTTATTTCTGGTTAAAAGTTTGCTCTCTTAGTGTTAGTTTACTGCAGAATGTCACTGTTAGAGATGCTTTAATTCAAATTGATCATCACACATGATGATCTGTTACAGCCTTTGGATGTTAGGGAAAAGCACAATTTTACACATCTGAGTTTTAATGGTTGATGTAGGTTTAGTAAGAAGAATTAATACCTCTATGTATTCCAGTAAGGGTATTGAATATGAGCTTATCATTCATTCTTGCAATGAATATTTTTACAGGACATTTACTGACCTAAAATATGTGAGGGAATCATTACCTGAAGGCAGATTCCCTCCAGTATTCAGAATAAATATTCAGATCTCTCTATTGCCTAAATGGGATGGAATTTAAGCTGTACCGTGTGTAGTTAAATACCTCTGAGTTGCTTATGAAATTAATGTTGCCAGGTTTAGATTTTTTAATTTTTTTTCAGATTAGAATTTTCAGAGTGTCTCTTGTTTTAAGTAAATTGTTAATAGAGCGAACAAAGGTGAACATCTGTCTTTTGAGATAATGATGGATGCATAATCAGGACTAAAGCAGATCTGTGTGGACAGGAAAGATGTTATACAGATACCGTTGCATGAAACTGCACATATTTGTGTATCACTGGGTATCAGGCACTGTAATTTCTGCATATTATCATGATTCATTGAAGGCATTTCATGGAGAAGGAGAATGTCACTTATAATGAGAATAGTTACTGCTCTGTGGTTTGTTTTATTGTAGATGAAGGTAATGAAAAACAGGGAAATTAAATGGATTAAAAATGACACTTTACTTGAATGTTTTATTCTTTTTAGCTGCTTGAGAAGGAATTACTTAATGCAAGCTTTATAGAGCTTCTGGCGATGACTGTGTGTGATCCACTGCATGTAGGCTTTAACACAGCTGATGTGCAAGTCATGAAAAACCTCCCAGATATCTCAGTGAGACTCATGAAAGCTTTGATGAAATCTCCCTATAAGGAATCTTTGAAACTAAGCATGAGAAAAAGACTCACGCCACAAAGGTAGGTAGAATCTTTGCAATAAGTGAGAAGGCAGAACAAATGCCACTCACTGTGGGGAACAGAAAGCAACTGATGTTGGGTATGGTTGCAGATGAAGCTCCCACAGGTGATGCTATTGCTTCTCTTTTGTCTTTAGCCTTGAGGACCTTTGTTCTGTTGCTCTGCTTAATTCAGACACACGCTTTGATCACGTCAGGTACAGCGCTATCCTTTCTGCCTGCAAGCAACTGCAGAAAGCTGGCCTGCTGCAGTCTGTTCTTCACAGTCAGGTAATGGCTTAGTCAGAAAATAGCTGTGAATATTTTTACACAATGGAGAGTTTCTCAYGTGCAGAAGGCTGATCCGAAAACAGTAAACAAATCAGCTGAGGAAACTGTAAAATGAGATCAACAGTGAGGAGCTGATAATAACATGACATGAAAAATAAATACCTTATTTTTTTAACAAAGTGAGGATCATAAATGCTGAGAATTGATCTTCAGAATTATATTTGTTGGCTTGGTTCTTCCAGCTGTTCTTTTCAGTTAATTACTTTGAGAGCAAAATGTAGTTTAGGATAGGTGTAGGCTGTTACTYGATAGACCAGGTTTCTGATTATGATCAATTTCTATTTTATTTGGGGCCATGGAAGGAAAACAGACTGTGAAACAGCCAAACAGGTTGAGAGAATTTGTTAACTGGTTAGCAAGTAACGAAAGATTTAATTTCTATGGGGTCTTTGCCTTGGCTTCAGTAATGTCCATCATTTACATCTAGAGCTAAGACTGGACTGAACTGTAGCTGTAGGATAAATATTTGGGGAACTGCATTCTTTCCATTCTTCAGCACACCCATTCTTAGTAAGCTGTTCATTTTGTTTCTATAGTAATTATGTTTGTCTTAAAAAAAAAAAAAGAAGGATATTCAGAATCTTCGGAAGTTTTTTTTAAAATGAGCATCAGTTTGTTCTGAACAAAAGCATTAAAGAATACTGCCCAGAGGCACCAATAATCTGTGTAACCTTGTGCAAATCAGCGTTGTCTGGTTAAAAATCTTTCTATTCAATTAGAAATGCGTCTCGTCTTGATTTACTTTCACTGTGTTATCAGAAAGTGACCTGGAGTTAAGTGCTTATTGCTTATTAGCTAGCCAGATGGATGTTTGTTTTTCTTCATATTCTTCATAGGCCTGTTGTTTTTCTTCATATGTTCCTCCTTGTTTCACTGGCACCTGTTTGTTTATTTGTGCAGGATGAAGTGCCTCATTTTTCACTTGGCTACAAGCTGCTTTTGGTTGTGTATAAAGGCATTGCACCTGGAGGGGAAAGGGTCCCTCTTCCATCACTGGACATCAGCAATAAGCGATTAGCTGATGGGCTCCTGCAGCTGGCCTTTGCTATTGATCATCAGGTACTGATGGTTCTCCTGTTTTCATACTTACTCTTAACCTTTCTATTTTCAAGAACAATGTAGAACAAACAACAATATTGGTATTAAAAGAGGATGATGTTTTATTTGTAGTCCTTAAGAGGAACTGTCAKCATTCTCTGACTACTTTGAGCAAAAAGAGGAATTATAGGTAATAAGCATTTCAGTCTTCTGCTTCTGCTTTATTCTTGTGCTTTCTGGGTTTATATTCCTGGTCACATAAAAGAAGTCCTTTGCTTTCATAGGAAATAAGTGAAACTTAATGTGTTTGGGATAATTCTGTCTTCCCATCTTAATTTTCACAGTGTGAGGAACTGGTGAGTCTGCTGTTGAACACAGTTGTGTTATCAGTGCCATTGTCAGGAGCATCCCAGAAGAACCTGATAAATTTCTCCCATGGAGAGTATTTCTACAGTCTCTTCTCAGAAACCATTAATGAACACCTRCTAAAAAACCTTGATATGGTCATACTCCAGCTTATGGAATCATCTGTCAGCAGTCCCCAAATGGTAATAGACTTCTTCATAAGCACACAGTCAAATAAAAATACTTGAAGTAACACTTTATTTATTTATTTGTTTATGTTAAAAGTGAATGCAACTGAAAGTGTGTAGAAGGGAAAAAGTGTGTTTGGTTGCACATGTTCTTCCTTGCTTTTTTTTTTTTTTTTTTTTCCCTTTTTTTTTTTTTTTTTTTTTTACAGAATGGAAACTCTGTTCTTCCTTGCTTTTTTTTTTTTTTTTTTTTTTTTTTTAACTCTAGTATGAATTGCATTTGATATTTTTTCCTTAGTTTTATATGCTCATTTTGATATATAGGAAGAAAAAAAGAAGTGTTTTTTTTTATTGTACCCCTCCAAAATCTGTTGAAATCCCATGCCAATGAAGTTGTTATAATGATTTAATTTAGAATGAAAGAATATCCTTAATGTTTTTCATTTCAGGTTGGTAGCATTTTGAATGGCATGCTTGATCAGAGCTTTAGGGAGCGCACCATACGCAAGCAGCAAGGATTAAAGCTGGTTGCAGCTGTGCTAAGAAACTGGAGGAAACTTGACGGTTGGTGGGCCAAAAGTTCTACTTCTGAGAGCAAAATGTCTGCCTTGACCCTGCTGGCAAAAGTTCTTCAGGTATATGTTGTGTTATGGAATAGAGTCTTTCTGATAATTGTGTGGGGTTTATCCCTTCTCAAAAGAAGAGTATTTTAGTTAGATTTTTTTTTCCTCTTAAATTGGAGAATATCAATTTCTGGTATGCTTTATTTGCAAAGTACAAAGAAGTACAAAAGTATTTTGACAGTGAGAGATGACTGGCTTTGGCTCTTCTCTCTCCCTTCTGGCCTCCTTCTCCTCTCCCCTCACCTTTTTTTGTTTTTTAACCACTGACTCATGTGCTGGCTGCATTTTCTCCTGGAGAACAGATACAAGTACAGGGAGCAAGATTTGACGACCTGCTGTCATGTTGCTGTCCTGGAAGTGTGGGATAGAGAAGTTTCCTGCAGAAAGGACTCTCTTTCAAAGACCRTTTATTTTTGTTCGTTGCTTTAGGGGGTTCACACCTTTTATTCCTTYTCTGTTTGGACGACAGAACTTACCTTCCTGTCTTCTTGGGTGTGTGTTTTCTGTTTGTGGTAACTTACAGAAGTAACCGTATGTGTGTGTACTTTCTGCTGATTTAATATACTTTAAAAAAAAAGAAAAATATTTTTAGAAAAAAAAATATTATTTAGATAAATATATGTTTAGGAAAATATAATTTTTGACTTTTTTTTCTGTATGTTAGTAGAAGGATCTTTTTGGTTACTTTTTTTTTTTTTAAAATTTCTTCCTTTCTTCCAGATTGATTCTGCAGTTTCTTTCAACACAGATCATGAAGCATTTAGTGCTGTTTTTAATACCTATACTAGTCTACTTATTGATCAGGATTTGGACTTAAATCTCAAGGTAAATTTTTCACYTCAGTGGCTCCCCACTTCTCCCTCCTCTCCAAGTTTGAATGCTAATAGTAGATAAAATTCCCTGTTACTGGGCTTAAATTTTATCTTAGTTTGTCCAGTAAAATGTATCATTCCATTTTTATTCTTCTGTTCAACATCCTGAAAATYTTAAGTCATCCTGTTTGTTCTTCAGACAGGAAGATTCTGTGTCGCGGATTCTGTGTTTGGGAGTTTTAGGTATTCTTTTTTTTTCCCCTTGACCTAATGACATGCATATCGTTTTTCTGGAAACATTCCTGTTCATTGCAGATAGTGTTCGTTTGAGAAATCACAGCTAATCAGGCTTTTAGCAAGGATTGAGACCAGCACTGATCAATTAGCTGCTATATGCAGCTTGGTCAAGAGAGGGAGATGAAGTACTGCGTGCTGAAAGTGGAAGTTACCAAAGTGATAGACTAGATCTTTGGACTTTGCTTTKCTTTTCTCTGTGTTCAAAATAAACAAAGTTTGGGCTTTTGCTGTAGCCCTGAAGAGTATAGACAGGAATAGTGCAGTAGATCAATGACTTCTGTGCTAATAGATACTTAAAAAAACAATAAAGTCTTCTTCACAGTCATGATAACCTTAAGAGAGTAATTAGGTTTTAAGTCTAGTTTAGGAATGAGCAAAGCTGCTTTCTGAACTAGCACCTTAAAAATGAGCAACAAGATAACATACCCGTATCAATACACAAGCTGTCGTATGGGTCAGTAGAGCCAAAGCTGATTATTTTACATCCCAATTCAGTTTGCTTCATAGAGGATATATTCATGTGGGTGTGTGTTAAACTATCTTTCTTTTCTTCAGAGCCAAGCAGTGATTATTCTTCCATTCTTCACTAACCTGACTGGAGAAAGACTTAATGACCTTAAGAATGCTCTTGACCAACTTATAGCTTTCAATTTTCCCTTGAAATCAGATGAATTTCCCAAAGGAACCTTGAAGCACAATAACTATGTAGACTGCATTAAGAAGGTCAGTATTTTTTTAATAAATGAATGTGTAATTAAAAGCCTTAAGGAACTGTATGTACATTTTTTTCAAGATGTTTTATCGTCTTTTAGATGGCAGATTTTTCCAATCATGAAATAGATAACAGATTTATCTGAACTTATTTCTAGAATTAATCTTGAAGTTCCACATTACTAAGATTCAAACACAATGTCCAGTCCTTCACACTCCTTCTTGGCAAGTTATTGCTGTTTTAATTGTTGTCTGTTTTATTTGGAACAGTTGTATTCTACTTAATCTGTAATAAGGCAGACTACTCCACAGTGAGATACTTTGGAAGCTGAATAGTAAGAAAATGTTTCATTTGGTATGGAAGCAGTGCTGTCACTTCACTTAAGTTTTCTTTTTCCAAGTATGTCTTTATCCAGAAATTTGACCTATACATTTACTTCAAATACACATATTCTTCTAACCAGCTGCTTCTGATTGCTATTAAAAAATTATTACAAAATTAGATGGGATTGATAATTCCTAGCAAGCCTTTTATATAAAAATAATATTGTTTCTTTTTCAGTTTTTAGATGCATTGGAACTGTCACAGAGTCCAATGTTGTTACAGTTGATGACTGAAGTGCTTTGTAAGGACCACAAACATTTTATGGAGGGCTTATTTCAAACCACCTTCAAAAGAATTTCCAGAAGGTGAGTTTGATCTTCATCTTGTTCTTTTTGCTGAAGCAAATTTCCTTCTTTTACTATTTGTCTTTGTAATAATGGCTAAAGAGTAAAGACAATAATTATGTGTGATAACTTTATTTGCTAACCATGTGATCACTTAAATAACACTTATGAACTGACAATGAATTACTTTGTTGAGCATCTTTGGAATACAACATGACGTTTATTTAATTAGAATGTTTCCAGGATAGTGAAGTGTGGCCACAAAATGCTTCTGTCCATAGAAGAGGTGTTTAGTGTGGAAAATAACAGCCTGTCATGAACTGGAACATTGAAGACATGACTGATTTAGAGCRTTTTGTTTCTAAGGTGTTCTTGTTTACAAAATCCTTTTTATTAACTTCGACAGTCTGTTTAGAGTAACTGTTTTTTGGTTTTTATTTTGTTTTTTCTTTGCTCCACCCATCTTGGATACTGGCTGTAATTTGTTAAGGTTGTTCAATGAAAAGGGAGCTGAGAAAGCCTGTGCTGCACAACACATTTAGCGTGGAGTATCCTTGAGATGCATTCAAGATGTTATTGTTTAGATACTACTGTTTGTGTAGGTTGGCTTTTTGGTCATTCCTTCGTTGAAGTTTCTAAAAGAAGTCCATTTGAACTGAGAGGAATGATTTTTAAGCTCTTTTCTTTCTTTCTCTTGATACCTGCTTGTTCTCATACACTACTATTGACTGTTAAGCAGCACTGGATGTTAAGGAGCATCAGCAGGTTTTAGAAATTTTTGAGTAACTCGAAAGGGGTTTCCTTGGTTATTGGCTGCTTTTTTGTATGTAAGGTTTTGATTACCTGGTTCTTCAGAAATCCATATGGACTGATTCTATTTTAAATTTAGTGACACTTACCTTGCATGCTAGAAGGTGTATGTGTCAGTATTCACTATTATATGTTTCTTTTCATCTGTTGACAGAAAGCACCTTTCTGAAGTAAAACATGATGCTTTTCTTATAGTGCTTAGATGATTTGTGGAATATTAACAAAAAGCAAGTTGAAAGCATGTCATTGATTGCATTTTAGGACATGAGTCTTGGAAAGTATGRAAGTTTAATATGTAGTGTTCATTTATTAATAGAATTTAGTTTCTTCTTAACAGACATAGATGCCATGGTCCAGTTCCTTAATCGGGATCATTCATAACCACAGTGATAAGCATTTTCATCTCGTTTCTTCAGAGAGGTGCTTTGGGCTGGGCAGACTGACATATCTAATAATGTGCTTTGGGATTAAACTAACAATAATATGTTTACCTTTTATTGCTGAATAAGAAGCAGAGTTTTTCCTGGGAAATCTCCACAGTAAATGGTGATTCAGCCTAATCTTCTCTGCAGTTTTCCATGTAGGATGATAACCCATGTAGATGTGAATGCAGATGAAGATTTTAGATGTTAGAGAGTTTCAAAATGTAAATACAGTCCRGCAAGGATTTTCACTTTGGGATTCCCATCCTGTTTAGGAGTAGCAGTGACAAGCAAGTGATGCTGTTGGACACTGTTCACAGAATGTTTCAGAGTGAAGATCTTCGTTCAAATACCACCCGCCAAGCTTTTGTGGATCGCTCCCTCCTCACTCTATTGCTGCACTGCAGCTTGGATGCACTAAGGGAGTTTTTTGGCARGATTATTGTGCAAGCTATGGATATGCTTAATTCCAGGTTTACAAAGGTATGAACTTTTTCCCACTTTTTTTTTTTTTTAAGCATTGAATTGTTACTGTGCTGGTGTTATTATGTACATTATGCCTAACTTGAAGTGTTATATAGGAAACTCTCTGCTTTCCACTTTTCTTTATCTCTGACCAGAAGTCCATGCTGGTTACATAGTTTGATCCCTCTTCGGTGCAGGATGCTTTTCTTTACTCTCCCACACACTGTTGCTTTCATTAATGTATGTTGTTTTATCTACTTCAAATAAAAATTGAAATTGGAATGTTATTCATATATATCCAGAGGTGGCAAAAACCCATTCTAACATTAGAATGTAAAACATATAAAATTGTTGCCTTTTATTACATTGTAGGAAAGAGGTATTTGACCTCTAGCTTTTAAGCTAGATTCCTTACCTGCATAASCAGATTTTCTAATCATTACATAGATTCTCCAGCAAGAGATTAGGAGCAGACACCTTCTTTTCTCCATGTACAGCCTGTCCTCTGACTTAGGGTGTAGTTATCTGCTATAATTTCTTTGTCAGTGGAGGTCTCTGCTCCTGCTGTTCTTCTCTACTGCCTCAGGGTACTCGGAGAATACATGCTCTGTGTCCCCTTGATAGAGGGTACCAACACAAACAAGATCCTGAAATGATCCGGAGGTCATAAGAGTCACAAGAAAGAGAGGAAGAAGAAGAAAAGGCACTTCTGTATAGTTTTGTTCCCACCATGTCTATATAGCTGTTGACACTGAAGTCAGACTTTTAAAGAAATGTGTAAATAATGCCCAAGATACCAATTAGTGCATTTTATAAAATGGCARTTGTACAAGTGACATATTCTTTTATTTTGGCTGTTATCAACTGTGTTTGGTTTTTGATCTTTATGTATTAATATGTATGTTGTTTTAAAAAAATCCATCATGTTTTCTCAAGGAAGTTCAAGTTGACAGATTCCTTTTACCGAGCACATTTCTCTCCTAGTATTGCTCTTACAGCTTTCAGTTTTGCTTATAAATATCCAAATTTGAGCCGTTATTTGGCATCCTGTTTATTTTACCCTAGTAGCACTCTAAAGAGTTAGACCAGTTGTTTTTAGAAAGTTATAAGGAGGAGGTCAACATAATTTTAATAGATGTATTACAGGAGCTCATAATCTGTCAGGCTGTCATCGTTGTCAATTCTTCTCTGTTTTAGAAGATGAAAGAAAATTGAAGTCTGCTTAGTAAAAGCTGGAGTAGCTGTGGAGCTATGTCGCAAGGGCAGGAGCTAAGAAATCTTTCTGAGGTTTTGTGTATTTCTTTTCAGTCCAATGAATCTGCTTTTGATACACAAGTCACCAAGAAAATGGGGTATTACAAGATGCTAGAAGTGATGTATGTTCGTCTCTCAAAAGAGGATGTTTACTCCAAGGATTCTAAAATTAACCAAGCTTTCCGTGGATCCTTAAGCACTGAAGGAAATGAACTTACCAAGACTCTGATAAAGTAAGACTTTATTTCTTTCATTTCTATCTGATTTCTCTTAAGGTTCTGGCAGATACTAAGTGTGCTATTCCAAGCAGACACTTACTTTGCTCAAGGATAGCCTTAATCTGTGATACAGTTTCTGATTTAAGTTAGAATTTAGAATATTGAATTTGCCCTGATAGCATCATCTTGAATGTAGACTACACAACTTTGTCAGGATAATTTCACTCTCCTCTTCTTGATAATACTTTTACATTTCTTAAGCTTATGCTTTTCTTTTTGATTTTAATATGGGGTGGGTTTTTTTGTCTTTGAGCTGTGTCTTGATTGGTTTGGCTTCAGTATGTTTGTTTGTTTATTTAGATTATGGTTTGTGTTGTAAGTTGTACATATTTACACTGTCAGTGAGAAGGTGGGATGAATTTTCATTTATATATCTTAATATAACAGCAAGCTCAGCAGGTGTGATTTTTATTAATAATGACTGCAGTGGGGGACAGAAGATAAATACATGCTAATTAATATTTCTTTCTTAAATATTCAGAAAAGCATAAAAGATTACCTTAACTGCTCTTCAGTTTTATTTTACAATATTATGTCTAATAAGGATTTTAAAGACTTTCTTAGCTATGGTTTTCAAACTATCTGTAAGTGGCTATGGGCAAAAGACCTATAGAAATTGCATCTAAACTGGTATGCTCTRGCTAATCTAAAAGATAGGTTAGCGTGGCTATCCACTGATAAGTTTCTCAGAAAGGTCTGTAGGAGATATTTGCTTATGGGTTGAAATATATCTCCATATTATCTTAAAATGACTTATTGTAAGTCTGGCATTGAGGATGGCTGTGTAAATACCAGCTGGAGTTGGCTTTGTCATTGCTGAGTTATTGTGGTTTCAGTGCAGCATTCCTGCTGAAAACTTGATCAGCTGCTTTTATAATGAAGTTCTCTTGAAATTTCTGTTGACTCACTGATGTAATGTTGGGGCCGTTCTTGTGCTTCTTGAAAACAATTTCTGACAGTGTTTTCTTGCTTGTTTTTATTTTAAGGTCATGCTATGATGCATTTACAGAAAACATGGCAGGGGAGAGTCAGCTGCTGGAAAAGAGGAGACAGTATCACTGTGCAGCATATAATTGTGCCATTGCTGTTATCAGTTGTGTCTTCACTGAGAGTAAATTCTATCAAGGCTTTCTCTTTACAGAAAAAGCAGAAAAGGTGAGAAGATATTGTTGCTCATATAAGRCTTTCAGAGCGTGACAGTGATTTTACTTAATTATCATAAATCCAAGCATCAAACCTGAATGGTATGCAATTATATGATGAAATGCCCAAACAGTCAGTTGGAGGATCAGTAGCTTGGATCTTTTGTGGCGTTTGAATTGTTGCTGAAGGCTATAACATGTTTGGGAATGGATGAAGGAAACAAGCCCTGTTTTTCTTCCATTCTCAATTACTCTCCTTAAAATACAGGGAAGCATTAGTTATCTGGGTCTTCCAGTGCTTGGTGTATACTTGAATATGACATATTTGGAGAATATGTTGCCTGTGCTTTGAGTTCTTATGTAGTTACTTTAAAAAAAAAAAAAAGAAAAAAGCATAAAAGTTGATCTGGAACATCACACATGCTTTACTTTCCATAATGTGCTTTTGAACTRTTGTATTTTAAAAAGAAACGAAATATTTTCAACATATTGAACAAAAGAATAAATTAGTGAGTGCAGCATTATAATTTTGATATTACCACTTTGATTTGCAGAACTTGCTGATTTTTGAAAACCTGATAGACCTGAGACATCAATATTCATTTCCAGTAGAAATTGAGGTAAGTTTGAATTCTGGATTTTAGAGCATTTAAGTGAAAAATTAGTACAGCTTCAACAGTGTACTCACTGTGTATTGGACATTTCTCACATGCAGAAAAACAGAATTCTGTAGTGAATTAAAAACTGGAGTGTTCTTCTRTTGTTTCAGAATACTTTTATTTTTTTGAGGGAAACCCAGACTTTAGATTCAGAGCACAACTGCAGTACACAGAATTCTTAATACAGTGTTTAGCACCCTTACTCTGAAAATGAATGGATGTAAGTTATTTGGCTGTTATGTTTTATGAATGATAATCATCACATCGTAAGCATTCACGATAAATGTTTTTTTTACCATTTGGGGCAATTTTGAAATGTTACACYGTAAATAACCTATACTTTTCAAACACTATTTCTTACTCTTGTTTAGGTGCCTTTGGAAAGGAAGACGCGGTATCTTGCTATTAGGAAGGAAGCCAGGGATGCAGGAAATGGGAATCAAGGTATGATATTTATTTGTGACTGTGAAAAAAAAATTCTTCTTGCCTTTCCTCCAGTGTCTATTGATGTGTGTGCAGATAGTTGACTAGTACCAGGAACAAATAAAAGCATTCACTGTACTTTGTCTAGCAACCACTTGTCACATTCCTCAAGTGTCAGTGGCCAATAAAGGTCTGTTTCTTTGGAATTACTTTGATTAATAGTCTATTCTTTTTCCTGTTTAGATGAGCCCAAGTATTTACCTTCTGCATCATACATGATGGATAGCAGTTTGAGTGAGGAAATGAGCCAGTTTGACTTCTCTACTGGAGTCCAAGGGTTTTCTTATAGCTCCCAAGATGTTACAGCTAGYAATCCTCGTTTCAGGAGAAAGGTAATTTAGTGAATTACATGCTGTGAGGAAGCAGAATTTTATGTTTTCTAGCAATTGCATGTGTTTACTGAGGCTGAGAAACAGAAATTTCAAAGGTGTTTCATGCTGAGAAATATGAAAATTTCCTTAACAGTAACGTGGACCACAACTGCTTTCTAAATCAATGTGTTCATGATGGTGCGATTTCTGAAGTTTAAGAGGAAAAGCCTGTTTGATCTGTCAATATCCACCCTCAAATATTTTTCCAGAAATAAATTTAAAAGACTAATTTTTGTTATTCTTACTGGAGTTGCTCTTCAACTGTTTCTTATAAATGTATAAAAATATAAAGAAATGATATTTCAGTCACCTACTGAAATATTAATTCTGCCAAACTTTAAAGGTGCCTAATTTAAAGGGCTTGTCTCCTTGTCTCCCATATTTGTTTTACTTGATGGAGGATGGATTCTCCMGGTGAGTGGGAGGATTTAAGCTGTATTCAGTCCTCTCCACTGACTGTTCAGCAGTCAGAAGAGAAACACTGTCCTACCTTAGGTTTCAAGAACCAAGTGATGCGAGTGCAGTTTAGTTGCTGCAAACATTCTAAAAATGAGATGTGACTTCAAGATGAAGGACCAGTCCAACTTGTAAAAAAAAGGTTTGCTTTGTTTGCACTCATGAGTGAGTCTCCTATGTCAGAGCTGATGGTTGTGTCTTGCTGTTAGGCTAAGTTTCCTCCTTTGCATCGTTTAAGGCACTTAGCAAGTTGATTGTATCAAACACATGGAATAAATTATCCAACTTTTTTTTTTCGATTATGACATCTTATCTTTAATTGATGCTGTACAAAAAACAGCATTTAAAATTTCAAAGATTTGAAGTTGTGTTCTTTCAGTCAAGAGAGGTTGCACCAAAAGTAATACTGAAAGAATACATGTTTGCAATAAAACAGAAAGCTTGCAAAAAGTATCATAGATACTGAAGATGAAATCTGTCAAAAGATTTGTACAAACATTGGATAAGATAAACTGTTTCCATGTTTAACAGCAAGGAAGTATTTCACTGCAGTGAAGTTAGCTGGAACTGTTTCTGTTTGCCTTGTGCTTTCTGACTGAAAAATGATTATTTTCTTTACTCTGTGCATGAAGAGGTTGCCAGGGAGGGGGGAAATAACTTGTCCGTAAAAATGGTCTTTGTGTGAAATCCTGGCTAAAACTGGAAGTTGGACGTTGTGTCATAGTTCAGTTGCTTTGCGGAAAATGTTGGCACATTCTTTCAGCTATGAAATGAAATATTTTCCATGAGCTTCAGCTAACTCTTCCTCTTTCCAGTAGTTACTACCTGCTAGGATAGGGTGGCAAAGTGAGAACAGTATTCAGTTGGTATCTGTTGGCAAAGAAAGTAAAAGCTAGGCACAATTGGTGTATATATTTGGGATCTTGAAAAACAGATCTATTTCTCTGTTGCAAGCTCTGAGCGATGAAAGCAGAGATAAGTTTTTAAACAGAGATTAAATCAGCAGCATAGCACATGGCATTACCTTGATATAGAAGAAAGTGCAATGTGTGTATCTAGTTATTCACAATATTTTTCAGGAGCCCACGGAATACATGGCTTTAGATGATGAGACAGAACTGGAAATGGATGAGCTCAATCAGCATGAATGTATGGCTTCTATGACCACCCTGATTAAACATATGCAGAGAAACCAGATCACACCCAGAGTGGAGGAGGTCAGTGTTAAACAAAAGATTGGACCTGTTCACTCCTTGAACCAAAAAGAGAAGTTACACTGAAATGCTTTTCTTCTGTATGGCTATATATGTAATAAAACTGACTATGTTATAACAAAACTTGGATGGTAAGCCTGTTTGATTCAAAAAGTAAGTTGTTTTTTTTTTTCTCATTTTTGTTTCAGGGAACAGTTCCAGCAGACCTTCCTCTTTGGATGAAATTTCTCCATGGCAAGTTAGGAAACCCATCAGTACCACTGAACATTCGCCTCTTCATAGCAAAACTTATTGTTAATACTGAAAATGTGAGTCATTTCTGTCATGTTCTTTCAATTAAAATAGGTTGTATAACTGAATAGGTTGTATTATTACTGAAACAGGAGTTTAAACTTTGGTACATTGTCTTGATAAAGGAGAATGCATTCATAATCCAAAGTTCCAGCTAGTGGCAGCATTTTGAATGTAAAGAAATACTTTTTCTCCCAAACTCTACTTCTCTAAGGCTGTGTCCACAATGTATGACTTCTGTAAGTTCTAAGTAACTGATTTCTAGCTCCTGGGCAAGTAGTATGATTCATACATGCTATCTTAGCAGGATCAAATGCAATTAGTCTTTTAATGGTCACAGGTGACACTAATGGAAACCTTTAGAGCTGAATGGTGCTCCCATTGAAAATACAAGATAATATATGGTATCTTTGGCCATGAAGAAACATTTTATAACTCTTATTCTTGGCTAAAACATTCTTGTCCTATTTCAGCCAGTGGTTTTGAAGTGTAATGTTTCTGTTTGCAGTATTCCTAAATATTGCAGTGTTATCTAAAATATAGAAAAGCTGCATTTCAGAATATATCCAGAAATCTTTAACACCAGTTGAATGTTACATTCTCAGTAGAATTCTCTTGAAGTAGAAATCCAAAAGGATAAAAAATGGCATATTCTTTCAAGTACTACAGGGGCTGATTTGATGCATGAAGACCTTTGATAAATCTGTACTATATGGGTTGTAGTGAAATAATTCCCTTAATGTAAATACTTGCTTAAAGAGTTGTAAGCAGAAGTGAGGAGTGCAGTTATGGAGTTTTTTATTTTAAAGTTACTTCTAAATTTCTGTGCTTATTTACTTTRGACGGGGTTAAGGAAAGTGGTTAAGTTAAAAAATATTGAAAGCAGGTTATTGATTAATAGGTTAATGTGTAGTTGACTGCTAATTGTCCTTTTTCCATAGGTTTTCCGACCTTATGCAAAGCAGTGGCTTGGTCCGTTGCTGCAACTTGTTGTTTCYGGGAATAATGGAGGTGAAGGAATTCATTACATGGTAGTGGAAATAGTAGTTACTCTCCTCTCCTGGACAAGCGTGGCCACACCCAAAGTAAGAAAATGAGAAATTAATTTGTATTCTAGGGACTACTTGGCAAGGAATGAGTTTGTTTTAGTGCGTGTGGAATAATTTTCTACATTAGCGGTTTCTTTTAGCTATTAACTTCTAAAAATAGCATATTTACTTGTGTGCTTTCATAGAATAGATGAGTTTGTTTTGGAGTCATTATATGTTTTTTTTTTTAATCCATTTATCGTAGGGAAATATTAAAGATGAGATTCTAGCTAACAGATTGCTTGAATTCTTGATGAAGAACGCCTTTCACCAGAAAAGAGCCGTATTTAGACACAATCTGGAAATCATAAAGACAGTTGTGGAGTGCTGGAAGAACTGCCTCTCCATACCTTACAGGTAGTCATTTAGGCAATTGCATTCTTTTATCAATATTTAAAAATGTAAGTGAATGTTACAATSGATTGGAGAGATAAAAAGATACATTCAGCTGCAGCATGGGTTTTTTTGTCCCTAGAGTAGACCATAAAACTTCAGAAAAGAACTTTATAAAAGTGGGAATATACAAATGTTATTTTGTAGAACAGAAAGGAAGAAGGGTAAGAGAGTATGCATAGGATTAAGATAAAAACACTAGAAGCAGGAGTAATCTCTGCAAAGATTTTTTTTTTTTTTTTTTATGTAAACTGTTGGCGTTTGTCACAGACTATCACCTGTTACTACATACCTAGTAAAACTCTTKTGATTTGCCATCTTCATGAACTTGTTGCAGAGAATTTTGTGGGCTTAAAAACTTTACTAGAATTTTGTTTTACCGAGACTTCTTTATGGTGCAATTAGTTTACTTTGTTATGAATGGATATTTTTTACTGTTTTTTTTTTTTATGGGGTATGTATATGTATATAAAGATGCGTAAATTCTATAGTTTTTATATTTTGTGCTTATCATGTCACTCTTCTGTGTTACTGTAACAGCTTAATATTTGAAAAGTTCTCTGGTGGCGATCCCAATACAAAGGATAACTCCGTGGGAATCCAGCTTCTGGGCATTGTTCTTGCTAATGATTTACCTCCCTTTGACCCAAAGTGTGAAATAGATCGTGTCAGGTGAGAAATGCAGCGTTTTGGAGGCTAAATTGTGGTGTGAGTTTAAGAGGAGAGGAACAATTTGTCAGCATGAAGCAGGAGAGTGGGATTGTTCACTTAATTGATACTGGTGTCTTGTTGCATCTTTGCTAATATGTGTGCTGTGTAATGGTTTTTTAGCTGCAATCTGTAGAACCTTTTTATTTTGGAAAATATCTGGAACAAATGTAGGGATTTTTACAATGTGCCTGAGAGTTGCAATTTCATGGGAGTTAAGAGTCAGGAATTGTCAAAGCAGACACTGCAGGTAAAAATCTATATTGCGCTGTGTTAAGCTCTTTTAAGGCTAATTACTCTTCTTCTGATTATAGGGTTTTTTTTKGTTTGTTTGTTTTGTTTAAAGTTGCGTGCTAGAGTAGTTGCTTACAGTAGGCCTTTTTTTTTTATTACAGGTACTTCCAGGCTTTGACCAGTAACATGGGCTTATTGAGGTATAAAGAAGTTTATGCAGCTGCAGCAGAAGTGTTGGGACTTGCTCTTCACTACATTGCTGAGAGAGAAAATGCAAGTGCACTGTGTTTCATGTTTAACCACTCCTGTTGTGACTCAGTGTGCATCTTGTATATGACTGCTTAGTTCTGCTCCAAAAATGAAAATACTTAAAGCTCAAAAGTCTGCATCCAACAGATAAGTTAAAGAATAAACTGTTAACTTAAGCAGATGAAAATTTGAGACTCCTTGTAGGGTCCTTTGTATTCTTATGTTCCCTCTCCCTTTCTTTGCCTTCTCTTTGTTCTTCCTCAGTTTATGGAGTATATTTCGTAAACTGAATTCCTGCAGTCTTTTTTTTTTTCACAATTTTCTGAGTTCTTTTCATTAAAAGCCATAATTTTGAGTAGATGTGCAAAGATGGTACAAATATTTTTTTGTATTTTAAGCTTATTTCTTTGACATAAAATAAAAATGGCTAGGGCTGTTAATTTTTTCCAGCTTTTCACTAAAAATATCTTCATATATATATAACACACACATACACACATGCAAATATACATGTATACATGTATTCAAGTATACATTCTTTAATGGAAAAATCTCTCATAATAAATAGAAACCACCATTAATGTAGAGATACCACAAGACTTTTGTTTCAGAATTAAGGCATTGGTCCCAACCTCATTGGTGGAAGATTACAAATGCTAAAAATGAGGCAATCTCATATTTCAGCCCTGCATTCCTGCCATAAAAGTAATGTAGATGTCAAGATGAGCCAGGTCAATGTCAGTAGTAAAATGCACTGGCAGCAATGCAACAGCASAATTCATCACTTAGCTTGCTATGAATTTCATGGCTGTGTTTATTTGTCTTCTTATTTTTAGATACTTGAAGATCCAGTTTATGACTGTGTCWTAAAACAGCTAAAACATCATCAGAACACCCAACAGGATAAGTTTATTCAGTGCTTGAGTAAAGTTGTCAAGAGTTTTCCTCCTCTTGCTGACAGGTACATCMTGACTTACGTGGGATGTTCGCTACAGATCTAGAAGATAATAGAAAGTAACTTCCTTTTGTTTTTGGGKTTCTGGTTATGTTAAGGTTTATGAATGCAGTGTTATTTCTGATACCCAAACTTCATGGTGTGATGAAAACATACTGTCTCGAAGTAATAATGTGCCGGGCAGAGGAAATAGCTGATCTGCATTTGCATTTAAAGAGTAAAGACTTCATCCAGATTATGAATCACAGGTGAGTGGCCATATGATTTACAATGTGGTTACATAGTCTAAACTTTGTGGTAGCCACAAAAATGCATAGTCCACATTCATTACAATTTATGTTCTCTTTTTTGTTCATGGCTTTCCTAATAGCAGATGAGAATCTGGGAATTAACCTGAGATGGTTAGCTCACTGTAAAACAAACACAAAAGCCACTCAATGACTTGAAGCTGAAATGCTAGCTCCCATTCCTTGGGGTGTGAATTTCATCTTTAAAAATGTATTTTTTTTACTTAAAGTCTTGCTTATAGGTTAGACTTAAAAATATTTACCTAAAACTCTTCAGATAAAAAGAAATACCAATAATATCTCAAATGATCTTTTGCTCCTGWATATGGCAATGAAGAGGAAACCAGTGTTATTGATCTTTTTTCTCTTTACAGGGATGATGAAAGGCAAAGGGTGTGTTTGGATATAGTTTACAAGATGCTGTCTAAGCTGAAACCACTAGAACTTAAAGAACTTCTTCCTGGAGTAGCAGGATTCATCTCTCACCCTTCCGTAATATGTCGACAGCGCATGTATGACATTCTGATGTGGATTTATGATAACTACAGGTGTGTATTCACTGCAGATATTGTCTTTCCATGGTATCTCACAGGCAGAGTCAAATGTTCGCAACATCTCTTTCAACTTAATGTCCTTCAGTGTGGGATTTTCCAGTTCTCAGAGGGGAGAGCACCTATGGGTTGCCTCTTTTKCTCTGGCCTTTGTTTGCAATTGTATCATTTCCACTAACGGGCAAGCTTTGAATCTGAACTTTAGTCCAGAACCAGAATGTTGCATCACCACATCATGATGGCATAAGAGCTTTTATTTCTAATGCTTCTACTTTCTTTGGTGGTGACAGAATTTATAACTGTGGTAAGAACCATACACTAGAGAAATTTGTTTGTGGTACTTCAGCATGATATGGATTCCTTCAATCTGAATGTATACACATGTTTTTACTCTTCAAGAACAGAAGGTTTGAAATACATTGTGTCTAAATCAGTTCTTTTCCATCTGTCTTTGAGAGCACATATCTGCCTATCACTTGTTAAACAAAAGTATTTTATAGTTAGGCTACTGTGGCCACAGAAGGATACTTAATAAACTAAGGGTATAGTAGCAGGTCTGAAGACTTCTGACTTGCAGCAAACTGCTGGCCACTAGGTGAGACGTTGTAACTGTGAAGTGCTCTAAGGACCCATATCCCCCATCAAGTTTGTGGACAGAAATGCTTTCACTGTCATTCCTAGGGTGGAATTTACTACCTTTTCAGAAGCTTTTCCCCCTTCAGTTTACCAGTGGACATTCCAGAACCTTAAAAACTAATACAGCTTTTTAGAAGTTTAAGCAAAATTAATGGAGTGCAAAATGAAATAATTTAACCCCATCAATGCATCGCATTCTGTATGGTATCCTCACACGGAGTGGTGAGATGGTATCTAGGAAGGGTGTTACCTTAGGAGCAATGTTCAGTAAAGAAGTCTGTCCTTCATTCCCACTTCAAAGTGACCTGTAAGGTGGCCATTTAAATTTCAGTAATGGTGATTTGAAGTTAATATTTTCATTGTTTAAAGGAGGTTGCTGTTATATCCTATAACATATTTGCAAACTTATAACTTTGCCCAAGATGGGTGGTTATTTACCCAAGATAAACAATTATTTGCATGAAAAATTGTTCTGAAGAAAAAGTGTGAGCAATTTTTACTGCAGTGTCACAGTGGTAACACTCTACCTTTTGCTCAGTTTTAAGCATGCCAAGTCAACATTGCTTCTGCTGGAACTTTATAAAAAGTAACTAATAGGTATTACTTAGCTTTCAGATTTTTATTTTTCTAAGTGCTGGAGAGACAATACATTTCTGTCAGTGAGGTCCTGATGTCATTAAAAATATACACTGTTGTCATGTCAAGGTTGAGATTTTAATGAGAAGGACATATTACTTCGTTTTATCTCCCATCTTTATCCTTTTTACTATGAATTGTTTGAGATAGAAGTTAAGAGACATTTTTCTACTCCAACATCAGTGATCCAGAAAGCCAAACAGATGATGATTCTCAAGAAGTCCTCAGACTGGCCAAAGAAGTCTTACTTCAAGGACTGACYGATGAGAACGCTGAACTGCAGTGAGTAAAAAGTGTTGTGGGGCACATAAAATTTAAATTGAAATAACTGAATATTTAAAATCATTACTAGCTTTTGCACAAACCTTTAAGCTGGGGAGGAGTTGTTTCAGTCTGTCACAGGTTAATGATTTAGAGTTCTCAACAGCAAGGTCCTTGATATAAGCAGTCCAAAAAGCATAGAATCAGCATTGAAGGGTGTTGGATTTTTTTTTTTTTTTTTTTTTTTTTTTTTTTTTTTGTAAAGCAGAAGTTAGAAAGGGAGATCTGTGTGTTTGTCTACTGATTGCATGTCTTGAGAAGATAACAATACAAATGATTTTCCAGAGTAGCTCTTTTTAATATCAGCTAAATGGCATAGATGGGTGTGGAATTTGATGTGATTCAGTGGAAGGTTTATGGCATGGAAGGTTTAGTCATGAAAGATTGTACTATTATTTTTAACAGGCCTTTTCATAAATGTCATGCATATGCACAGTATTGTATTTTTTTTTTGTTTGGAAATGACTAAGAATAACTTTATTCATTGTCTTTACAGATTAATTGTTAGGAATTTTTGGAGTGATGAGACAAGGTTACCTGCAAATATTCTGGAGCGCATGCTGGCATTGTTGAGTTCATTATATTCCACCAAGACAGAAACTCAGTACTTGAGTCTGATCACAAATTTTCTACTTGAAATGACCAGCAAGAGCCCAGATTATTCCAGAAAAATGTTTGAGCATCCACTTTCTGAATGCAAATTTCAGGTGAATTGTAATATTTTGTTTTTTATGCAACCATGTAACAATTTCCAACCCTCTTGCAGCTATGACTTTACTAAGAATGGCATAGTAGGGATGAATATTTGAAATGCATTTTCTGTAGTTAACAGCTATGACAGTCATAGGTTATGCATGGTGTCATAAGTTTGATTTATTCTTTTTTAATGAGGTGGATATTTTGCAGYGTAGATGATGTTATAAGAAAAGAAAATGGAGAGAGGAATCATAAGTGGAAAAAAATAATGAAGAACTAAAATTAGTAGCAGTCATGTCACCTACCTATTCAAATTCGTGAGCTTTCTTACTTATGCAGACTTTTTATGTAGTCTTTTATATTCAAGTTCTGGATCTTCACACAGGACAGTGTTTTAAATTCKGTAGTTTCATTTCAGCTGTCCTTTCTCAAGGCAGGCAGGAAGCTGCATTTCGTATTGCCCTTATTSACATCATTTTGTGTTCATAGGACTTCATAATTGACTCCAGCTGGCGTTACCGAAGCACTGTGCTCACACCAATGTTTGTGGAGACTCAAGCTTCTCAGGGCACCAACAGGAGTTTGGCACAGGAAAGATCCCCTTCGACATCTGGGTCAGTAGGTGGTCGAGTGAGGGCTACACAACAGCAAAATGAATTTACACCTACACAGAATATCAGTAAGTCCAGACCAATATCCGCTGACATTTCCCTGTTTGCTCTAGTAATAATTCCATTGTCTTTATTTCTGTTGCATTTTTTTTTTTTAAGTGCATCTGTTAGTTTGTTTTTAAGGACTATTTTGAGAAGACAGGGGAAAAAATGTAGTCACATTGTTTTTGGTCTGGTTTGCATTTTATTGACAACTTTAATAGAACAAAGTTTGTTTCTTGTTTAAAGGTTTGATATCTGTTTAGCTCACATGCAGTGGGAATTATGTCTTTGGGAGGAAAACAACCAGTTTCGTATATCGTTTCCCCTGGACTACATAGTGATGTGTTACAGACTTTTTTTTTTTTTTTAATACAGGTGGTAGAAGTTCTTTTAATTGGCTAACTGGAAACAGCATCGACACATTAGCAGACTACATGATTCCTTCATCCTCTGAATCCTTGTCCTCATCTATGCTCTTAGTTAGCAAGCGGAGTGAAAAATTTAAACAAGCAGCCTTTAAACCAGTGGGGCCCGATTTTGGAAAAAAAAGGTTGGGTTTACCTGGAGATGAGGTGGACAGCAAAACTAAAGGTGCATAGACTTCCTCTGAGAATGTCAATATAATTATTGTATTTTGTTAGTCTTTTTTTTTTCTCTTTAAAGAAACTGAACAAGTTGTTAAGATTTTTTTTTCCAAATCATTTCACCTATGCTGACACATTCTGCAACAGATTGCARTCTGGCAATAGAACTGTCTGCTCTTATCTGAGACTGCTCCTATATCCACTCACTCCATAGCTGGAAAAAAAATATGTCAGCACTGTTCTGGAATGGCTTAGGCTCATTCTTCCAGCTAAATATCTGTTACAATGATATGGCCTTTCTCCATGACCATCCTAATCCAGGGATGATTCTGTAATAGTGACTTTAAAAATCTAATGACATGTAGTTGTTATTTTTTTCTCAGTCTTTCAAGGTATCTAGCTCCTTCTTTTTGCAGGTAGCTAGATGCTGTATGGAATATGGTGTTTAATATCCTTGGGGATATTAAAATAAATTTGTCACATGCGGCAAATTTATGAATTTTAGTGCTGTTTTTGGAACAACTGTATACCCCTATACCTCATCTGTGTGCTTCAAATATTGATATAATTGCTTATCTCTTTTCCTAAGAATAGCTTAATGTATTGTTTTAACTCAACATCTTGTTGAAAGGCCTTGCACTAAGTTGTTGAATATGAACCTTGGAATACTGGTTGGTAAGCTAGCAAATACAGAGACAATGTGCTCTAGTATACTGTGCTCATGCCTTACCCAGAGGTTTGCCTGAGAAAGGAGAAGCTGTAGACCTGTATGTTTGCCAGAACTAAAGCTGTGGGACTTGAATTGTTTTTATGCCTAGGTATAGATGAACGGACAGAAATTCTGAGGCTGCGGAGGCGTTTCTTGAAGGACCAAGAAAAACTCAGTCTGATTTATGCTAGAAAAGGTGTGGCTGAACAGAAACGAGAAAAGGTTTGTGAATCAAAGCAAGTTCAAAACCTTAAGTGCTGGTGCCATCCAGTTTTGTACATTTCTAGACGTAACTTTGTGAAGAAAGAGTGTGTGTGTAAGATACTGCTTAAGATACTGCTAATATGAGAGCTTTAAAAGGTGCTCTAAAAATTTGGAAAACGTGCYATTTACGTGCATGAGCAGAAAAAGATCCAGATGGTAACACTTCCAGTGTTACACTTAGTGTATAGGATTATATGATTTTATGTGATGGAATATTTAGTAGTGGTGGGAGATGTTTACAGCCGAAGCTCTTTACAGTTGTCACCCTAGAAATGAGAAGCCCTGAATTTAGACTATTTCTGCAGATATGAGTGTTGGGAATCTTATCTGTTATCTGAAGGTAAATTCGAAATTATGAGGCAACAGCTTTTAGAGTAACCCTAACTGTTGCATACTCTCAACATGAAGGAAAGTCAATATTAATCGTTTGCAGAGTGTTTATCAAGGCCAGAAATCTAGTGCTGTATGGATTTCTTGATTGTGTTATGTATTTAAAATATTATAATATATTAAAAAAATAAATAATGAAATAGTAAATATAATATGTATTTATATTATAATATTATGCCTAATGGAGAAACAAGAGAAAATAGATCCTTGCCACGCAAGTATTTGGAAATACCAAAAGGTTTAGCAAAGCCCTATTGTCTCCCAGAATATTGCTCCTGGATTTTTTCTTTTGGAAAATCATCCATTTGAAGTTGTGTAGGATAAAAAAAGGACTGAAATGTTTACATTCACCCACCGTCTCCTGGTTTTAGTGCCAGTGGCAAAAGAAAAAATATCCTATCTTGTAAACTTATTGCTGATTTTGTTATAGTTTAGCAGTGCTATGAAAAGGAAAAAGGCAGAAGAAGAAACAGGTTTTGCTGAGATGTAGCAATAACTCTTGTTCAATTTAAATGCTCTCAGCAGTAAAACWTCAACAATAGACAGGGCAGCTATTTAACAACAATTTACAGCAGTTTTATTCCATATTGATTTAAGTTTTAGTAGTAATCAGTTCTACCAGATTCATCCTTCTTTCTTTCCCTTCTCACMCACTGAAATAAAACATTAGATTTTTATTGACATTTGGAGCAAACTGAGCTGCCAAGTAACTGGCTGCTGTGGCAGCTGGCAGGCAGTAACTTACTAAACCAGAGTTGTTCACTAGCTTTCAATCATAACCCCATACTCCTTAGAAATAACTGAGACGCCAACTTAGTGGAAGCAGGAAATACAAGGCATTGATTTTGAAAGTTAATGGCTGAAGGAGAGGCTTAAGAGTTTATAATGGACTAGAATCATTTGAGCCATGTTATGGCTTCATACTAAACTGTTAGTTTAATCATCATGGCAAAATTTTTTAAAAACACTTCAAAAATGCTACTGCTTATTTTGTCCTATCTAAATACAGATCTCTCTAAGTAATACAYTTTTTTTTAACATAAACAATGTATTTCAGGAGATGAAATCTGAGCTAAAGATGAAGCAAGATGCCCAGGTTGTTTTATACAGAAGTTACCGAGTGGGAGACCTCCCTGACATCCAGATTGAATATAGCAGTCTGATTGCCCCTCTGCAGGGCCTTGCCCAGGTCTGTGTCTTTTGGGTTTGGTTTTTCAAAGGCCATATTCTCCTTTATGGTTGTAGTGGGGTTTTAAAAGTACAGGTGAAGTCACTGTGGCTGAGACTGGACTCAGACTAGTCCATCAAGTTAATTCAGATTCCTTTTCCCACCTGGGTTTGTTAGCAATTGTGAGCTGGAACTGTTGGATTCTACTCTGTTGGGGAAGCACAGTGTTCCTGATGACAATATCAATATTTATAGCACAGTTGTCAATGTTCTGCATAGTGTTAGGTCAAACTTTTATTCTGCTATAGGGATTATGGGTTGTGGTATGTTTGCAAATGTGCTTCAAAGTTGAAGAAAAGCATTTACATATCAGATAGCACCATCTCTCTGTTTGTCTGTCTGTTAGCTCCTTTTAGCTCCTTTTAGCTCCTTTGGTGTTAGGTCTGGGTTTCATACACATTGAATAGTATAGTAACTCAGAAAGAAATAAAGAAATCCCTGCATGAATATGGTTTATGCCTGAGCAGTTAGTAATTTAGTGCCTTTATTTTATTTTTTATTTTTTAGAAAGATCCAACATTTGCCAAGCAGCTTTTCAGCAGTTTATTTACTGGAATTATGCACGAAGTAGAGAAATYGAAAACTCCTTCTGAGAAGAAAATGATCATTGAGAAGCTGCTGAAGGACTTCAATCATTTCCTGAATATGAGCGTGTCTTATTTTCCACCATTCATTGCATGCATCCAGGTAAATTTGCTATATGACTGGAAAGTAGCAGAACATGGTAATGTTTTTGCCTAAATATGTGATAAATTCAGTGGTGGTGAAGGTCAAATTCAGTTACTGGGATTAGGCAGAGATGAAAGGAGAATTGTTAACAAGGTGGGTACTTCAAGTGACTCTTAAAAGTGAGCAAAGCAATTTGTGCCTCTGAGCTGATGTCTCAGCGTTTCTGTAATTTCTAATCTGTAGTGTTTTGAGTTGCCTTTTCATGTTTTTAATTACATCAGTAACAAGAAGAGACTTGAGTTTAAATGAAAGCTGAGAGAACAATYGAAACGGTTATGTGGGTGTTACTGTGCTTATCTTCCCTCTTTCTGGGAAGTGCTGCAGTGAGGAATACTTTGATGTTTGGAGGGTATCAGTAGCTGTCAGACTGTTTRTTTTTAGCATCTTTTAGCCTTTTTCAGCAATCTCTTCAAATTATCCCCCTGCTGTAGCTGCATGGGCATTTTCAGTCTTGAGGGAAGGACTTGCTCCCACCCAAGAGGGAGCAGACACTTTACATCCACTGGGAAGGAACCACCAGCCTTTCTCCTTTTGCTTCTGTGTGTTGTGCTGGGAGACTGTGCTGATCTGCAATAGCTTGTGGGGTTTATCTTTTATCCTCGTTCTCAGAGAGGAGAGAAAATTTGTCCAAAGCCCTGCCATGCGCTCATTCTATTTAATATTTCTTGTCATCTGTTTTGATCTTAATAGTGTCTATTTATAGCTCTCAAAAAATCTGTTTTTGAGTTCCAGATAAACTAGTTTTCTTTTTCTGTTACAGAGGTTTCGATGCTGTGTGACAGTAGATATCACTCGTAATGCAGGAGAAATATCTGGTTTGAACTAGGTTTTTAAACAACGACACTATTTGCTTCCTAGCACTTGTATTTACACATCTGAAAAAATGTAGTATCTTGTTTACTTTCTTCTCTGCAGCTGCAACAAAGGTCAAATACTATGGGGATTTTTCTGGGCTGTCTTGGTATTTTTCTCGCCAGTGTTCTCACAGTAACTATCTGTGAATGTTCCTTCTTGATASCTCACTTCTGTTTGTTTATTCTCACGCTTTGTACTGTGTTATTATTTGTGTTGAACTAGCTATTAGACCATATTAATAACATTATTATGTTAGGCTACTTTTTTCCATTGATTGACATAAAATGAAGAGTCGGAAATTAAAGGAAAGTTGAAATTTGTCAAAAATATGGGCTTAAGTGTACTAAGAGTCTCTCATCAGCATTGAATAATAGAAGAAACGGGATTCCAAGCCTCAGCTGGAATGTGGAGGTGCCAGAGCATCATGCATAACTGCSAGAGGAAGTCCTCTCCGCAGCTGGGGTTAGAGTTTGTATTGATCAACAGAAAGGCAACGCAGGGCTGAGACCATCACTTTTGTTCACAGAAACTGTCCTGATGTCTTGCAGAAGCACAGCTTCTGCTGCCTGTATACCAGTAGTTTCSTAAGGATTGGGTTGTTTCGGAAAGGTTTCACTGACATTTCCTGCTGCTCGCGTGACTTCTTAATCTACAGGTTCAAGTCTCATCAGGAGAATAAGCAGGTGATAAAAGGAGCCATTGCAATCTACAAAGATAATCTTAACATTTACGATGAGGCTCTGGGCTTGGCTTTTGTGGCAGAAGAAAAGATGTCTGAAGTATGAAAAAAGAACCTGAAAATTTCATAACAAAAGTTTACATAGGCTTCACAAGAGATATCTGGCCTCTGAAGAACATAAAATTGCACCTAAATGTTTTAGTTATYAGGCTGGCTTGGATGCCATTCCTCCTTATCTTTGAACATGTGGTGCAAGCTAAGACAGAACACATTGGCTGTAGATGGGGAAGGAACGTTCTCTCTGCTCTCAGAAGAGAAACGATCATGACTACTAAGTCACCAGAAGTCACTAAATACAAAAATGGTACTTTTTATGTAGAGTTTTCTGTATATTGGAAGGCTTTAGGAGAGTATTCTCTGGACATATTTGCCTAGTTCTTAGAGTTTTTCATAGATATCCCGTATAAAGGGCTAGGCAGACCCTTGGTCCAACCTCAGTATAGCTATTCTGAGGTTTTAGACTGTGGAACTGAATGGAAAACTTGGCGTAACCTCTAAGAGACGGCAGCAGGGGAACCTGGCACCCTTGCACAGGGTTGCAAGAGCACTTGTACAGCTGTGATAGAAACTGGTAGTGGAAAGTTGCCTCAATAACATGCACAACATGTCTGTAATGCAGACAGCTACAGAAATGTTCTTCCTGTGTTTTCATTGCATGCAAATTTAACTTTAGGCAAAATATATAATGGTTCTTCAGTCAGCTTCATATTCTGTATTTCAAGGTGATTGCAGTTACCATCCAAGCGTAGCTTAGACTATGTTTGTGAAAAAAACTATCAACTGTTACCCTAAAAATCAGTGCTATTTCTTGGAATGAATGTATATTACCACTCCTCCAGCTTGGACTTTTCTTTTTATTTGGTTAAAATATTATTGCAACTTTCCCTTAGATTCTTAAACTAAACCCTCGGGGTTATGGACTTGCCTGCTACTTTTCTGATATATTTACATGCACTTGGGATAATGATTTAAGTATTAAAATAAGCGTTTATGTTACCAAGAATACTTATCCCTGAAAAGGGTGTTGTTTTGCAGTGGATTGGTGTTTAATAGCATAAAAATTAAATAGCATAAAAACTAGAAATATTGTCATGTCTTCAAATCAGACAATGCTTGATGAGCACAAACAAATGAGTCTAATGGGAATCTGTGGTATGCTAAAACTAGATAAGTATGTGGATAGAAAACCGCTAGCTCTGAGAAAACATCACGGATAATCATGCCTTTGGCTTAAACTAGGAATGCACCACTCAATAGGTTAAGTAAAATACAGCTGTTGTCTATAGGGCAGCACGCTACCAAAACTGAAARAAAAAAAAAAAAAAAAAAAAGGAGGAAAGATTCGGATTATGAATGTTTTTATCCCCGTTACCGCCGTGTCTACCTAGGAAGAGTTGCCTACAAGGTAGATCAGGAGTAGCAAGTTGAAATATATGCAGGTTTCTTCCATTAACTTCTGATTACTTTTAATTTCCTTGCTTCTGAGGTAACCCCAGTCTTTAGCAGCCCTGGAGGCAGTTGAACTAGAGCTGTTACTCTGTACTGTTCTTGGTCCTAGGAGTAGCAGCACAGGAAAAAAAGAAAGGATTCAAGTTTTCCCAGAGTTTGGCACTTCTGAAGATGTAATTGCTTATTACCAAAGTTTGCACTGTAAAGAAAAGGATACAAAATAGGTGGTCTGTAAAATGCATTTATCACTATAGTTTTAGACCTAACAGGCACTTCTTTTTTTGTTGTTGTTGTTCTGTAGGAAATGAGTTACCAGCACAGAGAGCTGCTCGAACTGGACCCAGCTAACGTGAGCGCGAGCTGCCTTGCCAGCTTGCAGCAGCCCGCGGGGATCCTGCTCCTGGAGCAGGCGCTCGTGTCCCTGTTCCCTGCTGACGAGCCCCCTCGCAAGCGGATGCGCGGCAGGGCAGAGCTGCCCCTGGATGTCACCAGGTGGATCGAACTTGTCAAGTAAGTCCACTTTTGGGACAGTTTACTGCTGCTCAGGGTCACCCTGTGAAGACCTCTGCCCTGTAGCTTGTAGGGCTTCTTTTTTATTTCTTCCCCTTTTCAGAATTCTTTCCCCTTTTAATTTCTTCTCAGTTAGTTGCTGTCCTTCAGTTGCAGCAGTCAGACTTAACGGTCGCGCACCCTGACAATGCTATCAGACTGAWGAAAAACGTCTTTGTCCCTAGCTTTTCAACTGCAGGAGTCACCAATGTTTAGGTGATCTACAGGAGGAAGTTTACAGGGATAAAATTATAATCTGATGTGAGAAATAAAGATTCTTTTTTTCATGTTACAGGCCAGTGGCAGAGCTTGGATGGTTGCTTATGCTATTTCTGTCATTACCGACTAAATAGGAGTAGCTTATGTTAATGTTCCTCTGTTCAACTAATTAAAAGTGTTGGGTTTTTTGGTTTTACCAGGCTCTACCGATCTCTGGGAGATTATGATGTCCTTCGTGGCATTTTCAGTGGTAAGATTGGGACTAAGGAAGTCACACAGAAAGCATTGCTGGCAGAAGCAAGAGGTGACTATGCTGAAGCAGTTAAATATTATGAAGAGGTAAAATGACTCCCCCAAACCTCTCTCTTTTTTCTTCTTTTTTCTTTTTTTTATTTTTCCTTCTTTCTCATAAATTCTTTCCTGCTGTTTGATAGTAATAGGCTAAAGTGAAAAATGGAAATGAATTTATATATAAATATCAACTAGCTTCATTTTTTCAGTAACGTTGCTGTCACACTGGTAAGTGGGTAGATATTTTTGAGAGAACAGGTTATTCTTGAATAAGCTCTTGGGGACAGAATTTAAACTAGCTGCGAATCTCCTCCYTCCTTAAACTCCTTCTCTAGGCTCTCTCTAATGAAGACTGGCAAGATGGGGAGCCAACAGAGGCAGAGAAGGATTTCTGGGAACTTGCCTCGCTTGAATGTTACGATCACCTGACAAAGTGGAAGTCACTGGAGTATTCTGCTACTTTAAACATCGACAGTGAACAACCTCCAGACCTAAACAAAGCTTGGAGTGATCCATATTACCAGGTTTCTAGAAATCACTGTTTTGATACTACCTTCTTTTGCTCTGTACAGAGCTGTCCTGCCATAGTGTAGTTTTGTAGGAATCAACTGTATGATTTATAGTTAATAGTAGTAGTAGATAATAGTAGTTAATTGTAGTTAAGTGTCATTAGTTGTACTGATTTTTCTCACAGAAATTAGCAAAGTGTCTAATAGATAAAATACCTCAGGCAATTGTTCCTGCTATTTTTATAGATGCTTAAGCTGTACCTCAAATTGATAGCTGCTTGTACAGCACCAGGTTTAATTTCTTCTTGCAGTTTTTGTGTCGCTTTTATCTCTTTATTCTTTATACATCTTGAAAATTGCCAAACCACTATTTTTTTTTCAAAGTGAGATTTGCTAAATTAAAACTTATTGAACGTATAAGAGAAGTTGACTGTGATTTGTTGGCAAACTGGAAGGAAAACTCTTAAGAAATCACTGAAAAATACAGTTTTTCTGTATTTGATCTGCCACCGAAAATAAACAGACAAAAATGCTCATCTGTATCTCCCCCTATAGGAAACCTACCTGCCGTATATAATACGCAGTAAGTTGAAGCTATTGCTCAATGGGGAAAATGACCAGACTTTGCTGACTTTTATTGATGAGGCAATGAAGACAGAACAGAAGAAGGCTCTGATAGAAATGCGCTACAGCCAGGAGCTTAGTCTCCTTTACATCCTGCAAGATGATTTTGACAGAGCCAAATACTACATAAGCAATGGCTTGCAGATCTTCATGCAGGTAATAATCACTGCTCTTTCTGGTGTGCTTTATTTTTTATTTTTCTGTACAAACTCATGGAACAGTAAAACTGTTGTCAGTGTTATTGCTACTAGATTATACTGTCAAGATAAATGCTATCCCAAATACAATGTGATCTAGATATGGCAAAACTTCCATTGACTTACATGATTGCAGTGGCAAGAATAGAGTCAGCCAGTGGAGTGCCTCTTCCCTGTTTTAAATTGTTTTGTTCTGCTAGATTCACAATTAGATTTTTCACAGTAACTGTTAGCACAGATGAATAGCAATTTTATTTCAATCATCCTTTTAAAAGTCTACTGCCCTCAGAACAACCTTGAAAGGAAATTATTAATCTATGTAAGTTATATGTAATATTTTTATACACACACATGTATATTATATTAAAAATATATACATATATATACAAAAGGAGGGTGAAAGCTTTGATCATTACCAAGTTCTCATTAGCCTGTAGGAGTATTCTAAGTCCTGGAATAGGAGTTAGGGCTGTGATTCCATACTTGTCTAGAGTAGAGGTGCCGTTAGACTGCAGGTTGCTTAACCTGTAAAAGGTTTGATTGTAGAGTGTGGTCCTCACAATGTCATATATGTAGTTCTAGAGCACTAAATAKAATCATGTGGTAAATCATCTGTGTRAAATCTCATTTTCTGCATTTCCTTTCAGAGCTATTCCAGTATTGACACTTTGTTACATCAAAGTCGAATGACCAAGCTGCAGTCTGTACAAACTTTGATAGAAATACAGGATTTCATCAATTTTATGGACAAAACAAGTAAAGATTTTGTTTTCCTCAAATTTATTCTCCTTTATTTTCATTAAATACCTCTTTTATCAGCTTTGAATTTCAGCTTCTACACTTAGAAGACTGAAATCTCAAACTAAGGTTTTTGTTGGGGACACTTTTGTGGGCAAGTAGTGATTAGCGAGATAAAAGATGGACATAGTGTGAAATTTGGATCTTCTGTCATGGGAATGAAATATAAATTTACTCACATAAACATGCACATAAATGTTATCTATATTTAATTAATGTCAATATTACATATTTGATTATAAAAATAATATTTAATATGTAAATATTTTGTATTAAATTTAGTTAACAACTGTTTTACCTAATTCTTTAATAGAAAGACGATGACTTTCGGTGATAATTCACTATGATCTCTGTATTGAAGCTACCGGGCTTCTGAAAAAAWAAATAAATAAATAGTATGATCACCAAAGCATAATTAATGCAAGTCCAGAAATAGAGATAGAGATTAATGATAGATAATAGAGATTATTTTATTGCAATTCTAGAGCTTAAGATATAGTTTAGTTCATTTTAGTTTTTTTTTTTTCACATTGGTTAGATTTAGAGTGTTCTTTTTAAAGTGTTCTTAATTGATTTTAGGTAACTTAACTTCACGAGCTTCCCTTAAGAGACTTCTTAGAATCTGGACAAGCAGATATCCAGATGCTAAAATGGATCCTATGAACATCTGGGATGATATCATTACAAACCGGTAAAATGAGATTTTTCTGTTAGCTTCAGTTCTGTGTGCCTGTTACATTCAGAGAGATGCTTTTTGTAATACTTCTTGTGTACAAATGTGGGTGTTTGATCCAGTATTTGACTTTTTAAAAGCTCTTATAGCATCTTACAAATTGGTAGAATAGCATGTTTTTCAAATGACAAACTTGTGGGGAGAAACGAAGGATAATTGAAAACTGAACAAACCATGTTGTTAGGAAACAAAACCGTTATTTTAAGCATTGTTTCGCATCAGTAATTACATACATTCTATGAAAATACTCATGGTAAGACAAAGTGGTTCAGTTCTGCWGCCTCTGAGCACAACCACATGTGATTGATCAGATAAGTTGCATTTAGCTCCGTTTTGAATAAAAATGCTTACATACTTTGCAGATAATTAAAGTTCAGATGTTAGGGAATGTACCAAAGAGACCAGCACTGTCAGTATTTCACATGTTTATATGAGGGTTAATGATGATTGCTGTAACTAGAGAGTTCTGCTATGCAACTGTTGCTAGAAAGAACAAAGGTTCTCCAGAGACTCCTTTGGATTATCTCTGAAAAAGCTGGAATACATTTTTCGAATTTATATTTTTTCTCTTCTCTCTGTGGTATTTATCTTGATCTCCATCCATTCCTCCAGTAAAAATCTASATCCTTTCTCCATTTCTGGAGACAGTTTCTGTTCAGCTCTGCTGATACCCACTGGATCCTGCAATTTGTTCTGTTATCTCTGGGTGTCAGGAGAACATGGCAGTTCTTATTCCAGTTAAATATTAGACAGACTACATAGTATGGCTTATTCCTTTATAGAGTCTCAAAACTTCTATGATTTGACAGGCTACCAGTGTCTTAAATGCTTTCTTTTGTGTGTCCTTACAAAACCTTTAACTCAAATTAGGGTAACAGAGGATGTGCTGTTTTTACTACTTTTATACAGAGCTAAGCTCCAGAGAAGACTTCCCCTGCATTAAGTAACTGTCTACATAGTGAAAGGTGCTTTTAAATTAGATAGAACTGCTTGTAGCCTATAAAATATTTAGCATTGTTTAATGGTAATTGTCACCAGTCTTTCCTGCAATGTGAATTTTAAGAAGTTGTAATTGCAGCCTTCTTGCGTGTTTTGGTGTCATGTACACGTTAGTTTGAGGTTGGCAAAATTATTGTATGGAACTTACACTTCATAAATGAGATGGCTTTTTGTTCTCACTGCTGWAAAGTTGGAGTAGAAGTTACGACTTGGTGAACTTAAAAGGTGAGGCTGTGACTTCAGAAAAGAAATAAAACACCTGCTCTGTTATAGGCATTTTCTGGTATTTAATCTTGCTGCTTCAGAATCCTGGGATGCGCTTAGAGTCATCCTACCGTTAGTTTTTACTGTCCAGACTCGGTGGGGAGTGTGCTTAGCTCAAAGCCCTCACTGTGGCTTGATGGTTTTTTAGCTGTGCTTACTGTGAGGAAGGTCAATGCTATACCCCTTTGCTTCCCCTTCCCATGTTCTAGACTGATTTGTCCTCCTGTTGTCATTATGCAGGTGTTTCTTTCTCGACAAACTGCAGGAGAAACTTCCCAGCGATCAGGCCAATGATAGTATGGAAGTGGATGAGGAATATAGTACTGGTGACCAAATGGAAGTCGATCAACAGGATGAAGACATTTCTTCAATGATTAAAAACTGCAAATTTAACATGAAAATGAAGATGATAGAAAGTGCCAGGAAACAGGTGACTCTGATTTTCTTTTCTGTTTGTTTTGTTTTGTTTTTGAAAATCTGTAGTAATTACAGCTGGAAATCCCTCACAGGATACCTTCTGCTAGTGCAGAGCTCCTCGCTGCTTCACCCAGCTGTCCAGGATGCTTTGAATGCAGAAGAAAGTACGTTCTGCAGAGAAAGAGAACAGTAGATAAACGTTAATTAAGAACCTGATAATTTCTCCTTACTGGAAGTACGCCTGAAGGCCTCTTTGATCCACAGATGGTTTCTGAAACTCTCTAAGGAAAAAAAAAAAAAAAAAAAAAAAAAAGGCATCTAAAATGCTACAGTCACTAATGAAAAGGAGGCTGGCAACCAGATACTGTGTTTTCTCAATTACAAACAATGTTTTCTATATAAGAAAGCAAATCAAATTTAGATTGAATCACTATCATTTACTTCAGTCAGCAATAATGRAACTTTTTTTCTTTTCCATTACCGTTTTCATTGAGTGAAAATGACCCTACAGTGTCATGGTTACATATTTGGGCTAACATTTGTATAAAGAAGTAAGCTATAAGTGATGGAAAATGTTGTTTTAGATCTTAGTGATAAAATGACTGAAACATAGTCTCTTAGATCATGGACTTCTGGTGTTCCAAGCTTGGACAAGATCAGTAAGTCAGGGTCTCCCTGGTCTTCCAAAATGCTACAAAAATTTGGAATCATTGAGAGAGTTCATTATTAACACTGACAGCCAAATATAACATTAGTGCTGTGTAGSATAAAGATGAGTAAAGACCTAGGGCAAATTTAATGTTATTTATATGGACCTTGTTCATTAAAACACAAACAATGCACAATGACTTGCCAAATGGTATTACAAGCCAAGTTGTGCTGCCCACATGTGTTTGAATTGCAGAACAGTTAGTGCCTGTTTAATCATACAAACAGAATTATTTTAGTTTCCTCAGTTTATAAAACCTGTATTGTTTTTCCTTTTCACCTGTCTCCATTAGCACAAATCTGTTTTGAACATGAAAACCGAAAAGCAGGGGATCACTTTTAATCTAGCAGATTCTCTTATTATACTTTTGTTACCTGAATCCTTCCATCCCTCCATTTAGTTGCAGAAATATTTCATTTCCTCTCCAGATACATTACCTGAAAGTTCTGCCTCTTTCTTTTAATACAGAACAGCTTTTCCATTGCCAAGAAACTTCTGAAGTGCCTGCAGAGAGAGGCCAGAGCACAGGAAGACTGGCTGGTGAGGTGGAATTACGCCTGTTGCCGCTTCAACCACAGCAGCTGCCGCAGCCAGAGCTCTCCTGAACAAGTGCTCTCCATGCTAAAAACGATTTCCTTACTTGGTAACAACTTTTATGTGTGATGCACTTTCTTTGTTATATGAAGTTGCTTTGTTGTCAAATGCCCAGCTTGCTTTTTGAATGCCCACAGAAGATACCAAGCCTGAGTACCTAAGCAAGAAAGTCGCGGCCTTCCGAAACCAGAATCTTCTGCTGGGCACCACGTACCGCGTGATGGCCAGTGCCCTGAGTCGTGATCCAGCGTGCCTTGAGCAGATCAAGGAAGAGGAAGCTGGAAAAGTAGCGGTTCTGTCGGGAGAGAGTCTTCAGAGTCCTGAAAAGGTGAACAAAAAGGGAAAAGAGATTTTATAAGTGTTGTAGTCACTACAGTCTGTAGTCACTACTACAGTAAGTAGTAATGGATACGGATAGATGCAGAGACTGTGAGGTTAGCAGTGATTCCTCCAGGAACACCAGCTATGAAACAAAACGGTGGCTCTGGCTGCTCTTTCTCTGTTTTTCTACTCTCCCGGAGCTTTGTACTGCTGTATTTTTTTTTTTCTGGGAAAGTATTCTTGTGTTTCATGTGTTTTTGTGGAGCAGAAAGCTGTGTACTCAGTGCACCTGTGAGCATGGTGGCAAAACAAGGATTGGGAATATAATCCACTCTTAATTCAGCCAGCTATTTCTGAAGTTATGCATGCTGTTAGGCTATCTTATTCCATAAAGATATATTTGCAATACTCATATTAATACTGAAATGATAACGGTATACTTAATTTATATAAATGATTCTAGGAGGGCTTTTTTTTTAATAGTTGAGGTCATTTTTGCATTTACTGAGGAGCTGTGCAGTTGAAGAATACATTGGCAGACTGTGCTGCATTTAAAGTACTGTGTTCTGTCAGCTGTTCCAGATGCTCTGGCACGGACCTTTTGTCTGTCATATTGCTTTGAGTGAGAATTTAAAGTACAGTTACTGACTTCTATTAACTCCCAAAGCCCCATCAAGACTCTGATATATGAACCCTATCAGTATAAAACAACAAAAAACAGTTATTTGTTTGTATTTTTATGGATACTGAAGAAAAGCAGATAAAGAGGAGTTTCCTGAAAAAAAAAAAACTTTCCATTTTTAGGGTTGTAGAAACTTAAGCAAAAATTTAAGCTTCATAATTRGCTGATTATTAGAAGCATTCTTAAAAATGAACCTGAAATCCTTTTCTGCATCAGATGAGCCAGCCTGGTGTATCAGAGATTCCATACTATAGACTATAGGGTTTAGCCTTAGAATCATAGAATCATTATGATTGTATTTCTTGGTAGTGAGAAAATACATCTGCATGACTTACAAACTATCACTTGCAAAGGATTTGTAAATTCCATAATTATATGAACTTGTTAGAAAAGTATGATTGTTATGACTATGTAGCTAATAGAGGAAGAACTACTGGATTTGAAATAGTTTGAAGTATGCTCTTTCTTACAAAAATGGTTTTCYTAAATATGCAAACATAACAGATGTGATAGTTACAATAAAATGAATGATTTCTTTTTATTTTTTGTTAATTACTTGTGAAAACCATAGTAAAATAARCTTTTTTGCATGTGTAAATATCCTGGGTAACATTTCTGGAGATTAATTTGAATTAAAGTCTGTTTTACATTTTTCTGATGAAACTTCTGACAATTGCTGCTATAAATAGAATCTTTTTTCTTTTCTTTGTGCTACTAAAAGTATTTAACACAGTTAGTTTTCTCTGCTCAATCTTTGCAACCAATCTCTAGTTTCAAAAGGAATTGCTGATTGCTACTTGCTAATATATCTTTTTTTCCTCTCATGGGTGAATTTTAGGTGTTAGCAGGGCTGAACAAGAGGGCTTTCCAGTGTTTCAGGAGTGCCGTGAGGAAGTCTGAAGAGGAGGTGCAGTCGCACTCCGTGGAACACGTGGATGTTGCTGGAGTTATTGATGCCTACATGACTTTGGTTGGTTTCTGCGACGAGCATCTACGCAAGGAAGAGGAAGGCTTGCTTGGTAAGTCAGGGCTTGCCCTCAGCTTGTCAAGATGGATTTATCTGGGATACATCAGTTTTTGTGCTGCCCAGGAGAGCGGCAAGCAACACAGCCTGAATTTAAAAGAACAATTTGTCCTCCACTCTGACAGCGTTTATACCTATTTCATTTTATTTCATTTTATTTTATTTTATTTTATTTTATTTTATTTTATTTTATTTTATTTTATTTTATTTTATTTTATTTTATTTTATTTTATTTTATATTTTATTTTATATTTTATTTTATTTTATTTTATTTTATTTTATTTTATTTTATTTTATTTTATTTTATTTTATTTTATTTTATTTTATTTTATTTTATTTTATTTNATTTTATTTTATTTTATTTTATTTTATTTTATTTTATTTTATTTTATTTTATTTTATTTTATTTTATTTTATTTTATTTTATTTTATTTTATTTTTAACATTACTGCCAGCTTTCGTGCTATGAATCACTCATGCAGTCCTCCTTTCACTTGTAAGATATGTACATATCAGGCAGATGGCTCTCTTGTTCCCTCCTAAACCTCTACAGTGCTGCTGCATTTGAAACAGGCAAGATGCCAGCAGTGATGCAGCTTCCTGGTCAAGCTAATCCTCACAGTCCCCAAATACATGTGTGCAGTTCAAAGAAATGGGAAAAAGAACAAAGTAGAAATTTAAAAAAAAAATGCGGAATAGTAAAGACTAATGTTCTAGATGATCAAAAACATGGAACAAGTGATGGTGTTTCTGATAACTTTTCTGTAATGGTTCTTGGCAGAAATCAACATTGCAGATCTRCAGCTATTCCCAGCTATTGTGGTGGAGAAAATGATAAAAGCTTTAAAATTGAACTCCAGAGAAGCCAGGCTGAGATTCCCAAGACTGCTGCAAATAATAGAAAAGTATCCAGCAGAGACACTGGGTCTGGTGACACGGGAGGTTAGTTGCTTCCATTTTCCTGACATCAAATGTTGCTATAAATAGAATTGTGAAGATGGATGTTGAGTTTGTGTAGATAGAGGGGTCAGACTGTTAAGCTTTGCTTCAGGTGAATCAAGTAAACTTTATGCCTTGACTTTTCTCTGAAGAAAATGGAATTAAAAAAATCTTAAAAATTGAAGATTTTATTGTTACTCTAATTCCAAATATTAGTTTGAGAGCTGATGAAGGTTTTTTTTTTCCCCTGTCTGAGTAATCTAGGTGAGCTGATAAATGTGAGTAGGACTATATTGACAAATATATCTTATTTCTGTAGGCTGTTTCCTAAATGCCAGAAAKCAGCAGCTTTTTTCAGATAAATTCTCTCTTTTCCCCACCTCTCCCTGTCCTGCTTTATCTCAGAGATTTCCTGCAACTTCTTCCTCCTTTGTTTTCCCACTTCCCCCTTCCATTACCTCTTTCTTACTTCTTTTTGTATGTGAASATGCCCTGTGCAATGGTGCCTTCCCTTTTGTCCCAAGACATCATCCTCTTCACTTAGGACTGTTCCTGTTTTAGATTGCCYGTGATTTCAGACCTGTTCCGTGCTCCCAGTCCATGCACACAGAGGGACAGGCACTGTCACAGGAAGAGCTCAAATGCACAAGGGAGACAGAAGGACAACTCAGTTATCCCACAAAAGTGCACAAACAGTTAAAAGATGGAAAAGGTGTGATCATAATGAAACTTCGATTAGTCAGAGCCCAATGCCTGCCCCAGCCAACAGACCTCACCAAGAAAGAAAAGAAGTTGACCGAGCCTTTCTTTGCCCTCTTCCCCTTTCTGCGAGATAATCACTGGCAATTAGCTCCTAAACTCAGAAGGAGACAGGAAAAAAAAAGGCCGAGATTGGCCTCTTACTGTCACAAGAAAATATATTCTAGAATTCCTTTCAGAAGTGATRCATTTTAGGAGGGAAAGAGAACTTGGAGGAGACGTTGGGAAGTGCTCTACTGAAAAGTAAAATGGTGTTAATACCTCTTACCAAAAAAAAAAAAAACCCAAAAAAATAAAAGTTGAAGGAAGAGCAAAACTATGGTGGAAGGATCAGTGTTGCCCTTCCCATTTTACTTGAATCAAGCTTGAACTACCCCATGACGTTTTCAAGTTGAGTGATGGTCAAAAATTATTACATTGCATCCAGGCAGAAATGCCGTAAGTTTGAGTATGAAACTCCCCATCTTGATCAATAAACTACAAGTCTTAGCAATGGAAAACCCATCAAGCAAAAATAATATTAAATCCCCTCTGCTTCACTGGGGRATGTTTTGTGCCACCTAGGTAACATACTCCCTTCCTCCCACAAAGTGTTTCTATCTGCTGACTTGCAACACAGAGCAGTTTGATTTGTGTATGACTATATTGGTGTTTTTAAGGAGAAGCAAAGCTGAAAGCAGTGACYGTGTGTGCATTTTGCAGCTTTCCTCAGTTCCCTGTTGGCAGTTCATAGGTTGGATTAGCCAGATGATGGCACTGCTTGACAAGGATGAAGCAATAGCCGTGCAACACACTGTGGAGGAGATTGCAGATACCTATCCCCAGGCCATCATCTACCCCTTCATGATCAGCAGTGAAAGTTACTCTTTCAAAGATACTGCAACTGACTGTAAGAACAAGGAGTTCGTAGAAAGGTGAATTTATAATCAGAAAAATAGCTCTTTTTTKGGGGGGAAGGGGAGGGTGGAGCGGATGCAGGGAGTCAACCATTTGTTTTAATTAAGGTTTCTGTAAGGAGCATGAGAAAAGTTAGGAGGATAATCCTGCACAGGGATAGCACACTATGCTTTGATTTAAAGGCACTAGATGAAACTTGACACATAATATCTGTTGATATTAGACATGCTTAGATAGGTGGCCTGGCCACCTTCTGGAGTGGTGAGTACCTGCAATCCACAGGCAGTAGGATACAAGTTTTTCTTTTTCTTTCCTTTTTTTTCCCCCCCCACAAGAGAAACAAAAGACCACAGAGAGATGCCCCCTTTTTCCTTATTACTATGTGGAAGTCAAGGTCTCTTCCTCTTCATTCYCTTGCTCTGCCAGGGCTGAAGGAAAGTCTGGCATGCACTTAAGCTCTTACTSTTATACACAGGATTTAGGATCAGTACCTTTAGAGATGAAGGTGAAGCTTGGAGGTTTCAGATTTTTCTAAAACTAAGATTAGAGCAGAGATGTTTGAATGTAACAGATGCTCCCTCAGCTATCAGAGAAATGAAATARTCTCATTTCTTGGAGAGTGACCATTTTATTCTTCTGTGCTTATTCACTGTCCAAAATGAGCCTTCCTGTACAAGCTCTGACTTCGTCATTGGGCCGTGCAATAAAAGCTGGGTTGATTCCCAGGCAAAAGTAAACTGTTATTCCACAAAGCTGTAGACTTGTAATATAATTTCAGATGTCTCTTTTCATTTTTTTTCCCCCAAATTTCTGAATAAGTTGGTGTATTTCTTTGATGGAAATAAAAAAGTAAAGGGTTGTACTTTGTAAACTTTATCACCCTTGAGAATTGGCATGGGAATATGTTTAGTCTTGTTAATGCCCATTACTATTTGAGGAATGTTTCCCACTCCCCACCAAGCTGCTGTTTAAATAGTAGGGCACTTGGTTACTAAAAAGAATGGTAAGAGAGGACAGCAAACAGCCCTGCAACCTGAAAGAAAATTCTGGCTGACTCCTATCCATTAGCTCTGTGAAATTTTTTAATCGGATATTCTTAAATACATAGAAGATCTTGGTGGCTGCTTATCTGCAGACCAAGTGGTGATGGTAGTTCCTTGTTATGCACTTTTCTTTCACAGGATCAAGAAAAAGCTCGACAGAGGAGGGGTAGTTCAAGATTTTGTCCACTCCCTGGAACAGCTCTCTAATCCCATGTTGCTTTTTAAGGTAAAACGGATTTTTCCTCTTTCCCTTCCATCCCCCATGGTGTGTGTTACATAAGAAACTGCTTTGCTGAGCCAGCCAGAGTTAGGTTGACCCTGCAGCCACGGGAAATGGTTCATGTAGACTGAGCCCAGCATCCATAGAGAGCAGTGTCGGGGTGCACTCAACAGCTCTCACTCATTGCCCTTGCTCATTTCTCTCTCTTGGGCAATAGGCTGTTTTGCACAAGCCCCTTTCAGGGTCTCTGCCTTGTCCCTTGCTCAGTCCATCTTTGTCAAATATTCTGAAGCTGGCAGAGAATYATTGTTTGTGGCCATCTCCAGAATTTCCCAGGCTCTGCTGAGTTTCTCTTTTAATATTTTGAATCCATTGTCCAAAGGGTTCCCTTGTTTTGCTCCTAGTCCAACGGCGTCTTTCTTAATTTGCAGTAGACACTATCCTAATGAACATAATTATGCTAGTGAAGTAGAAACATTTTGTTTAAGTTCAGAATGGAAGGAAAGTGCTCATAGCCTTTTCATTGTTGTAGAATGACTCAGAAGACACTTAATTGGCTATTAGCAGAAATAGCAACCTGAATGCAATCTGTGCAGATTACCAAAGAGGCAGAGGGTCAGTAAACAGTGTTTCTCAGTATGCATCTGTTTCCCTCTCTTTGCAGGATTGGACTGAAGACGTCAAAAGTGAGCTGTTAAAAACTCAGAGGAATAAAAATAAACTTCAAAACAAGTATGAAGAAATGTACAGGAATTTGGGAGATTTAGAAGCCCCTGGCCTTGGATTGCTAAGGAAAAAATTTATTCAGGTGTGTGACAAATAAATACCATTGGCATTGTGTGCTTTTCTAGAAGGCACTGGAAGACCATGGACCAGATGGCAACTTGACAGGTGCTGCAGGACCTGATTGCTCAATTGATCAATTTAGGCATGTGAGATTTTGTTGCTAAAAGTTATGGAATTGTTTCACTTCAACTGCTGACTGTCCCACGGGCTGAAAATTCCCATTGGCAAAGCTGCTGTCTCCCCTTTCCTGCACCCTGCCCATTCTGAGAGCCTAGGCCTGTGTGTCTGTGACCCTGCCCAGAAATCAGGCCCTGCTTTACGGTGGTGCCAAGTAAAGCCTCAGCACCTCGGGGTGCTGGTGCTGGTACTGAGCTGCTCGGGGTAGGTGAAGAGAAAACTATGAAACACAGCAGAAAGGGCTTTACACGGCTGAGTGAGTTCCAAAGTAGCGAGAGTCAGGAAAATGAAATGGTGTATATGGCCCCAAAACTTGTGGTTTCACATAGAATTGTTCAGGTCTGGGCTGACTGTTAAGAGCAAGATCTTGGTTTTTGATAGCTCTGTGAAAAATCAATTGCGAATACTCCATAGCAGTCAAGAAAGCAGAAAACTGTTGAGAGGCAAGTACGAAGTATGGATTTATGCATTTATACGTAACAACCTCCTCTGATTCTTGCCTCTTCAACACTGTGCAGCCCCAGTTGTCACTTCTCAACAAAAGTATAGTGGAACTGGGAAAGTTTCACAGTGGCAGGAATAATTCCCATGGGCAAGGAACAAGTTCAGGTAGAAAAGACATCACAATGGCAGATGTAATAAAGCTGTTAACACTAGGAACAGGAAGCAGGGAGCAATTACCCTTTGGAATTTCTCTTCTACCGCATGAAGCGTGGAGTAGCAAAGGACATTGGCAAATGGGAAGTTCAAAAAGAAAAAACAAAAAGGATGTGGTGGTTCATTCTGCTACACAGTTGAGCTCTGAAGTTCTTCTCCAAGATGCTATGGATGCTAGAACCTCTCTTAGATTTGAGCAGTGACTAGACCATATCATGGGGAGGGGAAAGATGCTTTGACACCTGTAAATAGCCCGAGCTGCAAATTGCTGCAAGCCAGAGGAGCGGTGTTTCTACAGGAGCGTGGCTGTGCTCGTGTCCCCTGTGTTCGTAGCCCTGTGGTCTGGGTTAAGTGCAGCTAATGTCCATTCCCATGGCCATTCTTGTGCTGCATTAGCACTGGATAAAGCTGTGTGAGTATCTCAAGAATCCCTGCCCCTGCTTTCAGGTCTCGGGGGGCAGAGAAGCAGAGGGTATGAGCAGGGCAGGGGCAAGGGGGCAGCAGGAAGGGCAGCAGGGAGTTTATTGGCGTGTTAGCCCTTTGGATGTGTTGCTCCAAGATAAGGTGGAACTTAAACYGAATGATAACGAAATGATAAAGTGAAGAAAGCTGCACGTGAGTGTTTGCAGAGTGAGCCCTGGCTGGCGGTGAGGGTGGAAGGAGGCGGCCGGCTGTAGCGGTACAGCCGCCGCAGGACACCGCGCTGGCCGGGTGACAGACAAGCACAGGCTGCGCCTGGCTCTGTCCGTGTGCAAGCCTGGACCACTCGCACACACACAACCCCACATTTCCCCCGTGAGCTGAACTGTGTGCAGCAGCAGAGGGTACCTGGGGGAGGAAGGGGAGCTGGGATGTTTCCCCTCTGTTGGAGGGAAGCAGGAGATGAGCGTTCCTTGTACAGGCCAACAGGAGGTGGTCAGGGACATAGCGCCCAGGTTCCAAATTCCCTGTCTTCAGGAGATAATAGAAAGGAGAAATAGTGTCTTGTAAGGATGTCTGCAAATTTTCCTTACTGGAGAAGAAGCTTTATTTCTTGACCCATTCATAAAATTACTCTAATATGTATAGTAATTCAGATAAATAAAAGGAATAAAGATTTTCTATGTACAGTTGCATGTATTTTAAACTATAAACATCTTGCATTTATTTTTAACATTCTGGTAGTTCATAACTTAAACACTGTTGGTGGGTTATATCAATTAAAATACAGTATTCAAGCTATTGTATATTTGCTGCCTTGAATTTTAAAGTAAGCAAAGAACTAAACAGCGGAAGCAATTGGGTGATCACCTGGAGGCAAATTTAAAATGATGAATATGTTGACAGTAGCAGTCTCCTCTTTGGAAAGGGTGAAGTGCATTTTGGACATTTAATAAGCAACATTATTGATATCTTTCTCAAGGTTCAAGTGTGGCTGGAAGGGGCAAAAAGGGATAAGCTTCTCTTTTAAATATAACAAAAATCATATATAACAGTATAAGCAAATATAACAGTATAAACAAATCTGGTTTGGCAGAATGTAGCTGTTTCTGTGAATATCGGCTGGCGGTTCAACCAAATAGGCGATGAAGACACTCTGATAGAAAAAAAAGGAGCATCGAAGGAAGACAGAGATATTTTAGAAGGACAGATGAGGCTGTGTATGCAGAGGAAGCTGAAAGGCGACCTACATCACACTAGTGCATTAGGGCATTAATTTGCCCTCTATAGATGTTTTTAATTCCATGTTTGTACATGGTACTGTCAAGTATATGTGCTTAAAACATTGTCTGCTTTGACTGAGAACTCTCTGGAGCAAGTGCTGTTTTGATGTTCTCGGGGAGAATACTGTCTTAACCAGATTCCTTTCTGTAAATGAATTTCAGGCTTTCGGGAAGGAATTTGACCGTGAATTTGGAAAACATGGCTCCAAACTGTTGAATATGAAGCTTAGTGATTTTCAGGCAATTACAAATTCTCTCCTCTCAAAAATGGCCAAAAGCAATAAAGAACCTGGAAACCTGAAGGAATGTTCACCGTGGATGAGTGAATTCAAAGCTGAGTTCTTGAGAAATGAAATCGAAGTTCCTGGTACGTTCCCCTTCCGTGCTGTCGCTCATCTGCTCTTCACAAGTTGCTGCTCTTCTCATGCTGGCTTTTWTGCCTCGCTGTTGTCACCTTACTACTTTCATTCATCATTTCTTATATGTATTTCTAAGCTATATACCTGGCATTAATGTTTTTTTAAATTGCATCTCCTTAAAAGATTTTAAATTCTTAGGTAAAGATCTCATTCCAAACAATGTGATCAACAAGATTGAATCCTCTAAAGCCATGAAAAGCTTCAGTTCTGATGGCTTAAGAAAGAATATTAGTAATTCAAAGATAAAATCATATGATGTGCATGATGTGTTTTTGTGTATTTTGAAATATTTTCTTTGGAGTTATCATTTCCCAGTCTGGAAGAATGTTGTCGTCTTGAATAAACTTTAAAATAAATAAATAAATATAAAAATCGTAGTCTATAACATTGTTTTTCCTCTGCCACTTCAGGTCAGTATGATGGGAAAGGAAAACCAATGCCAGAATACCACGTGAGAATATCTGGATTTGATGAACGGGTATGCTTTTAAGTCTAGTCCAAATCCTGTTGGGTATAAATTTGTGTTTATGTACTGTTTGGGGAATTTAACAATAGAAGAGTCGCTGCCACATGTGCATCCTGGAGAACGTAAATGAATTTCTATGRAACGGTCTTTTTTCTACTTGTAACTGAACAAGGTGATTGTGCTGTGTAGAGAATACCAGCCATGTTTAGTCTCAGTGATGATTCTGTAACCCCAAGCCTCTTTGACAGAAATATTTTGCACTGTTTTCTGTTTTCCAAGATAAAAGTAATGGAATCCCTGAGGAAACCAAAACGGATAACRATCCGAGGCAGCGATGAGCAGGAGTATCCTTTTCTCGTCAAAGGTGGTGAAGACTTGAGGCAAGACCAACGCATTCAACAGCTGTTTGATGTAATGAACATTATCCTTTCCCAAGATGCTGCCTGTAGCCAGAGAAATATGCAATTAAAAACATACCAGGTCATACCCATGACAACAAGGTAAGAATTTATCCTGAGGGACAGAAATTCTCATTTCAACATCTACTCTTGGTGAGGAAGTGAGTTTTCTGTGTGCGAAATTCTAGTTCAGAGTGTTTTAGCTCTTTGACTTCTTATGTTTATTTAAAAACACTTTGTCTGGGAGCTGTTTTCTGAGGATATCTAAGTTGGTGGCTTTAGACCTTCGGTGGYGGGCAGCGGACCAAGTTGCTTCCTGTTTACCTTGCTCTTCCACAATTCACCTCGGAGCTCCTTCTCTCATTTCTTTTTGTTCCAGGCTGGGGCTCATCAAGTGGTTGGAAAATACCTGCACTTTAAAAGAATTCCTTAAAAATAGCATGACTGAAGAGGAAGGCTTTAACTATAGCAGGTGAGAACACGGTTTATCTGTCCGCTGCAAACGAGAGCACAACCGTTGGGTTCCTCGTGGTGCTGATGGTCTCGTRGCAGCGTATTACTTTAAAGGAAGAAAAGTGCCTGTAAGTAGGGAGGCACTTTGTACTTCCTGACCCAAATTAGTAATTGGCAACTGTTTGTTCAGTGAGTACCATTGTACCTGTAATATCCTCCACCCAACTTGTTTGAACAAGAGGCTCGTAATCATTCGTGACGTCACCATCATCCCCATTTCCTTATCTGCAGATTGATTTTATGAGCAAAGGATTTTGATCTCTTGATTTGATCAGGCAGGATGTGGACGTAGGTCAGTGAGAGGGGGATTAAAAGGAGCAGGGAGCAGAGGCAGAGCTGTTTAGATATTATATGTTGAGTAGGGTGAGTCAGTGACCGAGGAAAGTAGCAGCAAATCCACAAAATGCACCTCTAGGACACTGCCTACGACTTGGTGTAAAGTCTGCATCTGAAGAAATGAACTTTCTCTCTCTTGAGCATTTGTAATTGAGGGGTGAATATTTRTAAAATTGATTAATGCTAGTGTTTCCAGCTGTTTGCATCCTGGAATTTAGAAATGTGGTTTCATTCACTAGGCTTTGTCCCTAGTATGTAACTCTGTTTGGGCTTGTCAGAGCACTGTTGACAGGATTTATTTTTACTAGTTCACTTGCACTGGGCCAGGCTGGAGGAAAAAGTCCTAAACTAAACCTAGTGTTTGCTGAGGACAGACCTCTGAGGTGCTGCAGATTTCGGGTCTGCTGGGATATGAACCCTATACATAAAAGAGAGGACAAAAACCTTTAACCTATGTTTAGGGTCATAAGATTGTATGTTTAACTGTCATAAGGCAGGGAGGAGCTAGTGCACAAGATTTAAAAGATTCTTTTTTTTTTTTTCCTGAAAGCAGTTGATAATTTATACCATTGTATACATTGTATAGTTGTTGTATGTAGGTTTCAAATATTTTCCCGTACCTGCTTCAGTCAAGTCATACATACATTTTTTGTCCATAGCTCGAGAGGACCCCCAGCTACTTAYAACGAATGGCTGTCCAGGATGGGTGGGAAAGCGCAAGGCATCTCTCGATAYCAGTTTATGTACAAGTAAGTTTTAAAATAGAATTGTCCATAGAACACAGCATTTGGACACACAGAGACTGTCAGAGGTTCTGGGGAATATCTACATTATTGTTACCTGCAAATCTTTCTAGATTTGGGGTTTGCCCATTTTGCTACTTTGTCTTATTTAAGGTGCTCTGCGGGAGCAGTTCAGTATTGATGAAATCCCACTAGAATGCAGGAATGATCCCACGAGCCTGCTTATTTTCTTAATAAAGAGTCTAGAAGTTTCTCTTCAAGTTCATTACTAGGCATCCTAGTTCTGAATATGCCATTGGGTAGGGTGTCCTGGAGCCAGAGCACCTACTAAAATTGCACAGAGAATGTAATTYGTTCTACACTGGTAACTTAAAARTATTTGATGGGTTGAGCCCCAGCTTCAGAATCCTCTCCAAGGAATTTCCATACCTGCCTAGGACTGCTATGGATGTAGTGGTAGAAGTGAAGTTTCCAGCTGAATATTTTTGATGAGTTAATAACCTCCTTTAAGCAGCCTGGGGTTCTTGTTTGCATTTTGATTTTAAGGGGTATTTTGACTTGTTTTTCTGAGTGTGTCTCCATTAATGTTTTCTACTCAGATCAGCAGTGTGGTGATGTAGAAGCCAGTCCCCCCCAACTCAGCTCGTGCTGTTTGCAAGGCAGAGCCGTCCTTGAGTGCAGGACTTAGTTCCTTTGAGGTGAAGCTAAACTGGAAGCCCAGCACACAGCACACACCACCTGCCTGTGACCATTCAGTTCACAGGGCCACACATGGACTAATCCAGAGTAACCCGTATGGGATGGATGTCCTCGGCAGCAGCTGTTCAATGCTGGTGCCTCCCCTTGTGCTGGGTGAATATAACCGCTGCCCAGAGACTGCGCTTAAATTTTTTCTAGAAATTATGCAGAAATGCACAGTGAGTTGTATTCAGAAATTTCAGACTTGTAAATAACTGCTTGGATAAAGGGAAGAGGAGGTATTTTTAGTATCAAATACAACTTTATTGCCTTTTTTAGGGCTTCTAGGCGCACTTGGCGTTTCTTGCTGGAGTGCCACAAGTCAATAGTGCCCGCTACTGCATTCCTGTACATATCTAACCTTTCAACAAGCTGTGGGCAGGCTCAGGAGCTGACCCTGTTCTTCCCCTAATCCACAGAAACGCCAGCCGCACGGAAACGGTGATGTCTTTCAAAGGCAGGGAAAGCAGCGTGCCCGAAGACCTGCTCCGGTAACTGCCCTGCTGCTAGCTCAGTTCTGTGAAGTGAACGTTGCTGTTTTTTCCTCGCGTGCAACGAGTGGCTTTTGTTTTGTTAAGGAGAGCCTTCGTGAAAATGAGCACCGCTCCGCAGGCCTTCCTGGCGCTGCGCTCCCACTTTGCCAGCTCCCATGCGCTCATGTGCGTCAGCCACTGGATCCTGGGCATCGGGGACAGGCACCTCTCCAACTTCATGATTAACAAAGAGACAGGCGGCATGGTGGGCATAGATTTTGGATGTGCATTTGGTTCTGCCACGCAGGTATTTGTGCTTTGTTTCATTTGTTACAGCTTTTTGCATACACTATATGCAMCTAGAAATATGCTTTGTACTGAAGTACAGTACAATAGACTGAATTCTGTGTTTACACTGAATTCTGTGCTCATTTGCCATCATTCTGACAGAAGWTAATCTTTACAAGTAATTTCTCATCAATAGAATAGGATCTTTGTTTCCACATATTCTTAGGTAACCAGGGAACTACAGAATTTCATAGTGAGGGGACAGGGAATAAAAATGGCCCTGTTCCATTGAGTTACACATTATTTTCATTAAGTAACTAATAGAGTTGCAAAAGAAAATATTATTTCTAATCCTTCTGTTACGCAGTTTCTTAATTCTTGGAGGGTTTTGCTCTTTGTTTTCTGTTTATTTTCCCACTGCCTTTCTCCTGCTCAGTTTTTGGCGGTGCCGGAGCTGATGCCTTTTCGCCTGACTCGCCAGTTTGTCAGTCTGATGATGCCAGTGAAAGAGGGGGGGCTCATTTACAGTGTGATGGTCCATGCCCTGCGAGCTTATCGTGCAGACCCCGATCTCCTCATCAGCACCATGGATGTGTTTGTGAAAGAGCCTTCTTTGGACTGGAAGGTGGGCCCTTTCCTCCTTCCTTTTTTTTCCTTTTTCTCACTTAAAAATCCTTAAACTGAAATAAGGATAACATTGATCAAAAAGGTAGTATTCCCTGATGCTCAGTACAAGTTTTATCTTTGCTTGTTTTGTTGAGGTCCAAGTGAAACTGGGCTTAGAGCATTTAAAGTGCCAGAATCCTTTAATGATGACAGGGGATGAAGAATGATAGCACGGCTCTTCTTAGTTTACTGTTCTTTATGTCCACAATAACCCTAAAAAATGTGGATATATTTTGGTCATAATATTATCATTTATATGTTATAAATATTCTGAACTTTTTGCACTAAGCTTATTAAATTTACATTTACTATATACTTCAAACTAGTAATTACGGCAGAAAAAAATAAAATYAGTTGTGCTTAAGTAACTGTAAATTAAATTTGGAGTCTCGGGCAGAGATAGATTCCCTCTCACTAGTTTGTCCTCCATTGCATCTGCACTTGAGAGTTCTTGGCTTGACTTGCTGTGATTGTGTAGAGGCCTAAAGGTCTTTCTGAGTGTATGATTTATGTTAAATAGGGCAAAATTGTTTTATCCACAGAACTTTGAACAGAAGCAGCTGAAAAAAGGAGGCACATGGATTCAGGAAATAAACACGTCTGAAGTAAACTGGTACCCTCTGCAGAAAGTCAAGTATGTCCAAAGAAAGCTTATGGGTTGCAATCCAGGAAGAATCACTTGGTAAGATACTCTCCTTTTGCTTCAGATTCCCTCACAAATGACTCCTGCTGTCTCCTATGTCAGAGTTTGCTCCCCTCAGGCAGATTAGCAGCTAGGAAAGAGAAGAGGCAGGCAGGGCAGAACTTCAACAAGCCTCCTTGGAGGATCGTTTTGGTGCTCGTACAAGCTCTCTGAATCACCCTGCCAGCCAAAATACCAGATATCTCCCTGTGAGCCTTCCTGCTCCAGCTCGGGCCTCCTCAGCGTTTTCCCTGCTCCTGGCAGCTCCCCCATCCCATCCCAGCCCRTCGGCCGGCTCACGCTGCTCTTTCTGTGCAGCCTTTGGGCCAAGGGGAGCGCGGGAGGAGATGCTCCCCTGCTCAAGAGCTGCTTGAAATGGAGCCTGAAACAGCTGCACGGGAGACAGGGAAGAAAGCGGCTTTCCAAAAACATCACATTCGATTCCGATGGCCGCCTCAGATTATTTCTGTCAGTCTGGGCAAGTCTGGCTCCAGCCAGAATGTCTTTAAAGTTCAGTTGAAGTACAATTAATCCCTTGCATCCTCTCTTTAAAAAAAAAAAAAAAAGAAAGACATTTTGGATTAATCAAAAAAAAAGAAAAGCAAGGAGAAAGCAAGAAAAGAAGCCTGTTTTAAAATTTTACAAATACTGAGAAGTGCAGGGCTCAAGAGGAGTCCTTTGTACGTGAAGGCACATGGAAAGGGCCGCATAGTGCTTGCAGATGCAGATGTGCAGGGCAGATGCATAGATACCTGAAAACAGGTAGGACATGAACGGTGCATCCTTTTTCCAGCCAGAGATTTTCCAGCCAGAGACTGTAACAGTGGTGGTAAATACTCACTAGAGACAGGCCCCTGAACTCACCTGTGACCGCCAGGACGTATAAAACCATCGAACAGCTCCTAGGCCTATAGAACATCACAGGGGCAGGTTTATTTTCCAAGTAGCCTTTCCCATTTAAGAACCCGTAGGTCTTCCCTTCTCCTTGGACTAAGAACCGCTCTCTGTGTGTCCCGCTGCAGCGACGAGCTGCGCCTGGGCTTCGAGAAGTCGCCGGCGTTCCAGGATTACGTGGCCGTGGCCCGCGGCAGCGCCGAGCACAACGCGCGCGCCCGGGAGCCCGACGACGGCCTTTCCCCGGAGACCCAGGTGAAGTGTCTCATCGACCAAGCCACGGACCCCAACGTCCTGGGCAGGACCTGGGCGGGCTGGGAGCCCTGGCTCTGAAGGGTCGGTGCCCAAAGCACTGGGCAGTGAGTGGAGCCCACTGTGATGCACAGCTGTGGCCAGAGCAGAATGCTAGGGCCAAAGTAAGAGGAGAAAAAAGAAGAAAAATTTTTAAAAATAATTCATTTTTGCTTCTATCAACACGGAGTAATTAATAGATGAAGTAAGTGTTTTATATCAAAGCTGTTTTCAAACCGATTTGTTAATGTGCAACAAAACAGCGGTTTTGTCTTTGCATTAAAGTCATGAGAGGAATGTGTCAGCTCTGCTCAGAAGGGAGAACTGGAGAGGCTGGAGCTTTAAGGGTACTCGGAAAGGCACCGATGAAGATCACATCTGTTCTGAGGTGGGAATAGATGCACGTGCTGCAGGCACCGGCAGAGCAGCAGCTGCCACCAACCTGCCCTTGCTGCAGCAGGGAGGAGGCTCCTGCACTTAGGTATTTGCTTGTGACAGAGCTTAGGTTGGGATCTTAACCTCTGCCAGCCAGTTTTCCAGTAACCCTTGTAGCAAACAGAGCATAGCAGAGATATCCACGTGGAAGAATATTCCCCTAAAAAGTTGCGCTGCTCGTTGTCCAGCATTTGCTCCAGAAGGTATTTTCCATGGACTCGTTAAACAGATGTAATGAGAGTGTTTGCCCTTTCATGCCTGCAAGCTTCCCCGCTGCCTCCGTGCTCAGCGAGGAGCCTCCGAGCTGTGAATGGACCTCTGTGGGAAACCTCCCCTTGAGGAGGGTGCAAAGTGAAGGCCTGCCATCGTGGAGGGGGACGTTCAATGGGGTGTGTTTGTTTCCAGGATTTTCCAGCACCAATTTGTCCTCATCTCTCCTRAATATGCTCAGCTGGCACTCTGTGTATAGACTGGATTTGCATGGTTTATGTCAGTCTGATGTTAAGAATCAAGCAATGAATTTTATCAATTTTTATTAATTCAAAATAGTGCACGGCTATATTTTTGTAAAGAAAGCTTTGTTATTCCAAATAAGTCTTTTTTTTTAAATAATAATAACAAAAAAAATATTTCAGCTGTTAAGTCATTTCAAAGGTTTTCAGGGATTGAAGTGTTAATTGACTTATCTATGCCAATTTTAATATGTGGAAAGTGGGATTTTTTTTTCCATAAAAATGTGCAGAATGTATTTTTTAGGTATACCTGCTTCTGTAATACGCCTGTGTACATTTTGTTCCTTTCTGATACCAATAAAGATGGTGACGTTATGACTAAAAGCCGGTTCTGTGGAGGCTGCCTCGCTTCTGCCATGTCCCACTACACCTAAAGAACATTAAAGCCCAATAAAAAGGCACATGAAACTGAGAGGTGACATTTGGAATCAAGAGGCTGGTCATACGAGGTGTTAAATTGCACTTTTGGCACATACCTCAGATATTTCCTGAGTACTTTGACCCATACGATGGGGGACAAAGTTTAGGTTTATAGTTTAACAAGGCTCTTCCTGGGGGACTTTTGATACTCGGAGCCACACTAGACTCTGCTTCCCAAGCCAAGGCTGTTCCGCAGGCCTCGCTCCAAAGCAAACCCAGGTTCCTGAGCTCTTTAGAAAGCGCTGGAAGGGGGAATGTGGAGCAGGACTGGGAGCTCCGCAGGCCTTTTCCAGGTGGGAAGAGGCAGTGAAAGCAGAAGAGGCTCAGTGAAAGCAGAGCCGCTTTCCCCTTCCCTGAGCCAGCGCTGACGCTGTCAGACCAGGCCTAAAAGCCTCTGCAGTGCGTGAAGGTAACAATAACTGCACCAAAAAGGCCCTGTCTGCAACGCTTAAAGTACTCGGGAAATGCTGGGCCAGGCTGCACAGCTAAAGCTTTAGTTTTAGCAGTAAGTACCACAATCTGAAGCCATGTCAGTGGTCTCAGTGATGCATGTATCAGCCTCCTGAGCCACCACTAAGCTGCGAGGTTAGTGGCACACTGAACTCGTTAGCAAAATACCTGATCCTGCCCTAATGGGGCAGTAGAAGACTGAGCTGAGCTGTCTCCGTGTAACTGATGCTGAAAATGATCTCAAACATACGTAGCTCCCAGCTGCTCTCCGCTGTCCTGACCTACAGAGCTGCGAGTAAAATACACACGTTAAGTGGAAGGACAAAAACCAGCTCGTGAAACAGCAAGGAAAATACTGATGCAATAATAACAATTAAAAATAATWAAAAAATCTCAGTTAATTAGCTGGGCTTTGTGCTTTATCGGGTGGTTTTGGTTTGTTTCCAGAAAAGGGCAAGATGACGGGTGACTCAAAGAGAGTAAGGGACTCTTTCAGGTCTCATGATGCAAAACAAAACTCATCAACTGTCCACAAGTACAGCAAGAGATTTCTTTCTCAGATTAAAAACCCAGATGGGGCTTTTATCTGGAAATTCATTACTAGCATCTAGAAAGCTACATCAACCATTAACATGAAAAGCCTACTGCTTCTGCTGGGTTGTTCAGGCTGGTACACGGAGAAAGCAATGGACAAGTTGAGCAGCTCCCAGTGCAGTTAAACACATGTGCTATGAAGTGATGTTAGGCCTGGTTCAAATGCCCACGCGAGTCACGGCACAGAGTTTAAAGGAGCTAAAAGAAAAATCCCTTCATTTACAGGTGGTGTCCTCAGCTGCTAACATGGTGTGTGATCCAAATAGGCAGCATCCAAGTGAGCATAAACAAAGAGCAAAGCCCTATTAAAGCTCCGAGATGAGGGAGGGGGCTCGAGCCCTGCAGGAGGTGGGAAGAGGTGAAGAGAGGACACGTTGAGCGGCTGCGGTGCTGGCTCGGGAGAGYCGGCTACTAACTCGGAAGAGATTCCTGCCGATCCTCACGGGTGCTTTTGGTTTTGCTTTTCCTACCCCCCAATTTACACCTCCGCACTCGTATCCCCCATCTAGCGTCAGTCCTAAGTGGCTACACATGGTTTTACCACAGGGTCCTCTGCATCTTCTCCCTTTTTAGGTCAAGTTCTCACCACAACCCAGGCCTCACCTGGGCGGCCTTTTCCCGGGAAACCCAGTGTCCCGAGGGGCGTGTAGCGTGTCCTTCCGCGAGGCAGGTCTGTCCCTGTGCTGCGGCTCCCAGCGCGGCCAGGACTCCCCAGGGAAGGCGGGAGGCCGCTCTGCTCGGCCCCTGGCTGTGTCCCGGCAAGCCCAGAGAAGGGCCCCGTGGAGTCCCCAGCACGAGCTCAGCTTCCACATGTCCCCACACCTCCATGGGATCCGTTTTCCACTACCGTGATTCCTAGGGTTCAGCGCCGGGAACTCCAGGGCAGTTCCAAGCTCTGTCCTTTCTCTCAATAATAAACCCCTTTGCAAGCCAGTGATCAGCTTGCTCTGGCCCCATGTCTCACCTGGAAGACACATGGGCCAAGTTTAAACTCTCATCTTTGCTCGATTTAGTGCAGGAACCTAAAAGAGGGTTCACAGAAAACAGCATGAAATTCATATGTTCAGTTCATCTGTTTCTTGCTGCTGTTCAACACTCACCAACAGAAGCACCAAGTCAAAGGTTCAGATACTCAACTGGATGGGAAGGGAGCAACGTTCTCGTCTTTGCTTCACCRTCTAGGACATGACTCCAGTAGGAGGAACAGGCTCAGTGGCCAAGGTCTCAGACAGGGTGTATTTCTACCTCMGTGAGGCACTTTGATGAGCAGTAAGTGTAGCTCCCGTGTGTGTTCCTGGTGGCTTTGCTGGAGACGCATCGAAACCCCAGCACCCGTGGYGGGTGCGGAGGGCACACGCAGAAACTCTCTCCTAAGCCCCATCCGAACGGGGCAGAGCAAGTGGGCATTAGGCTCCAGGTGCCACCCGTCACCACAGGGCTGAGGCTGCCCTTGTGCCAAACGGCCTCTGCACGTGAATCCTGGGTCTGGAGGACGAGGCAGGCAACGCAGCAGCCTCTTCAGCCCATATCCGGCCTCAAGATGATACAGGTGGCAACTACGGAGGCTTCCAGGGGTTTTTGGTTGGTTGGCTTTTTCCACGCTCAGCTGTTCACAGTTCAGCAAGAGATTTTGGCGTTTTGTGGTGCCCACTGTGGCCGTTAGGTGACTAAGCAGAACCTTGCCGTGAATCTGGTCTCCTTTTTTTGTGTGTTAATATGTGACTGATATCGAAGGAGGCTGTTTGGGCTGGCAGAGCTCCACTCCAACATCACCTTATGACCAGTTCCCCTCTGGTGATAAGCGCCTCGGTGAGCCGAGAACATAACATAGTTCTAAGTACAAACAATTAACGGAGATACTTTGCAAGATAGATGATAATTCTATAGATACGGCAGCTGCAAAGTATTTCCTTCCAGGAGATAAATGAACCCCGCATGGAGAGGGGGGAGCCCAGGCCTGAGTCTGGTGTCTCCACATCCCGGGCTGCGCTCCGTGCGCCCGCTCCGTACAACACGGGCATGGAAACGGGCCCAGGGCRCTGCAGGCCCCTGCCAGGGCCAAGGTGAGGGCAGGGGGCTGCAGAGCCAGGCAACACGGGCACTCYGAGGGCAGGAAGCAACAGCACTGGAAGAGGATTTGGGCATGGTGTTTTCCACAGCTAGGAATGCAAATGAATTAAAATAAATAAACAAAATGCTTACTATATGGCATCGAATTGGGGTTCTAACATTCATGTGAAAGTCACGTCCCTTTTGAYCAGATCGGGTTTATTTCAACACAGGGTTTCTGAGCTGCAGCACAACRGTTAAAATGATCCCCCACATGCCAAACCCGACCTGCCAGACAGGTACAGTTATTTGGATGTCCCAAGCGTTCACACCGGGAGCTTGCTGCCAAAAAGAAAGAGTATATGGCAGGCCTGTGCCAACTATTTAAGTTTAAATACCCCCTCCTTTGGCAAACAGCTGCATTATTGCACTGACCTGGGTTGGGCGGCGGGCTCTGCCGCAGGACAGCGGCACGCGGAGCTGCCCAGGGGCACTGGCCAGAAACGCCGCCCGCACCAGCCCCCCGCTCTGCCATGATGCGGGTTGGGGGAAAAATCTGCAGTCCGATTGAACAGCAATAAATGCGGCTACGCCCTCTGAAACAAACAAACAAACTTCGAAAATAAAAGTGTAGAAAAGGGTTCTTTCTACTCAGAAAGTGGCGGTTTTCGTTTCTTTCCAGAGGAGCATCTGCTCGTGGAGCTGGGCCGTTGAGGCCGGTGCGGGCGGCCGCAGGAGCTGCTGTCCCGCGCGCTCGCTCCGTTCCCGGCCCGCACCCACGGGCCCCGCTCCGCCGCCCCGCGCTGCCCCGCGCGGGCCCGGGGCGCCTCGCGGCCGCCCCCGCGGCGCTGCTGCGGCCCCAGCGCCGCCCGCTCCTCGGGCGGGGGGACCCCTGAGCCCGCGGAAGGCGGCGGCGGCGGCCGCGCTGCTCCGCGCTGCTCCGCGCTGCTCTGCTCCGCCGGGAGGGGGCGTCGCGCCCGTCCCGTCCCGCCGCGTCCTGTCCCGGCCCCAAGGAGCCGCGTCCCGCCGCGTCCCGCCGTTTAGCGGCCGTTCCAGGGCCGTTCCAGGGCCGTTCCAGGGCCGCGGGGCGGCGCGGGCACCTGCGCGGCGCCGGCAGCGGCAGGTGGCGGGGCCGGCCCGTGAGCGCGAGGTGGGGCGGGAGCGGCGCCCGTGCCAGGACAGGATGGGCACGGGAACGGGCACGGGGATGGGAACGGGCACGGGACGGAGCCTCCGCCGGCCCCCCCGCCCCGTCCCGCGCGGGGGTGACGGAGGAGCCGCGGGCAGCGCGGGCTCCGCTCCGCTCCGCGCGGCTCCGCTCCGCGGGCAGCGCCCCGGGCTCCGCCGCCGCCCGCCCCCCGGCCGCGGTGCCAGCGGGAGCCGCTCCCGTCACTGCCCGGGAGGCGGGGCCGCCGCCGTATAAGAAGGGGCCGAGCGGGCGCCTCGCTCCCAGGTCCAGAGTCGCGCTGCCCCCAGCCGCGTCCCGCCGCGCCCGAGGGGACGCAGCAGCAGCAGCAGCAGCACCGACAGCAGCAGCAGCAGCACCGACAGCAGCAGCAGCGGCACCGACAGCAGCGGCGGCGGCACCGGCGGCTCCTCCTCGGCGGCGGCACCGGCAGCGGCGGCCGCTCTCCCACCTGCGCCCGGAGCGGCGCCCGGTGCCCGCGGCGGAGCCCCGCGCGGCGCCCCCATGAGCGCCGCGGCGCTCTACAGCCTGGACTCGCCGGCATGCTATAGGAGCTGGTGCCCGGAGCCCGCCAACTTCTACGAGGCCAAGGTGGGCAGCGGCGCGCTGAGCCCCGCCTGCAAGGCCGGCGGCCGCGCCGCCTGCGCCATGAGCGCCGAGGAGGCGGCGGGCGGCCTGGGCGGCGGCGCCAACCTGGCCGAGCTGAGCGCCGCCGCGCCCGCCATGTACGAGGACGAGAGCGCCATCGACTTCAGCTCCTACATCGACTCCATGTCGGCCGTGCCCAACCTGGAGCTGTGCAACGACGAGCTCTTCGCCGACCTCTTCAACAGCAACCACAAGCCCGAGCGGGGCGGGGACTACGGCGAGTACCTGCCGGGCGGCGGCGGCGGCCGCGACCCCGCCAAGGACCTCGGCGCTGCCATGAGCTCCCTGCTGGGCGCCGAGCCCCGCACCGCCTCCTCCTCCTCCTCTTCCTCCACCTCCTCCTCCTCCTCCTCCTCGCGCGGCGCCCTGAAGCAGGAGCCGGACTGGAGCGACAGCGACCTGTCCTCCTCGCTGCTGCCCTCGCAGATCGCCACGTGCGCGCAGACCATCATGAACCTGAGCGGGCAGCCCACGCCGCCCACGTCGCCCGAGCCGCCGGGCAGCAGCTCCCCGTCCAGCTGCAGCACCCGCTCGCCGGGCCCCGCGCCCGGGGCCGGGGCCGCGGCCGGGCCCGCGGCGGCGCCGGGCGGCAAGGAGCGCGGCGGCAAGAAGTGCGTGGACAGGTTTAGCCCCGAGTACCGGCAGCGGCGGGAGCGCAACAACATCGCGGTGCGCAAGAGCCGCGACAAGGCGAAGCGGCGCAACCAGGAGATGCAGCAGAAGCTGCTGGAGCTCTCGGCCGAGAACGAGAAGCTGCACAAGAAGATCGAGCAGCTCACGCGGGACTTAACGAGCCTGCGGCACTTCTTCAAGCAGCTGCCCAGCGCCTCCTTCCTGCAGCCCGCCGCGGGCACCGACTGCCGGTAACCGCCCGCCGGCGGCGCGCCGCTCACGGACCGCCTCGCGCGTGGATAAATAAATAAATACCTCAGAGCGCCGGGCCGCGCCGAACCGAACCGGGCCGGCCCGGCCGCGCCGAACCGGGCCGGGCTCCGCAGCAGCGGCCGCGGGGAGGGCGACGCCGCCGCCGGGCGCAGCGACCGCCCCGGCCGCGGGGCCGGTGCCCGGGGCCGGTGCCCGGGGCTTTCGCCGCGAAACCTGCGCAAAAAAAAAAAAAAAAAAGAGAGAGAAAAAAAGCTAAATATCTGTTGTTGTTTTTTCCCCTTAAATTATTTTTGTAATGGTAGTTTTTTTGTCTCTTTTTCTACATTTTACTCAATACTGATGCAGCTATGGTACATCTGTTAAAAATGATTCAAAAACCCATGTATTTTAGACAGTAGGATGAGAGACTGAGCATGCTCGACCTTTTATATCAATTTTTACAGCATTTCTAAGAATAAAGGAAAAAAACCCTATTTTAAATGCACCGCGCTCTCCGTTTGCTCTGTTGGCCGCGCGCGGGACCCCGCGGCGGGGCTGGGCCGGGGGCTCCGGGTCGCGGGAGGGCGACGGGGCCGCTGCGCGTGGGGCCGGGGGGGCTGCGAGGCCTCCGCGAGCGGCCCCGCCGCCCCACGAGGGGCTGGGGCCGCCCGGGACCCGCCACGGAGCCGGGACACGGACACGGCTGTGGGGGAGCGGGGCGGGGAAGGGACCCGCACGGGTGTACCGGGGACACGCGGGCTCTCCAGCTGCGACCTCGGGCACCGTCACTGCGGGCCCCACTGTCGCTGCGGGCCCGTGCGTGACGAGCGGCTCGCTTCGAGTGCCGGCCGGTGCGACAGGGCCGCTCCGAGCCGCAGGGAACGCGCTGGGATGAGCCGCGCGCCTGAACGTCCGCGGCGTTTTTGTCCCCGCAAAGATGCGTGTGGGACAGCGGCAGAAACCAGCATCCCCGAGACCAGCACTTCTCTAGAGTTAGTGATTCCAAGCCTGGAAGGGGGCAGTTTGGCATCCCAGAACGGGGAACAGGCAGACTTGGCTTTCTTGCTTAGAGCAAGATGGGTCCTAACACATCTGGAGGGGGGAAGGAGACGAGGGGGTAGGTTAGTCCCTTGGTAAGTGCGAGGCTGTCGGCGCTACAGCCTGACGTGCTCCTTGCTGTGTTCCTGCTGGAAAATCCGGTCCCCAGCGCTGCGCAGCACGCGGCTGCTCCCCTGTTCATACTGCTGCTAACACCTCTGCACCAGCGAGGGGAAAAGAAAACTGCCCTGACTACACTCTCGTGTTAACTCTCGTGCCGATTCTGATGCAACTGGCGTATTGGAAGATTTTGATAATATTTATCTGATTCCAAGGTTATAACCTTGATCTGTAATCCGTGTCTTACATGGTCTTACAGGGTGAGGTACACGGCCTACAAATCAGTTTATTCTTTACACATAATTGAGACTGTACAATAAAACACCCGCTCTGTGGGAAGCTGGAGATAACAGGGTACTTCTATGTTTAGGTACCAATTAGCTAGAAAACATTAACTTTATCTGCATCGACATTTTAAAACACAAGCCGTGTTCAAACCTGTGTTTTATAATATTTATTGCAGGATGACAACAAATACTACGGTTCAGACTTAGCCCATTACAGTGTTTTGCAGCAGGWAGTATTTCTGGAAACCTGACAAAAGTGACAGCTCAATAGGCTGATATTCACCGTCTATAGCAAAATATTTATTTCAGAAACAGCAGTCAAACATTTTCCATTGGCATATAATAACAATAGCATTACAAAAAAAATTTTTTTTACAACCATTCAAAATTCCAGAAAAAGAGGCTCTACACCTGCAAATATTGACCATACCAAAGAACTGTATTGCTAACTTCTGAATTTATCAGAAAAAAAAAAAAAGAGTTCAGAAAATTGAACAGATTTGTTTTTACAGCCATTTCACTGCGGGCAATAASGTGCTTTGTAAATCACGGTTTCAATGAACTCTCGCCCCGCTTCTCAGGCTGGCAGTGGCCGCTCTCCAGGGCCGCGGTTAGCGGGCAGCGGCCACGCCACGCGCGGCGGTGCTGCCGGCGGCGCCTCCGCCGCTCAGCGCGATTTCCTCCAGCGCGACGCGGTCGGGGCGGCCGCCCGCGGCCTGGACGTAGCAGCTGGGCAGACCCACCTCCCTTCCCAGCACGCGGTGCACCTCGTAGCTCTGCGGCGAGAAAAGCACGGGCGTTAAAACAAACAGCGCCGGACATTCTGTTCTGGGCGGCGCGCAGCTCCAGGGATACAGGGGGAAGGTCCTCTTCCAAGAGGATTTTTTTTTTTAACTTTTTTTTTTTTTTAATCTTTAACAAGAAAAAAAAAACTCTGAAAAAGTTTTCCAGAACTGCTGAAAAAAATTGTATTTGACTAGTGAGTAAATCTGGTTTTCAAGCAGATCTCACTCCTGGTTAAGATGGTACTTGCTTACCAGGCTCTTCAAAAGGAGTTGGATAAAAAAGCCACCGCAGCTGTGAACCCTGCCCAGCTGAAGCATTATAAAGCTCAGTTYGCTTCCTTCGCAAAGTCTTCTTACACGGGTTTTACCTGTGGKAGGAATGTCTGTACACACACACCTATCCATGCTGAATGCCATTCAACAACCAGCCCTTACGCTGGCCAACAGATGTACAAAAAGAAGACACAAGCGGATCGACCTGAACCACTCGCAGCCCTTTGTGCTCCRTGCTCTTCCCTGCCCCAGCTGGTTCTGCTGCCCACTCGACACAGCTCCGGTGCTYGGGCTCTCTGCAGTTTCCTTTTCCTAGACTGTTTCTACCCAAAAGCTGCTCTCCAACCAAGGGACGGTGCAGCTGCTCTAACTGCTCTGCTGCTCCAAGCCCAGGGCTGCCACAAGGCAGGACCTGGTGCCCCGGGCACGGCTAACCCCAGCCTCCCTGCCAAAGAAATGTCTGCTTGCCTACACCCTAGCAAATGCAGCAGCACAGAATACCTTCCCAAATGGTATTTCTTGTGATTAATCTTGGTCGAGAGGTGCTTTGTTTTTAAAACACAGCAGTTGGGAGATCAAACTACTTAAGAGAGGAGAAAAAAAAAGTTATTCTGTATTTCAGAGAGGGAAGTATGTTTCTAAGTGCTAGGCTACGAGGTATTGATGTTGCAAAAACTGCAACATGAGAAAGAGATTGTTTAATTTTTAGCAACTGGAAAAGAGAATGGTATTTTGTCAGTCTTTAACAAAAACATACTGTAAAACATAGCCAGGTTAACAGCTATTCAAAGAGCACACACATTTTGCGTGTTTCTCATATTTCTTTGCTCAAACGAAATATGCACCCTCCAGTATACAAAGAATAATTCACAGTTCCAGAGAAACCCCCCACTTCCAACACTCTCAGTGCATCACTTGAGACCATGGGGCACGTACTGGCAAACGCCTGCAGGACTGTGTGCTGTGGGGAAAACCGGCATGTCACCGGCCAGGGATGTTCTCCCGGGATGAGCCCGAGCAGCCGAGCTGGCCTTTGCTTCCTGGTGTGCATCAAAGAGGGAGGGCGGRAGATCTCCAGCTCCCACCTGGGCTAAATCCCGCTCGGAAGGCGCCGCTCCTTCTCCATGGGGCAGCCAATGGCAGCCAGGCTCCTACCTTCAATGCCTCATTTACCCGCGATAAATCTGGGTCACTGTGCCAAATGTCAGGGTTCTTCTGATAGCTCAGATTAAAGGAGTAACTAACTACTTGGCGATTACGTAAGCTGTACTTTAGCCCATGAATTCCTGTGGCTTGTCTGTGTCTTGCTTACACACATCCCAATTAAAAAGCATTATCTTGCACGCATTTGGCAAATTTCTCCACTACTAAAACCTATAAGTATATGATAAGGTCCTATAGTGGTTTATAGGTTCTTGGGAAGCTGCATGGAAAGCTGAGCTTGTGGGACTACATCTTGAATGTCTTTTGGACCCGACAGAAAATGGTTGGCCAGAAGGGGAGCCCAGCGCAGGCCCTGCCGCRGCTCTGAGCACCCACACAACTCGTTACAGTCAGCTCTGCAGAGCCCCCGCGGCCGAAGCTGCCACACGCCCGGCTGCCCCATCCTCCTTCACAAGGATACGACACCCAGGGACGGTGACAGGGATGGGAGGCAGGTCAGACAGCCTGTGCTGGGGCCACACCAACACTGGGCTCTGGAGCCCCCTCAAACCCACCAACCCCCGGAGGAAACGCAGCCTCCTTCCCCTAGCGAAACCCCCGCTGCTGCCGCTGCAGCGCAGCAACAAGCCATGAAACCCCCCATCTTCTGAGGGGTTCCAGCCTCCGCCAGGCAGAGTGAGGGCTGAGCTGCTCTCACGGTGGCAACAGCGYGTCGGACCCTCCGGGAGCCCCTTGGTTTCTGTGGTTCTGACTCCCTCCCACTTGATTCACTACATTTCTAGTATCCTGTCTCTGGGTACTTTACATTTCCTTCGTCAACGTTAATTGCACTTACCCCATCCTCATTGGGGGAAGACGTCAGCAGAGACGAGATTGTCTGTTGTAACAGCTGCAATGTTATTAATGAGACATTGACAATTAACAAGAACTTATGTATGCAGAAAATTCGCTTTGCAGGTTAAAACAGTGGTGTTTAACAAGCATTGATCAAGTTACCATACAATGGTTTTGTTTCTCACCAAGAAAGCAGAAAAGATGACACACAAAAATGCTCAGAATGGGAGTATGAAAAGTCACATTCCTTTTACAATGTGGACGCTGAAGCTCCCCAAGGCCCCATCCCAGCAAAGTCCTTCAGCAGGACTTGGTGCATTCAACATTTCAGAAGTCCCAGGGTGAAAGCAACGATTGTGCTGGCTGAATGAGGGCTGCAGAACTGGACTCTTAATACAATGAAGCCCAAACATAACATCAGATTAAATTAGGAGATTTGCTTTTAAATCTTTTTTCTTCTCACAGAGCTATTCATAAAAATGTTGTTTAGAAAATCTGTATGTTTATGCACACCTAGCCTCATTATATTCAATACACTTAAACTCATTTTGTACCATACCTTTACTTTTACTGTACTTTGAGATCGAGATGGACAACTCAAGAAGACTTCCAGCTGCATTTTTGTAACCGGTGAAATTACAACTTCAGAGCACTGGTTGCAATACAGCAATTTGCTGAAACATGCAAACGATGAAGGGAAAAACAAAGAAAAACTATTCATTAAAAACTCAACAATCAACCAACATCTGACCTACTCTGTAAAATGCTTTGCTGATCTGTAGTAGAAAAGTCCAGAGGGGAGATTCAGCTGATAACAGCAGAGTTATGTTGGTAAAGGCAAGTAACTTTCTTGGAGGACATAAATTCTTCTAGCAAAAGGAATCTTCCTTTGATAAGTTTAGTGAGACATGGAGGAGGCTGCTGGTCACAGCCACCTAGCAGATATGAATCTCAAATCCTTCTAACAGTCATGGAAAAAAAAAAAAAAAAAAGTAGGATAGCTTTGACCTAAATAACATATGGATTTAGGYCCTCATTCAGCAAGCACTCAATGTTTTGAGCATACACTTAAGCCATATGCACGAAATTAAGCACAGCAGTAAGTGCYTGTTAGAACTGAGGGCTTGACTGAATGATGTTGATGATCAACTATTCTCCAAATAAAACAAGAGTCCTTCAAATATAGAAAAAAAATATGAACTATATCACTATCTACACATGCATACACCCTTATTTTTCGCATGCCAGCATAATACAGTCAGTATTTATTAGTACAGTCTTACTCAGTTTTTCAGCTTTTTGACCACCAAGAGGTTGTACAGAGCAACCGCAGTAAAGCTCTTCTTATTTATAGAAATGTTATCTATTCCACAGTAATTAAAAATCCCCTTACTTTTCCTCAATTTTTAAAAGCTTTTCCAATAGGAAGAACCCCCTTTTCTGCTTTCTGCACTCTGCTTGCCCTCTTACTACAAGGTTTTGCTCTCCTCACATATCTCAGACTATGCAGGAGCAAGCAGGCTAGGCAGCCAAGGGGTTGCTCCCCACGAACGTGCCCAAGTGATGGGGTCTTTCAGGTGGTAACAGGTGATCTAGGATCAGTATTCACATCTGTGACACTCATACTGCCAGAAATACCCTACATTATTCTTAGAAAGGTTATTTATTCAACAGGTCTGAAAGCATCTCCTTCACATTTCTGTAACTTAGAGCAAGCTTCACAGATGGGTTTAAAAAGGAGGTGATTTAGTGGTGCACATGGTTACAGTGCAGGACAGAAAACCACAGAAACTAGTGTTCACGGACCTTRAAATCAGACCTACAAGTTACGTGGCATGTTCATTAAATTCATATTGTACTGCGGGGGTCTGAAATCTTTAATAACTCAGGATTGGCTTGCAAAACTGTGATTGCTGCAAATTCAACCCATTTCATATCTGCTTGTATCTTCCTTAATAAATTTATCTAACCTTGCTGCTATTATCAGTTCATCAGCAATAGAAATACTCTGTCTCAGTTCTAGGAAGGAACAAAGTGCAGCCTGTGCCTGCAGGAATGATTGCATCACCTACTGCTGTCACATCTGCAAAACACAGATGGACACACCTGGAATATTAAGGAGCATGCTGACTCTTACCTGTCCTGGGGATAAAGTTCCAATTTTCCATTGCCACACCTGTCACAGGTAGGCCAGGAGTAGGCAGTGCTCTCATTAACCCCAACAACAGTGCCTAAAAAAAAAAAATATGAAAGAAATTATTACAAAATACTACATGTAAGCTATCAAACCCCTGCCTTCAGCACAGGCTTGATCTTATCTTAAGAATAAGACTATTTCTCTCACAGTGTCAGAGCAATAATCAATTTATCTGACAATTTCACCTTCTTTTTCCTTCCATAAAGCAGTGTCAGGGTGGCAGAATGCATCAACAGTTTAATGACAGCAGAAGAGATACCTGAAAATCACCATTCCCAACGGGCTCAGACATTCGGGCTTAGGATTTTGTTGTTGTTGTTGTTGTTGTCTGGAGGTGATTTTTTCATGCTGGATCTTTCATGTTTCCTTGGCAAGAAGTACTTGCAAAAGTCATCAGGTCAGATGGCTTGATATCAATATTTAGGAAACACAGGGCAATTAGGAGACACAAGCCTTTTCAGAAACAGCGATGCCAGTGAAATCCCATTAACAATGGAGTTATTCTTCATTTACAYTGATTTAATAGAGATTAGATCTGGCCCACAGATGTAAGTGTGTATCTAAGAAGGGAACGCCAAAGATACTTTGGACTAACATAAAGGGCCTTGCTAGTTTTGGCAAAAAAAAATATATTCAGAGTTTTATGAGAAGCCAATAAGAAGTGTTTAGGATTTTATGGTAATGATAYGCTGAAATAATTAGCATTATTTACGGAGAAAGCACAAGTATTTTGAACTGTACAAAGTGGATCACCCATAAGAACAAAACTGCAATAGAATAAACCCTCAGTCTGGCACAACAGCAGTACAGGGAGCAAGAATMTCAAACAGAGGCAATGAAATACAGCACTGGAGTCTCGGGAGCATTCACACTGACTGTAAAACTGGGTGCCAATCCTTCACTTTCCTTACTTTGCAGTCCCCTAAGAAAGACAAACAACCAAACTTGAATTTGCTTTGGGAATCCAAAGGACATCAAGTCTGAATATCCTGATTTCTCAGATACATTCAGATTCTCTGATACATTCAGAGTCTCTGATTACAACAGATACAACCTTTCTCAGGCACATWTACAACCCAATTTTCATGCATAGAGCAGAACAGGGGGTACCCTGGCAGAATCAATCCCGGTAGTTTGGAGGGAACCTTTGGAATGGTGCAATGTTACAAYAGTAACTTTTAATAATTTCAGCTTTTATGACAAACTAGGTGTTTCCATCAGCTACTATGATGTAGGACACTTCCTGCCACAACACAGGCATATTTCCTCTGTTCATGAAGAACTACCCAAACTACCAAATTAGCTTGCTGAATAGGTCTTTTTTTTTTTTTCTTTTTCACAATAATTTCATCCTTTCATTTTAACATAACATTTTTAGACAGGTCTGCTTCTTCCCTCAGAGCCTTTTCAGTCGTGTCCCCCTCAGTTYTGTACTGCCATGCTGCTGCAGGAGGCAAGGGCACGAGTCACACAGATGCACTGCAAGGATATGACTCAGGCTCGTACTGATTAGATGGTGTGCAGTGCAAAGGTTTGTTCTGAGGCCAGTGCACAGTCCCCTTGTGGAGGCAGTGGATCAGATAACCCAGGGACAGCCGTTTGCAGCCTCTTGGAAGGAAGAGTTAAACAGCTGGAACTGCTGCATGCCTTGTCAAGGCTGTTGGTTCTCCTTCACTTCCAGAGACTTTCCATATATTCTCCCAACATTCTTATTTTAAATGGAAACAGAGAGCCATACATTGCTTCTCACATCTACTCGGYGCTATCCAGTGTTGTGATCAACATCTCTAAGACTGATAACAGCTCAGTCAGGGCAGTATCTGGACAAAGTATCTGGACATCCCTCTGGTGAGGGATGAAGAGGAGAGCTGGGACCTAGAGGGAACACTCTGCTGATGGTTCATCAAAAGGAAAAGCTCCATTCACTCTGTCTCCCAATCAGTTACTCTGATTAATGAACAGAAGCAGGGAAAGTTCRGTCAAAAACTTAGGCTTGGAAAGACAAATAATCTCATTTTGTTTGGGACAACTTGAAAAAACAACAACAAAAAATCAAGAACTCCCACCCTGAACAAAGGCTGAAACATAAAAATATCCAATATGAAAATTCAGTCACTACATGTGAGTCATATACCAGGAAAATATTATTAATCAAGTAATATTCCCACACTGCCTAAGTGGCATGAACTACCTAGAATTTGGTCTCAAGAACATTTAAAAGAAAAAGCAGTTCTGTACAGCACGACAAAGCCTAAGTCATCCTAACCACTGGTATACAGAAAAAGAGGTCAGAAATCAGCTTGCAATGAACAGTGAGGAGAAAATAAATCTCTGTTGACCCTGAGCTCAGAGCAGAGAACGACAGATGCATCTTTAAAAGAAGAATAAACTTTCCTGTAGTAATAAACTTTCCTCTGCTGAAGAGCAGCACCCTGTCCGCCCTAGAGCTGACATGATGGGGCCTCTCTGAAACACAGATTTCTGAAGAACTCACTGGATCCGTTTGGATCACAGCATAGTCCTTGTGTGGGGAGCAAGAATCTGACCAAGTGCTACTGGAAGACTTCACTGGCTGAACACTAACAAAAACATTTAAATACAAGTTGCAGCAGGGAGTATTCCAAATAGATACAAGCAAAACAATCTTCTCAAGGAGTGAGGTTGAGCCTTGAGCTGCTTGCCCAGAGGTTGTGGGGTCACCATCCTTGGAGACATTCATAATGTGACTACTCCAAGGCCCCAAGCATCCTGATGCAAATCTGCATTGGCCCAGCTTAGAGCAGGAGTTTGGACCAGATGAACTCCAGAAGTTCCCCACAAACACAGTTACTCTGTGATTCTATTTATACACCTGGTAAACTGCTTCCTAAATTTCCCTTCCAAATAATGACTCGTCAGCCGGAGCCTGGCAGGCAGGACAGTCTGCACCCCCTCCCACCAGACCTGGCATCCTTGGAGGCGCTGATGCTGTGATTAATTGCTGCATCTTTGGACGGGGAACTGAATGACCACCTACATTTTTTCACTGACTAAGAAGATGTTTTTCCAGTGCAGCCTCCCTAAGAAGGTATCCTGCCAAATCCCGGAGCGTCGGAGAAGGAGGAAAATAACGGGCAGGGGTGACACTGCCGGAGGAAGAAGCGCCTCTGCGGCACCTTTACGTGTTGGGTGAGAGGAGGCTACGTACAGCGTACGTAGGTGACCAGAGGCACAGGAAGTGAAAGGAGGGCATGAAGGAGCCTGGAGCCAAGCACACACTGCGCCACACGGAGAGAAGCCCTGGGAGCTTTTCTAGAACACATAGAGAGGCTGAGGGAATTTCACAGCGGTGTCTTTTCCTGCAGGAATTGCTCCATTGGATACGTATTTTCTCACCAACAAAGGAGGGTTAATGCTGTTAACTTTGCTTCTTCATTAGAAGGATGCAAATGCTAACTAATCAGATTTAAAAATAGGGACTATCACAAATGCAATTAAACTATCATAAATGCAATTAGTTACACTAGCAAACACACACACACAAAAGAAAGGGAAATAYGTACATACATATGCATAGGTACAAGAAAAGGTATTTTCTACTCTACATCATGCCCAAAGTGTGGGAACATACTGATAAAAGCTACCTAGACCAATTTCAGATTAAGCTCCACAAACACAAGATTGTAGGATTAAGGCTGTCATTCTTTCATATGTAATGAAGAACAGGGAAAGTCGGACACCTTTGAGGTATGCAAAGGAAATGCTTGTTTATACAAAGAATCACAAAGGCTTTCTGTGCTTTGCAGGAAAAAAAAAAAGAAAGGAGAGAAATATTTTGCTTTATTCTAGTATATACACTGTCACCTGGATAAAAGAATAAAAACATTTCTTCTGCTTGGTAAATAAAAGGTAGGAGCGGGGGAAGTGGTAACTGTTAGYGTAACTACTGAAGAAGTCGGGATAAAGAAAAGCCAAAAAATATTTCATAACTGTGATAAAAATATCTTTCAAGCAACTCACAATAATGATGAGATGTGCATAACGACCAACGCTTAGAGTGAAATGCCTGTAGCTGTGTTTGTTTCTCATTATGCAGTTTGAGCGCTTAAGATTTGTCAGTACAATGTGCTCATATATTAATCATGGAGACACTGCTAACCGGTGGCTCTACCAAAACAATTTCTTTTTTTAGTAATGGTTCTCAGTGGGTTTTTTTGCTTGTTTGTTTTGTTCTGTTTTGCTTTACACTAAATATTGCTTTAGAGCTGACAAACTTCTTTACTACACTTTAGAACCATTATTTACTGTTATTCTATAGATCCTTTCAAATGTTTCAATGCATAGTTGAAAGTGTACATGTGAACCAGTATCACGAATTTTCTACAAGAGTTACTGTGGTCTTAAGAGTTAAAGAAAGGAAATTATATTTAAAAGGTGCAATTTATTGGCTTTTATATGTTTTTTTTCCTTAGAGGCCCTCCACAACTGCGAAGTTTAAGAGGCTGCCTGGACAAAGTGTTAGAACCTCCACTGTAAGAAGTGTCTCTGTGTGATCAGGAAAAGTTAGAAAATACCTTGCAAGAAACATTTCCTCGTAGTTAGTGGTAGGACTGAGGTATTAGACCAAGCAGTGATCCAAAGTGGTAAGCAAGGATTGGCCAAGTTAAGCTACATATCTATGGTGAAACATTAAATTGCCTTATTTCGGCAAAGCTTCAGGGAAAGCAGAAGCTAATCCCTGCCATTCAGAACCTGGCTAACACATCCCTCTGCTGAAAAAATGTTGGTATACCTTGGTATTGCCAATATCAACAAGGCTGGTGTGAACAGAAGGCTCCTGAGAGAAGACAGCGTAGGAAGGACTATAACAAAACAGATTGTATATCAAACATTTATTCYGGGGTATTGTGAGTGGGAGCAGTAGCCAAGCACAGCTTGGCCATTAGAAGACAAACAGAGCCTGCAAAGAGGTATAAAAGCTTGAATATCCTAATGACCTAAAACAGTACCAAGCTTTTATATCCCTACATACCGTTTGTGCAAGCAATCAATAGGAGAACATGAAAGATTAAAGTGAACACAAAGAATTAAGCTCATTCATTTCAGGAAAGGCCATACGAACCTCTTACAGTACAGATGGAATTGGCCTGTGTGGTAGAATCCAGCTCGTCGAGTTTGACAGGGCCAGTCAGCTCCCTGAGGTCAGCACCGGCAGCCGAGTACAAAAGAGGCTTTTGTAACAGGAGAACAGTACGTTCAACACAAATAATCCTACCTGCCAACASAGACATTTCAATTCAGTACAGTAACAAGGAAGAAGGTGACCATGTTAATCGTCATGGCCAATAAAGACAATCGTCTCTGCCAGCTGCTAAACAGATGGGTAGACTCCATCAGGTGTTCTCCCTGACAAAATATTTTGGTTTCAGTGATACAGGCATCACACACTGGTTTGTTACACTTCTCGACTYCTGGGGAAAAAAAGATATCAAAGAAAATTGTAACATGGCAAAAGAGAATTGGCCTTCATTCAGAGTGCACGGTAACATTCCCTGGAATGTGCAGTTATTGCCTCTTCCTCATCTTCCTCTCTAGGTTTTGTTTCAAATAATAGAAAGAGAAGGTGTATGAAATACTATATTTTCCAAAGCAGATTTTTTTTTTCCCATTTTGCATGAAATAGGTATGAGCTCTGCTAGAAAAGGGAAATGGGCAGGTTAGCAGATGCAGTAAAGGGCACTGAGCCATTTACACAGCCTGGTGCTTCCGAATCTACCTTCATTTGGTGACTGAAAGCTACTGACTTCAAATGTGACCTGCATGGATGTATAAAAAATAAATAAGAGCAACTACAGGATGAATGGAGAACTAAACTTTCTTCTTAATGACCTGTACAGTGGTAAAGGCTCCTGCTAATATGATGTAGGCTAGTTTCTAACAAGCTGTCAAGCCTTTGGATTCACCATCTTGCTTCTTTTAGAGGCAGTAAGTTCAATATAACAGGTTTTTGCACAACCCTCAAAATGATGAAATTAAGTTTCCTAACACCTTTGAGTCTTCTATCAGCTATCCATTTTGACTGACACTAGTCATTAGGGAAGACAACAGTCATTAGGGAAGATGGACAGGCATACAGTAAGATCACTTAATTTCTCACTTACTTCAGAGACCAAGCCAAAAACATAAAAAAAAGAAAACAAAACCTACAGTGTAATCTACAGTTACACCCAAATTCAAATTTCTCTTCCCAAACTTGTCATGATTTATGTTCACGTGAGAAGGAAGGTCTTTGCAGGTCCCCTGCAGCAGGGGCAGAGATGAGGACGTTATTTCCGTGCGATCCCAGCTCGAGCCAAACTCACCCTTTCCCCACAGGGCGTCCCTGAAGAAGACGAAGCGCGAGGCGGCCGCGAGCGCTTCCCTCACCTCCGTGCCGAGAACACACGGAGCAGCAACGGACACAGCAGCAACTTTCGGAGCTGCAGGAGCCACGTTTTGCAATGTGAAGTCAGTCACAAACAGCCAAATCTCCCTTTGATTTATAGGAACACTGGGTTTTGTCTACGGTTTCCAAAAAAAAAAAAAAAAAAAAAAAAAAAGAAAGAAAAACAGAATACAGTCATTAATTTTTAGGAAAATGAAAGACTACAAAAACATCTCCAAGTAACTAGTAAAACTGACATGCTCTGCTATATTTAAGGTTTGTGGACCTTAATCCACTCAGCTTTAGTGGATTTTTTTCTCAGATAAAGACTAACATCTACCTTAAATTAACTTTCTGAGCTTGACCCACCGGGATCTTGAATTTACCTTAAACAACTATCATGTCATAACATAACTGACTCTGAGTGTACTTGGGATCTGAAAATGTTTTATAAAAAGTTAATTATATGGTTTTATGAATAAAGAATTAAACAAATTTATTGTCTTAAAAAAAGAAAGACTTACTATTTTTATTTCTATGTAAGCATTTTTTCTCATGTTTTGTTATCTGATTCTCATGAGCACCACTCCTTGGCTAAGAGCTAATATAAGTTACAAAGCTGGAAAACGTCCCTTCCATTGAACAAACAAATCTCTAAATTTTTGAATGAAACACAGAAATAGGAAAGCAGATGACTTGTAAGAATTACAGGAATCCATGATGAAAACAGAAGTTTCCTGCCTGCTTAAAACGGATATAAAAATATTCTGCTATGGTTAAAATAAAGTATATSATAATGGTGTCACACCATTATCATATTGTCATATATCACTATATCATAAATGATGTCACACCAACATATCCACCTGTTATGTCAGGCTTTGTATTTGRAAACAATTATCAGTACTAAATCAGTAGTTTTTTTCTTTCTTCTTTTTTTTTATATCAGTATGAGAAGAAGACAGAGTAGACAAACATTACATTCATATCAGTATTACTAAAGACTCTAACAAAATCAGATGGGTTACCATTTAACCATACCTTTTTTTTTTTTTTACTCTATAATAAAACTTTTATAATCTGTGTGTGTTTGTGTGTGTGCAAATTCTCTCATATTTTAGAAAAGCTAGGTTTAACAACAAAACATATTTCACCTTTATCAGTCCAAGCAATTTGTAATTCTTAAGATTTTAATATTTTAAAATACTTATCTGAAATTAAGTTGCTTAATTCTTTAAACAATTTGTATTATTWATTAATCCCTCAAATAAAAGTTCATGCATAAAATATTTAAATTATATTTAAATATCACTGTGATTGGTAAGATACATATTAGATAAATATATCAGCTCCCAATTTGCATTTCTTGATCTTAATGTAATGTGATGAGAACTCCAAGTTTTTGTCTGAAATCGAATTCAAGCCTTGAAAATGTTAAACATACCAAATCAGCTTTTTGTTCAYGCTAACAAAAACAGCTCTAAGAATCAATAGGGCAACAGGAAATAATTACTGGTAAAACTTGTAACTTAACCATTATAGCTATTCCTTAATACAATATCCGCTGCCGATTGCATTTACATGGCTTCCCTGTATAGCAGCTACATGCACTCGGAGTGCCTGCTCTACACCGATAGCATTAAAACAACTTCAAAGACAGGCTTTGTAAAGCTGCCCCGGGAGAATTACTAACACATTAAAGGCTGGTCTGCAGAAGAATCATGCAAAAAGTAAATAATAACAACAGCAAAACTCACAAGTTAGCATAAAATCATCATCTTGCTATGTGTGACAATTTGTTCTGAACAGAGAGGACACAACAGACAAATAGCAGCAGGATTGAGTTATAAGGAAGGACAGCTCCTCAACCACAGATGGAATATATTTCCTCATTTTCCTTCGGCACCGCAGCACAGATTCTGAGTAACAAGAAGGGCGAATTTCCATCCCTCCTTTACACAAATGGAGCATCTCAGAATACTGCAGCTACAGGCAATAAATCCTATTTTTACAGCACATTTGAAATAACTCGTGTAGCAGATTGTTTAATAACAAGTCTGCAAAATAAGTCCCTTCACATATTCTAGCTTGACAGTTTTGCACGGGAAGGATGAATCTTCCTGGCAGAAAACAAGTCGGGGTTTGTGCCATTCTTCTGGAACGCAGGCAACCGATGCACTAACAGCAGGTACGTGCATTTCCATTCACGGAGCAGTCATGCAAAAGCCAAATCCTTTCTRTTGCTTTTTGCAATATTACTTTCAAAAATGTATGAGCTCAGTATTGTTTGCTTATGATAATTTAGTGCTCACAGTTCTGCAAGTGAATAGCCATTAAATAAAACGGCTAAGAAACTTTCTAGCAGCATGAAAAAGTTGACTYTTTTTCTTCTATCAAACAAGCTCTTATTCTTCAAAAACATATCTATTCCAGCACACTGCATCTTTTCCCTAATTTAGTGATAAAATACATGTACAGAACAATACTGACGGTGCAACAATACTGACGRTGCACATCTCAGATGCTGTTGGTTTTGGTTTCGTGCCTGAAACCAAAAATGTCTGACTAAGCTATCACTTCCTAATCTCTATAATCTTTTGTCCTTTTTTTTTGTTTTTAATAAAACAGTTTTCTTGGAAATAGGACAAGCCCACACATAGATCTGCCCATCTTTCTGTTAGCGCCCTGAAGATCACATCACACTGGCCATAATTTCAAACGCATGCAAATGCCCCACTGCCACTTACCATGGAGAAAACACTGCCAAGTGAGAAAAGATCCTCCCCAGCACAGGAGTTCAAAGTTCTCCCTGCCTAAAGATCAAATCATAAAGTATTGGCTCTTGAGGCGAGAGGACGAGACCTAAATTAAATTTGGGTCTCACAGTGGTGGGGAGCATCTCCAGCTATTTTGCTGCCCGTTCTGGAATTTCTTTGTCTTTGGTTCATATGCTTTGATTCACACTTTGTTTCTTGTGGAGCTGATGGACAATTATAAATTATCCTCCACCAGGATTCAGTGCTGGCTGTACTAGGATCCAGTTGCCAGGAAAAAATAAATAAATCAGGAACAAAAAATTCCTTTAACTACTGAGGGAGTTAGCAACATTCTGAAAGAAAATTGTAGCGTCATTCAGCAACAAATAAATAAAACATAATTATAAGCTTTCCAACATAATATGGATGACAGATGTATTTACCTAAGAGTTCCTCCTTTTTTACTAACTGGACCATAAAAGCCAAAATTGCCTGAGGGGCTTCTCTTGAAGTCAACAAAAATTGTCCACTTGCATGCAAAGAGCCAAACGGAGTTTTTATATAACCACCGTCTCTTAAATTCTGTCCCCAGACACTCAGCTGGCTGGAGCTTTTCTGCATGTATCTCGGTATTCAGCTCCACTGCAAGCCTCAATGAACCCCCTGGGAGCTCCTTACCAATATGCAGGGGAAATATTGTCTCTGATTAGACAACACTTAATTGAGAAATAATTAATCTTCTAGACTAAATGATACAGGGACTGAAAATRCAATTCACTGTGCCCATTCACAGGCATATTAGACTTGTTGATAATTCTCCTCATACAGGTCTGGAAAATAATCCACAGAAAATGTTTTTCCTCTCAACAAGATYGATGCTTTCTTCACACATCCATTATACTGAGCTTAAATATATTTCATTGCTACATGAAAAGATTACCTGAAGACGCAGATACAGCACTCGTGCCCAAAAGCTACAGCGTACATTACAACGGTCCATCTGAAAATAATTGTGCAAAAATAGGGAATGAGACAAACAGGGCACTAAAAATTTAGTGTTGCAAAATATGTCATCTGTTTTCTAAAGCAGATTACCTGAAAAATTTCCTTTAGACCATGAACAACTGGTGGTTGGTACAAATTAGCAATCTCTTCTTCCTCATCTACTTTCATATGTATTTCACCAGACTGTACGGTAAGAACGTAACAGAAGCTGGGAGGAGGAAGATTAGTTGTCATCTATTAAGAAACAAGTAAAAGAAACGGAACTTTAAAGAAAAGACACTTTCATTTGGTCAGTCAGCATTTATAATGATAGTAAATAAATACAGATACGGTTAAATAATAACAGTTCTCTAAAGTAGAAGTTGATTTAATAAAACAAGTGAAATCATCTTGTATGCATCATCCTTTCCAGAATTTGACATTGATCCTCATTAGAAAAACAGCTCATCATTTGGCACACTTGGCAAACACAGTGACTATTTCAAAATGGTTGTTTTTTTAAATTATTTTATAACATGGTAGAAGTACCCTGATTTTTTTTTTTTTTTTTTAAGTATCCATAACTATTCTGAGATTAGGGGACTTTTGCATGTGGGTGGGTTTTTGTGATAGTAAACAGCTGAAGAACTTTTAAAGCTGCCAAATTAAATCCAGGGCAGCACAAGGAGATAATGAAGAACAGGAACTCAAAACTACATTTTTTTTCTCTTTGTGCTACGCCAAATTTTTCTTTCCTCCTTAAAAAGTGTTGTGACGTAACAACTTTATCAATCTCCATTTAACGAGATCCCAAGCAAGAAAGCTTCTCAGGAATGAAAGACAATGTAGCAAAATATTTTTTTATTGTGCATTTGGTAAAACACAGTTCTAGGGATGTTTTCTGTTAATAAACCATTTCATTTACTGAAAAAAAATGAATCTATTGAAAACAGCTGCACATCCATTGAAAAAAAAAAATCTGCATAAGGAAGAAAACAGGCAAGAAGACATCAAATCAAGTTCTGTTTGCCTCCGACTATTAAATAAGGTAACTGAATGTACATGTGTCTCAAAAGAAGCCAGTTCCACTGATCTCTTCCCTACATTATCAGTGTGTTGGTAATATTACTTAGGTTTGTATGTATAACACTCTATCTACTTGCATAAAACTATAGCTTGTATCAAGAAAAAAGTATCACAATTCTCCCCAAAATTGTATACTGTAAGTCTTGAGCTTCTCTGGGAGGAATTAACATTTCAAACTTACGACAGAAGTGTAGATTTTATGATTATAGAAAGTTTCCTCCCTTTTTAGATGGCTAGTAATCTAGAGAAAGCGAAGATTGCATGGACATTATAATATAACATGAAACAACAGGTAAGAGTTTTGCTCTGTTCATAAATGATCTTGTTCTGTTGTCTACAATATTTTTACACAGAAAACAATCCGTTTTTCTCAGATTTCTTAAATATCATGGGATAATCGAGGAGAGAAGAGCGGCTTCACTCAGTTTCACTTGGCCAAGGAYTGAACTTTTTATTCTTCAACACAAACCCCCATATAATGTAAAGAACACTACCTTGTAGAGAAAAATGTCTCACAATTACAAGTAATATTCATCTCCAGTTTCCTTTTTTTTTCCCCTTGCTTTTTCTTCTTTTTAAAATCTTGCATCCTGATCGACTCCTAGGCTCTAACAAATTTTTAATACCACAAACGTATTCCCCCAAGAACAGCTACACAAAACAGCAGGACAGCACGGGCACTCGGTTATTCAGAAGCTTCTCAAATGATCTCATATTACTAAAATGCCACTCGGTACAAGAAAACTCCTTTTCCAATAGAAAAGCCAGTTAAAGGGTAATTAAAAGATGCAATTCTAAATCTGCAAAAGCATAGTAACTACTTAAATCCATTTAAATATCTCACACGGGAGATATTGGAGTCAGAATTATTCTAGCTAAAAAAGACCTGATTCCAGCAGTCAGGCTGCACTCACCAAAGCTAAGCTTTAGAAAAGCACCTTTGAATCTAAGGCCGAAGAGCTTTTCAAAAGAGCTAGGTTATATCATTGTACACAGACTTCTTAGTCATCTTCACACTATGGAATATCTCTTTCCTGCAGCAAGGAGAGGAATAATTTGCCTGGATGTTCTGGATTCTGGCTCTGGAGGATTAATGATGGGGTGACTGCATCATTTTGGAAACATGATCCTGATCAGGTTAGGGCAGGATGCAGCCAAAACCAGTAACAAAACGCAGTAGTTAAAGACACTGGGAGAAACTGATTCTCAAAATAAACATGAATACACTGCCAATAAAAATAGTAATTGTGAGTGAAGAAATACATTTCCACAATAACATGACTTACCATTTCAGAGTCTTGACTTTGCCCGGGAACTTTTACAGGCACTACTGGAGGCCACAAGCTGTCTATCAGACTAAAAAGTCCTAATGCCCTTCAAAAGAACAATAAAGTCGGGTTTAAAGTGTTTTCCAATATTATATGTCATATGAGAAGATCAATTTAATTATATGAATATTAATTTTAAAGATTAATATAATTCAAACCATTGCATGATTCTGAAAACAATTTTACATCACATTTGTTTTCTAGAGGCTGTTTCTGATTTGGTCTCATTAAAAYTCCATCTTTTCTGTTGCAGGGTGAGAGCAAGGCAAGGGACAGATGACATTCAGCGACAAGCAAGTCACATTTACTTCTTTGCCACGAACAAGCACCAGGGAAGCTGGTGGAGGGCACCAACAYCAACACAACTTCTGTTAAGAAACAGCTTTGTGACACAGCAGTTTTACTGGTAGATGAAACAAGATGTTTTGCCTCTATCATTTTTTTGTTTCGTACTTTTCTCTAGCACCTGGTCATACATGAACTTCTGATTGAAAAAAAGGTAAGATCTTTTCTTAAATGCACTTGGGCCCTGGAGTACAAATGTGCAGAGATCCATCTCCTTCCTACACATCCCCAATAATTTAGTTGTTTTATTTATTTGTGAAAGTTTCCAACTTTTTCCTTTAGAAACAAACATAAAATTAACAGCCCAGCATATCAAGGTGAAGGGGCCAGCCCCTCCAGCCCTCGCATTCGAAGCTGGAACCAGCAGCACCATGGTCGCCTGATACGTCAGCTGGGCAGCAAAGGCCACAGTGTCTGAGGGAGCGGCCAAGAAGAGCTAAGGGCAGAAAACAGCTACAACCAACTCCAGAAGGCTTRATTTTAAAGCTCTTGATTATTCTGTCCTAGTTCTCCGGGAGTATTTCATACAGCTAATGGCAGAGATGTGGATTTTAAGCTGCCTTCCAGGGCAAACAGCTCRTCCACCAAATTAAGAAAGCTGAAATGGCTCTAGAAATGAAGTCACACGCTTGCTGCAGGTGTTACTTGCTCCTGTAGCAGAAGCTGCAGGCAGCGCATACATGGGCTATGGCCCTGAAGCTCCTCACACCACGCAGCTTCTCTCCAAGGAGCGACAAGGAAGCTCTTCCTTGAGCTTCTGCCTGRGCTTACTGGTGCTTAGTTACTTCAGTATTGCACTATAGTCTTTCTCTCTTGATCCTTGGGTATTTATACTTTGGGAGTCTGTAAGTCAGTGAACTATTTCAGTGTTTCTTTGTAAAGTATCACGTCACCTGTGATACAACATTAATAATGAAGCCTGGTGGATCGTCAACCAGATGTTTTATGAATGTGCATCTGTGTGCGTCATCACATACACATCACATACATACACATCAACTTACAGCAAATAAACTAAGTTGTTCTGTTTCAACTATAATCACATCTCCACACAGACCTTACATTGGTCCCTCACTGAAACCTGTATTTTGAAACTTGCACAAGAGACATGAAGTCCCTCCTCGCTCTGTACACGTCCTCCAGCTTGCAATCACGTATCAGCACGTTCAGGGTATCGGGCAGCTGCCCTCAATTACTTGTGACCTGTCGGAGGAGGTGACCTATCGCTTGAACTAGGAGCACTTCAATTACTAGCAAATTACTCCACTTGTTTACAAGAGAGACAGTCTCCTGAACGCCTTGGACTCATCCCTTCCCTCGACAGCGGTCAGGCGAAGGACGGGGCTATTTAGCACCTGCAGCTCCAAGTCTCCGCAGGCTCCAAGCCCTGTCTCCAAGCGGCAGCCCCACTCCGGAGCAGGCGCCGGGTGTCCCTGCCGAGGCAGCTCCCGCCCGGCCGCCCCGCGTGCGCCCCGGGGGCAGCCAGGGCTCCCCTCTCACCTACGGCTTCCGTCACCCCGCTGCAGACACCGCTACGCTCTGCATCCCCCGCTGCAGAAAATAATTATCCTCGCAGAAAGAATAAACCCCATCCTCTTTATTGGCCGCACAGACTCAAATCCCACTTCAATCTGACGGGAACAATGGGTGTCTTTTATCCAATATGTGTCTCCTTCCTCAGCTACAGGGGCAGGGCAGGGGACGAGCAGCTGGCCCCGTGCTGCGCTGAAGGGACGCGGGCAGCCCCAGCGAGCACCAAGGGCCTGTCTCACTTCACAGGGCAAAACGAAAACTCAGCAGCTTGGCCCTGTGAGTGTCAATTGTTGGTCACTCTATTYAAAAAAATAAAAATAAAGACAAAAATGTAATGACAAAAGGACAGACCTCAAAAAAAGGAAAAGTAGCATAAGAAGTGAGAAGAAACAGGGCCAAGGATAAAACAAAACATGCAAAATATTCTGAATAATATTTTTTTCTACTTAAGAGACAAGGAATCTATTCTAATATTCTATAGCTTTGTTTAAAAAAAAAAAAAGAATAAAACAAAAAACAGAACAACAGCAACAAGCATTAATCATCATTAATCTCATAATCTTCCAGACTGAAGTGAAATCTATATTGGTTAAAATCCTTTTGTTACTCATTGAATACATGGACATCCAGCAGTTATCGACCAACCACAAAGACCTCCAGTGGCAATGTAATCGAAAGACACAGAAGGATGGAGCCATGAGAGTCCTCTGCACGCAGGTACTCTTCTCTCCCATAAACATGTATCCTCAAGCCTTGCTTACACAGAATGTTTTTTATATATATATATATATAAATATATATATATGTATGGGTTTTGTATACACAAAGGTATGTGTATATACACTTAATATATTCTTAGTATTCAACGTGCTTTAGAAGTACTCACTTTTACTTTGAGTTATTGAATTACGGTACACCGTTTCCACATATCCATAAACACAAACTGCTGTGGATCCACACAGCAAGCCCGGAATTTTCAACCTTTCCCACCATGAAACAGGCTCAATATGTGGTTGAGAGAACGCAAAATGCACCTTCCGCAGGGGCACAGGTCACTTCTGCCAGGACGAACAGACCATGTTAAACCCCTGGACGAGGCAGACGCGGCCCCGGCGCGGCGCGGAGGTGGAGGCCGCTCTCGTGCTCCTCTCGCTCCTTCCTCCCCGGCTCAGCAAGGGCCTGGAGTCTCCTGCTGCTTCTGACCTTCTCGGCCCGTGGTGCCCRTTGCTGCAGAGCCACGGGGCTGGCACTGGGGTGGGCACCCACGTGTGGGGCTGGCACTGCGGTGGGCACCCACATGCTTGCTTTGGGATGTCCCATAAAGCCCACGTGCCAAGGAAAGGCGTGCAGAATTATATTAAGCTACCCCATAAAAAGATAAACGAGCTACATACCTACAGCTCCAGTACCCGGCTCTGTAGAAATTTCCCTCTTTTTATACTACCGACTATACTGCAAATACCAAACAACTTCAAACTTTGATTTTTAAAGCTTCTATCTCACTGGCTTTCTGTTCCTTTCCTTAAATTATACTAAGGCGCTAAAATGCAAAACAAAAAAGTGATGTGGCAGCTTATTTGACAATTTACTGAAGATACTGCATCTCTCTAATTAACATGAAGTTTTACCTATAGTTCTGGTCCAATAACATGATATGCGACAAGCCTGAATGTATTTTTTTGACATTAGAGCTATACTGCTGTGATTTCTGACCAAAACACAYGGTGTGGGGGATTTTTCAGTTTTAATAATTACAACACAGGGTCAAAGGAAAATAACTGGACAGCGAACGCATCAGAAACGGCACAGACAGAAGAACAAGGAAAACAAAGGCACATAACTAAGAAACGAAAATGGGCCGAGTCGARTTTATGTAAGGGGACCCCTAGGAAGACTCCAGGACTCCTCTCCAATATCTTCCAGGGTTCAATGGGGACTCAAGGCTTAGCAGATCCCCCTCTCCACAACTCTAGTTCTAGTCTCAAACCGTTTTCTTTTGGCACTAACATAGGCTCAAATGGTCTCACTTTGCAGGCTCAGAAACTAAAAACTCAGAAATAAAGCAATTTCTAGCTCCCCATGAATCATCTCTTTGATCAACACTTAAAAAGAAATTCACTAATAGTCGCCCAGTGCACGAGGATGCGTATGAATATCAAAAGGCAAGAAATTCAAAATAAACTGGACACTGCAGCTTAGCTCTCCCTCTAACTGACCCAGGAGGATCCTTCATAGATGCTGGGCTACACCCATTGACTTAAGCAATACAATAAGCATAAAGWTTTTTTTTTTTTTAAAGTAACATCTCAGACAAAATCTAAACAGCTAGGAAGAATGGTTGGCTTTCTTTCTTTCCTGAGTTTTAGGACACCTGTTGAGATATATGATTTTTTTCGTRTATCTTAAGAATATGTCATTAAGATATATGATTTTTTTCACAAAATAATGTATTTACCTACTTTAATAACTCAGCCTTCTCTAGCACATTGGAAATTATGCCTAATATATTAAAACATTGATTTTTTAACACAGAATTACTTTTGATGTAACATGCCTCTTTTGTCTTCTCCAGTGCTGGTTATTAAACAGACTCAGGATAGAAGCACTGAAGATGGAGGCAGTAGTCCATGCTGGTTAAAAAGAAGAAAGCTCAAGAAACAAAATCCATTTCTGATATATATCACAGAATCACAGAATCCAGTCATAAAAAAAAAAAAAAAAAAAGAGTAACACAGATATTCAAAACTTTAATTACTTAAATTACGCTTTAAACAGAACTCAGCTTTTAACCACAGCAATTACTGCAATGTTTCAGGACCTCAAAACCTCAGAGATGTGGGTGGCTCTTTCAGATGGCAGCCTTTTTGGAGGAGGGAAAACCAAAGGAAGGAAGTTGTGACTTCCTTGCGCTGTGGAGAGTTCTTACTATTACATTTCCTGTCAACGTCTAGCAGTTGAACAACCTTCTTTGCAGGCAGTCAGCAGTGGTCCCATCTGCTGAGTGCAGAGCAAAGGTATATAGCAAAAAATAGAGGAAAAAGAGGCTAAAAGAAGAAGAAGAAAAAATTTGGGCAAAATAGTGACAGTAATATTAGGACAAATTTAGGAAGATTTCACATTTCAGCATCTAATATATAAATTTCTAAAATTACAAAAAAACAGCAATTTTTCTTTAAAAACACAGAAATTTCTCAGTGAAACATAAGACTAGTGGATCAAATTCAGTATTCAGACCCTACTTCAGAGCCTAGAAGTGAATGCACCAGGCAGCATAGCAAGCAATTACGGAGCAGCCTGCCATTAATTAATGGTTGGGTTGTGTGCCAAAGCTTATGAGTTGATGTATACCTCAAAATATTTCACCCTGTCCTGTGTAAATGTGGATTATAGACCAATCCATACAATGGTTGCATCTATTTTTCAATCTTTTTGAGATTTTTTTTTAATTTAGGGACAAAATTTGTACTGACATCCTGAGTTAATTATATATTATGTTAAAGTATTTTTTCTTTGCATTTTTAAACTGGTGTAATCTTTCTGTTCTGCTGAATAGAAACGTTTCATGTTCCAAGAGAAATGATAAAGACACAGAAACAGGTAGGTCTGTTACAGCCAGAAATAAAACAACTCACTGTCAAAACAGATGAAAAGGCACAAATTGTGGAGAAAAAGAAATATATATATTAAAAAAAAATTACATACTATATATTTTACAAATACAAGGAGATATATATCTCCTGTGTATAAGTCCACTCAGGGCTTTAAAAGCACAAAACTAACATCCATGTCCTTAAGACAGATACCTAACTGCAAAGTTTATCTCTGCTCATTGGATTTAACTGCTGCTGTTAGGATAAAAGCAGATTCTGACAATTCATAGGTTATTTCCTCTTGACACTTTTCAGTGAATGCTCGGCCCCTGTACCAAATTGCATCCATTTAGTTACTGGTTATACTGGCTGTACCTGAAAAAAAAAATAGAAAATAAAAAGGGGGAGATCTACTGGAACAGCAGGGTTACATATTGGCTGCACTGCAGGCTGATTTTAACTGATATTTGTGTCTCCAGCAGCACTCCAAAGAAATCTCACTTCCTCTTTCTCAAGAGGCTAAATTTAAAAGACTGACATAAGGGGCAGTGGGAGGATGAGAGAGAGTAGACACCTCTAAGGATCAAGCATCCAGCAGCAGATCAATGAACATTTTCCAGCTTTCTAACCCTCATAACTTCCACTCCCTGCTCTGATGATMCTAAGCGGGCAGGCTGGGGAAGAGTTGAGCAGAAGACTCAGGGACAAACACATAGGAGAGGGAAAAAGATGTCAAGAAACAGATAGTGAACCACATCCATGTTGTTAACTGAGGTGCTACAACACCCATTCCTACCTGATTCCAACTTTAACCAACCCCTCAAACSCAGACTAGAACAACAGCTGTAAAGAAAAACACTGGACAAGTCACGACAACTTAGCCATGACTCAGCCACGTCCACCCRTCTTACAAGATTACCAGAAACTGGACAGCACATGGAAAACCACTTCCTCTATTTTACTGCCCAGGGAAAGGTTTCTTGCAGTGATGGCTTTGAGGAGTGGTTTCCATGAGGTTTGGGACCTATTTTGAGAGTCCCCCAAATCAATGAAGGACTTTCAGATGACCTCTTGACTTTTTAGAGTTGGTCTCTTTCATAGTTTTTAAAGCACACAGGTAYTCAAAAAACATATTCAACACTAATAGTGCCTCCTAGATGAGATTACTACAAACCTAATTTTGCACAGGCTTGTTCTTGGTCAAGACATGACACAGATGTTTAAGTTCTTAGCCCACTTTCTACTTGGAAAACAAGTATTTTCTCATCAGGTCCATTCTTTGATCCATTCTACAGGACAAGTCCATTCAAGTTAGGTTTAGATCCAGGTTATCACCTGCATGTAAAATAACACATTTTTGCACATTTTTGCACAATAGTGGTGGTCCACTGATGCAAAAACCTTGAGCAACTTCTATTTGGTGAAGGAGAATCACCTCCGAGGGTCTGAAGGAGCCCTCTGGCTCTGTAAGGAAGATTACAGTCCACGTGACTGTGGGACAGCAGGCACATATGGGATCTCATTAGCTGTTCTTGGCTTACTCCAGATCATGAGTTCCAAAGGCGGACTTTTCCCTCACATTTCCTACATTTGATTCCCTTTCACCCACATTAAAAGCCACTGTCAGATTCCTGGAAATGAACAGYTTAAGAAGAGCCGTGTCCTTCCAAAAACCAACTGGCATTTGGGAACAAAATCCCCTGGAAGGCGCCCTGGCGGGGCAGAGCCCACAGCTCCTGGCAGACCAGGGTCCCTGCCAGCCTCTGTCCCGTGGCCACGACCTGTGTGGATAATGATGCTCTCGGGAAAGAAGCGCTCCTGGTATTTATCCCAACTAGCTTTGCTGTGGTTTCCATCACACCTAGAATGACACAAAACGTGTCCCAACACTTAAGAGTAATAACAAGTTTTAAAGCCAAAMTTGGGCTGAAACAATTAAGGGAAAAAAAATTAAATAAATCCCTCCATGATTCCCYCACCCACCCATTTTCTACAACGAAATCACGTTTTAGCCACCGCGCTGCCCCTGGAGCTACACTAGCCCTTTTCCTTTGATGTTTCCTAGCAGGGTTACCACCAGCTCAGCTCCAGCTCCAGCTGAGGAGCCACCAGCATTTTCAGCAACGCGCTGCCTAAGCGTCCCCAGAAGTAACTTACTGCTGCTTTGAAACCGGATTCACATTAGGAAAAGTCTGGCTCTTATTAGCTAGGCCGAGTGCTGGAAACACCAGCAGCCAGTTGTAAAACTTCAGTTGTATCCAGAATTCCAAAGCCATTATTTAATTTGTTTGGAAAAAAAAAAAAAAAAAAGTAACTTAAAAAAAGAAAAAGCCAACAAAGTAATTAAGTAAGAAGACGTGTTTGTTATTAAAGATCCATAAAAATGTAAGTAGGCTTGAAATCCAAGGGATCTGAAAATTAACACTGCAAGCACATAAAAAGAAAAGCACACTGAATAGGGCTGGCTGGGAAACAGCAGTTCCATTTTACTAAACATTTCAAGGCTTTGAAATTTGTTTTTGTTCCAATATGGAGCAAAAAAAAAGAGAGACTTTTTGAACATTTTCATGAAAGGAAAATGAGAGAGAATTCACTCCCTCTGGACCTGAAAATAATCTTCCTAACAAAATTGTATCCAAAATAGATAATGTTTCCATGAAACATTCTGATTTTGATGAAGCAGCACTTTTCAACCAGAGCTTGGGGGGAAAAAGTCAGCAAAAATATCACAGCCAAAGGTCTAATACCAAARGTTTATCTGCACAGGACACTTGTATCAACATAAATTATGCTGAGAATTGAACCAACTTAAAGACATTTATAAATAAAGACAATTTATATAACTCCCCAAGCAAACACCATATTACTTTCCTTAAAAAGGATAATCTGTAAAATAATTGCCCTCTATAAAGTATTTTTTGTTTGATTAAATAACATATTTTAGTTTAAGAATGTTACAGGAATCACAGAATTAGCAAAATTAAACATCATTTTCTTACTTATTTGGAGAGATTTTTTAAATAAATCTGTGACATTCCCATTTGAAAATGAGAATGGTTTTGTGCTTCAGGAGATTTTTTTTTTAAAAGGAACGAACTGTGTTCCCAAAGCCATATAGGTTTAACTGAATTAAGCTCTCATGTAGTAAGGAAATATATTCTTTCTCACAGATTCTTTGCTTGGCCAGCAAAATAGAGAAACATACTGCAGTTAACAGTTTTGCAATGAAAGGGAAGTACACTAATGTTTTTAAGTCTTTGCAACTAGTGAAGAGGAAGAAAACATTTATCCTGTATGCAATATTTCCTGAGGTAATCCTTCTCTGTAACTTGCTTTGCTAAATGTGTATTTGTGTGCTAGCTCCCTCACTGCCCATTTCTGAGCATGGTTGTGTYAATCCTATCTGCTCTAGTTGATGCCTACTTCATGCCCTGAGTATGGCAATTAGCACAGTTAATCAAACAAAGCCTGATTTTGGTTGTTCTTATCAGTTCTAATAAATATACCAAATGGAATGAAGGGCACCTCCTCTCTGCCAGCCTCAGCTCTTCAGCACCTTTTCCTAAGAGCTGTTCTCACCTTGCTCGTGTGGCTCTCTGCACAACTTTCATTCCAGCTAAGCAGCAGAATTTTCCTTCCCATCTCCTGCAATACTGTGCAATGTCTTCTGCAGGATCCAGGACCTGCAGCTGCACTTCGCTGAACATCCCATAGGCATCCTGGACAAGGAGACATAACCTGCAAAACAGTCCTCTGTTACTGAATTGCCTCTGTTCATAACAAACCGGTTTCTAAATAACAATTACTAAAATAGACAATTTCTAAAACATTTTCTAATTCTAATTTCTAAAAGCTGTATTATAAGTCTCAGAACTTGCAATACTGCAATAACTAGAAAATTCCTACTAAATAGTGATACTGGTATGAGTTAAAAAAAATAAAATCAACAGCACGACATCTTTTCTTACATACATTTGCACAAAGCCCATGAATGAAATAGTGAAGCATGCCTGAAAATGAGAATAAAAGCYTCACRCTGGGRAGCACATAAACGAATTGCAAAGAAAGTGGAGTCTTTGCCTAACTTGAAGTGAATTCTGCAATGMGTACAGAAGAATGATGCCAATGCGTACAGGCATATGTGTGTGTATATAGCTTATGTAATCATACAAATTCTGCTTAGAAGTAAACAAAGCAACATATTTCACAAGAAATAATCACAAACACTGAAACTTGTAAAACATATAAATATTACTTTTTCTCTGAAATTAAGAGTTCTGAGAATCCAAAACCAGCGAACACATCAAATTTTATTTCCTTTTTTTTTTTTTTTTTTTTTTTTTCTGAAACACCAGCATGCAAAAGCCATATGTCTGAATATGCTGATAAAATT